TTGTGATATAAAAAGACGTAATTTATCCAGATTAGATCCGAAAATAGGATTTCCGAATTTTGCAGGAAATGTGTGGTTTTGACAGAACAGGACCATGAATAGAGGAAAAGTGCAGAATAGGATGTAGTATAGAAACTACTGAATTCAGCAAAATTTTAAACATAGGAGACCCGTAAAACCTGCAACAGAAGGGCTCCCCGCACTGTTAACTTGGAGCTCATATATCTCGGCTCCTATCAGAGAAACCAAGAAAAAGTCAACTGATAAAATGTTGGTGATATTATGATAAACAATTTATTATTTGACAACTTTTCGATACCTATGACAGGAGCCGAAATATATAGGCTCAAACTTAGAGGACAATTCTGATAGAGGTCTCACGGTGTGTTGTTGTTCTGGAGCTTCAAGAATGTCATGACCTTTTAAAGAAAATTATTTTCAGATCTTCCAAAAATTTATTTTTCTCCGCAAGTCTCCTTTTTGAAATGGACACCGGATAGAGAATCAAAGCAATGGAAATGGCAAAAAAGGAGGGGATGGCTATTTATAAGTGAATCTCTTATTTGGGCTCATTGTCTTCCACACGAGATTCGAACAGAAAAATAACAAAGTGGAACCACACCAGCATCCTTTCCAAAATTGGTATTCATTCGGCAACGGATTCTGGGAATCGCCATCTGCCGAGTCCCACGTTTTTCGGTTTCAATTAACAAGTGACTCTGCTTCTTCATCTTCTTTTCTTTTTTCGATTTCTATTTTTGATGTCATAAATATGATCGGTGAGATGTCTCCAGAATGAATGACAAAGAATTGGAAATTAACAAAACAGAATTCTTTTTGGAATATGATGAGGAGTCCTCATGAGGAAGAAAATGTGAAAGAACAGACATCAGGTCTACTCCCTCAGATCATTGAGTTTCTGGAAGTGACATATATTGCTTTGTGGAAGTTGAGAAAACATGGAAAACTAATTGGGAATGTTACTATTCTGGTTCGAAAAAATCAGTGCTGTGGAAGATGATTGGCTGCAAAAGCAGAAACATCGAGAAAATAAATTCGGAAAATTACCTTATTTCTGAGTTACGGTAGTTGTCATTGTGAGATCTTCGGCCACGGCGACCCGCGTTTCTCTTCCATCGCTCCGATTTTTACGTACCAAAATAATAGAAAGTTCAGAGCAAGTACTAGAAATAGGGGAAGCAATTTTAAAGGTGGCGGGACATGAAAAAAAACGTTTCCTCGAGATTTTGAATCGTTTTGACTTTACGAAGCGAAATTCACAAAATTCTGAAAATAGATTTTTCAAATCGCTTTTCATCGATTTTACACTTAAATCAAATGTGTTTAAGACTAAAAATCGATTTTTTTCAGATTTTTTCCAGCCAAAAATGTGGGTTTTTTTCAACTTTGACGATTATGGTAATCGACGAAAATATTGGACATTTACAGAACTCATGATTTTCAGATAGAAAAAAATCTTAGAATTTTAGACCGAAAGTCAATTTTATTTGAAACTTAGAATTTCGAAAATTAATACGGGTTTTCAGAACAAAATCGGAAGATCGGAAGGTCCCACAACGATAACTACCGTAACCAAGAATATGTTTACTTTCCGTAGTGTTTTCTGGGTTTTTTACTCCCTTTCGTCGATTCTTCTGTTATTTTCTTCCAGAAAAGTTGCAAACGCACGAAAATCGAGTAAAAATTCGGAAAATACTAGTATTCTTAGGTTACGGTAGTTGTCGTTGAGGGACCTTTGGGATCTTTCTTCCCGCGCTTTTTCCGATGCAATACAGGCACTGCTCGGAAGCCATGCTTTCGCTTCAATACTATCACTAAGTTTACAGTAGTATTACCGAAAAAGAAAACCAACAAATACTAACATAATACTAACATACTAACACATTGCCGGAATTATAAAACTGTCACCTCGGTGTATGCAGAATCCGTACAAAAATCAGATTTTTTCACTGAAGTTGCATACACTGAGGTGACAGTTTTATAATTCCGACAATAATACAAAATTAGTGAAATACTAACATAATACAAACTTCACATCTCTAGCTCTAATGATAAAATATCTGTCTTGTCACCTGGGAAAATCCTACTATTGCTTCTAAATAAAAAATCGAAAAAACTACTGAAAAACGGACAACAAAGAAAAATATTTTGTGTCGCATCTTTATTTCTTCTCCTTCAATAGCAGCTCCAAAAAATGAACACCAACTGCTTATTAGCCCACTCTTGTCCACTCTCAAAGAGGGGTCAAACCGAAAATAATACAATCGGTTTTTTTTTCATTTTCCTTCAGGTCATCATCTCAGCTTCACCCAAACTTCACGTGAGAGCGCTCCTGAACAAATAGTGAAGGGTTCAAGAAGATACGAATAATTTAGGCTTTAGAGAATGATTTGAAAACAAACATGATGAGAAAACCGAAATATTTATAAAGGAAAAAAAACAAAAATCACTGAAAAAAAGAGGCCAGCGGTATGAACTTTTTAGATACATATTAGAAATTCAGAAAGTTGTCGATTCAGACGTTTCGTTTTCAAGAAACTCGGAAATTTGTTACCGTATTTTTTTCTAATTCTATTAGAGAAAGAGTTTTTAAGTTTTAATAAAGAGTTTCTGGTTTTAAGCTGAAAAAATATATTTAAGACACAATCTCTGAGGAACTCGAAAACGCCATGGCAATGGAGAAAATCAAAATGGTCCTAGGAGCCTGATATTGAAAAAAATTTCGAAATTTTTCAGCAATCAAAAAAATCGACATTTTAGCAAAATTCGTTATTTTGGTCCTACAAATTTGCTGATTTTTAGAAAGTTTCTATAGCAAAATTTTATGAAAATTTTGAATCTGCATCCTCAAAATTCTTGGGAGTTCAAATGTACTAACTGCTCAGGTAGTTCGGAAAACCTTTCTGAGCCATAAACAAGCCACGATTAAATTAAAAAAGGTGCCCGATTAGCCACGGCTGAAAAAGTTTATAAACGGCTTAGAATAGTTTCGTTGTTGCTTAGAAAAGTTTATCCATTGCTCGAAAAAGTTTGAAAGTGCAAATAAAAGTTTTACTGTTGCTTAAAAAAGTTTATTCGTTGCTTTAAAAAGTTCTTTTACTGCTAAAAAGGTTTTATTGTTTCTACTAAAGGTTTAAACTATTGATTCTTTTGAAGACGGATTTTCAGAAAATACATTCATTAGAGAAAAAGAAATTAACAAAAAAAAAACAAGAAAATTTAAACTGAAGGGGAATCTCGATCTCGAAACATCTTTGAACCTCAGATCGTAGCGCATCCCCATTGTTATCAGCCCAATATCATATCCTCCTGGAAATATTCAAAATTTTTAGAAATAGATATTAAGAGCTACAACTCACTGTTATGGAAGGCGTTCTCTCCTGATTTATACGTAGTTTCGATAGTGTCTTTGGAGCGGGTTCATGTGATCGCGATCATGATCTAGTCTTCCTCATATTGGTGTAACACGATTTTCCAAATTGTCGCTTCGGAAGTTTGAAGTTTCTCATTGTCTGAAATTATGATAGGTAAATTTATTTTTTACAAAAACTGACGAACCGTAGGCTAAATTACTCCGTTCTGACGGCAGGTTTGAATTCTCATTCAATGATTCATCACGACCTTTTTTCGATGATAGTTCTTGAGCAATAGATTATGATTCCAGGAGATTGTGATTTGGATCTTTTCTCAAATAAGCATTTTACGACTTTCAAACATATGTAAACGAAAAAAAAATTAAAAGATGATAAAAATAAAACAAAAAAATAATTTTTAAAAACAGAATGAATCTTTCGAAAAGCCAGAAAAGTTTTAAGGCTCAAAAAGGTTTGAAAAGTTTAAATATGACTGAAAAAGGTTTAAATGTGGCTTTAAAAAGTTTCAGTTTCGAGCGCAGCTGAATAAAGTTTAAAAGTTGCTTAGAAAGGTTTGAAAAGTTTGATTGTGGCTTGAAAAAGTTTAATCGTGGACTTTTTGCTTGAAAAGGTTTCAGAATTGCTCAAATGTAGCTCAGAAAGGTTTTCCGATTTACCTGAGTGTACGTAATACCAACACATTTGGAACAGTTTGATTTTTTTGTACATAAGACAATGGGTTGATGCTCGAAAACTACAGAGAATGTGTGTTAAATCCTGAAATCTGATTTTCAGTTCCGTGACAAAATGATGGAGAAATATCAAGCGCTTCTGGAAGATCTGAACAGGAAGCATGATTTTTGAAAATTGTATTTTTCATGGTCAATCATAATTGCTTGTTCCTTTTGCTGTGATTATTTTTTGCCAACAAAAAACTGTCGAGCTTCGCTAAACTACAAGTTAAAAAAAGAAGCTATCACCCATAGTACTTTAATCCGTTCTTCTCTCTGGCCCGCTCATACTCGCATTTCCATCAGAAAAGTGTATATTGGGCGTAAACCGACAACAAATGACAACCATAATTTCGCAACTTTGGCCAAATATATCTCGGTTCTTGTAAAAGATATTCAGAAATTTTGAAAGCGGAAATGTTTGTCTGGATATCAGAAACATTCCGTCAGTTGACAATGTTTTAATATCTCAAGCAGGAAATAATATAATTAGGTTCAAAGGAACGATCTTTTTAAGGAGTTTCACAGGTTTCAAAAGTGAAAATTCAAGTTCATCAATTTTTATAGGTTCCCCTGAAGTACTGTCTCGCGTATTCCGTTTTGCTTATCCTCTCTTTCTTTCTCATTAGCATCCATGTGGACTAAGTATCGTAAATTGAATGGAGCTTCTTGAACTAGTTTTGAATCGGTTCTTTTTGAATTCCAGTTTCCTCCAGGTCATCTCAGCTTTGTCATAATTTCACGTGAGCACTTCTGAGCAAACAGAAGATGTTTCATGAAGAAATGAATAATTGGGGCTTTAGGGAATGATCGGGAGAGCATAATAAAATAATGAAATGATTACCCAAGTTTTAATAAGAGAAAAAAAACAGGAAAAATCACATAAAAAACAGAGTCAAACGATATGAATTTTGTTGGTTAGATTCCAGCGAAACCCGTAGATGAAGCCCTCTCCCTTGGATAGAATTGGTAGCTTGTGATACTCGCAGATGACGTGATGGCCAGCGTGGAATTCCGGAGAGCGGGTGATGCCGTCGATTGAGGACCGCGTCTGGAAGATTTTGTTCCATCGAAGGTCCCACAACGAAAACTACCGTAATCTAAGAATATTTTAATTTTCCGAATTAACTTTTTATCGATTTTTGTCGAGTTCTCCGTTCTTTTTTCCAAAAAAAAGTTGAAAAAAATTGACTGAAAATGTACGAAAATAAAAAAAATGAATTCGGAAAAATAACATCCCTCCCACTTGACCTACAGGACTCTAGTCGGTCCGTCTGGTCATTTTACTTTTTTATTTGTACAGGTCCCATTTCTTGCCAAATTATCTATCGATTTCCCCCATGCATTGCAAATAAATATATTATTATTATTATTTCCCGGTTACGGTACTTGTCGTTGTGGGACCTTTAGAATACAAAAAACTCACACTTCCTCCACTTAACGTCCTCTGAACGAAGACTCTCTGCAGTTCTTGTTCTACTTCATCGTCGTCTTCTTCCTCTGCTTCGAGTTCCGCTGGTTTTTCGTCATTTTTGACTGTTGGAGCTGTCACTTTTCCTTGTTGATTTTTGTATCGAAACTGAAAATTTAAAATTTTAAGAATTAATTGTTTTCAGTAAAGCACAGGGTCTGAACTACTGTGGTATGCTGTTGCGCTTTAATGAGAAGGTGACGTGGCGAAGTTTCAGGTGAAAAATCGACTAAAATTTCGAGAAATTCGAATATTTTTACGGTCTAAAACTTCGCCACGTAACTTTCACATTGGAGCGCAGCATCATACCATAGAGGTTCAAACTCTCTTTTAGCTAACAATAAGCTAGCTAATTGTAAGAATCTTACACAAGTCGCTTCCAACTGCTCTACTCGTCCATTCGCTTTCTCTAATTGTGTCTCTAATTGCCTAATTTTCTCATCTTTTTCATGATCCTTCCTATCCGATTCTTCAATAATTTCCAGTAGTCGATTCTCGAGATCCTCTGTCCGATCCTTCGTTCTTCTGTAGTCCTCGTGAAGCAGATCGTACTTTGTTTTCCAGTACCTCACATTCGGATCCTCCTCTCCTTCTGCTCCATCGACCATCGATGTGTGTTCTGAAACTTGTGAGAATCTTGACAAAAAATGAGATGAAACAAAATATGCCGGGTGCAAATTAGCTATTCATTTTTTTTTTCAAACAAAACTGAAAAGTTCTATGACATTTTTTTTGTTGAATTTATTTGACAAAAGGAAAAGCGACTACATAAAAAAATAGTAATAAATATTGCTGCTGCGGGATGAAAGTACAATGAATATTGGTCAATATCGATTTCTACATATAGTTCTTTTTTTTCTTAAATACAACACAACACAAAATTGTGGAAATGGAATAGGAAGAGAAAAGGCCAGATAAATAAATATATTCAGAAATAAAGAAGCGGAATGCAACACAAAAAATTGGATACGAACGAGATATTTATCGCAGATCGTCTTCGTCGTCATCGCCTCCTTCGATAGTGCGCTTCACCTTGAGAAGCAGGGAGGTCGACCAATTGTCTAGTCTGAAAATTATTGATAAGCATAAATACACCACATGATTCCCCTTCTCATCATACCTGCTGATTTTGTCAAAGTTAGCTACACACTCGGTGAATGTCTCTTCATTCTTCTCTTCGATCGCCGCCAACAGTTCCTTCACAAATTTGCATTCACGGGAATCGGAGAAGGATGGTGATGCATTCTCATACTTTTGAAGGGCTTGTTGAGTGTTGATCTGAAATATAATATGAATTATTGAATAATTTTTCTGCGAATTCTCACCGGGTCAATATTCAGATGACACAGAAGCGCCTGGAAGAAGTGTCCCTTGGCGGCATACTTGAGAGTGGAATGATCAGCTTCATAGAACGCGATCTCTTCGAAAACGGCGATCGCTTGTCCGTACTTCTCCAGCTCCGCCGAATACATTGCCACTTTGACGAGACACTTGCTGGCGCTGCTCTTCTGCTCCTCTCCCTTATAATAGTCCGCGGCTTGTTGGTAGTGCTTCACGCACTGCTCCTTGTCGGGAAGCTCCGTCTCGTAGAGCTCCGCAATGCTTACGTGGTTCTTGGCCGCCATGGTGAACCGACCCATATCGGTGTAGATTTCCGATGTTTTCTCGAGGCATTGGACGGCGCGCTGGAAATAGTGCATGATTAAAACTAGGCATTTTGCTTGAAAAACCTCAACCTCTGGCTGAATTTTGCGGAAACAATTGGCAGCTTCGGCGTATTGCGTGGCGCAGTCGTGTTTGGAGTCTCCCTGCTTGGCGTAGAACTCGGCGGCCTCCAAGAACGCTTCGCCGGCTTCCTTCCAGTTTTTGGCCATTTTGAACAGGTTTCCTCCCTATAAAATCGAGTAAAAACTATGTGATTGTGTTGGCTCTGAAGCTATTTATTTGACAGAAGTAGTGTAAAAGTATTTTTTATTATATTCCATGGGTCTCCGGTGTATTTTTAATTTTCCGGGTTGCTTTCTTCGTTTCTCTCGCTTTTGACAATCCGTGCTGGCTCACTCCAGTCCACCCACTTCCTTCTTCATCGTCAATGCTCATTCCGCCCATTGAATTACTTAAGACAGTTCCGATTTCATCAAATCTCCGTCGCCGAGACGAATCTCCTTGAATAAAGTGTACAACTCGGGAGTGTTCATCTCGGGTGCGAGTGTTACAGAATTTCAGCTCACAGGTGGGATGAAGACACTTAAAGTGAGCAGAATCTGGTTGGCGTTGGAGTTGAATTTGAAAGAATGGATTGTGCTGCTCGTCGTGGTGTACTTCCAAACGGTGAGCAGTATCGAAACGCGTTCCACACTCGCAACATTGAAAGGAGTGACTGGCGTAATGTTCCTCGTATTCCAGAAGGTTCGACGCAATGAACAGACATCCAGCATAGCTGCATTCGATCTCACTACTGCTCGCTTCTTCTTCATCATCGCTACTTCTATTTCGCAACCCATCTCGAACTACAGAAGAATTATTCACCTGAATGAAAAGATCCGCCGCTTCGCCGCTTCCACCGCCGCCTCCGAACACTTTGCTGAAGAATCCGCCGCCTCCCTGAAAATGTAATTTTTGAAAAATTGTTACAGTTTCCATTGAAATACCTGAAGCTTTTTCCTGCCTTCAGCCATCTTTTGGCGAGCTTTTGCTTCGTTGTCAGCCATATTCTGAAAAAATGGGATTCAATATTTCGAAGTAAGAGCTACAAACATGGAGCAAAAAGAGCAAAAGACTAGGAAATGGCAAGAAAAAAGAGGGGGAGAAGAGTGAGGAAGTTATTGAGTGTGAGCGCAGGGAGCATGAAAAAAGGAATCGATGTGGTCCAGTGGTCCCAGAAGCCGCCGACGTCTTCTCTCGTTTTCTTGTTATCGCACGATCACGTTTCGTTGGAACTGAAGCGAGAGAAAAAACGGCCGCGGCCATTAGAGAAGATCGGCCAGTGAGGGGCGAGAGAAATGAAAATAGTATTGAAAAATGAGACAAAATAGAGAAAGAGGCAAAAATTCGGAGTCGCATGAGTGTCGAAACGATAACAAAAAATAAATGCATTTCACAATGCAGGTGGCACTGGATAGACAAATTTCATTCAGTCATGAGCGGATATTTCTGGAAAAAGAGCTTTGAATCTCTAGAAAACTAGCTATTGATTGACAAGATAATAATAAAGAACCTTATTGAGACATATTTTCTGGCAAACACAATAATTTACTGATTTTAGACACTAAACATCGAGAAAATACACAAAAAATGAGAGAAAAGCATTACAAAACAAAAGAATAGAAGTCCATTTGCGCGCGGCACGTTTGCATAAATGGTGTGCCAGGTTTGCGTTTAATGTGGATTTACGAGACTCTGCCCGAACCCTATAAATAAGATTTGCACTAGTTCACAATCATTTTTAAGCTCTCCACACCAATTATGAAACAGATCAAACTGTTTGGGATCGAGTTCAGGACATTGCCATGGTCACCTCGTTCTACTACGCGTTCGCCAATTTATTCGACAGGCAACATACGCACGCACAATCTCTAATGAATGGAGACGTCCGGCACTGGAAAGAAATCCTTCAGACTGCCACTTTCTTCTTCTACAACAGCAATCCATACATTCAGTTTGCGATGCCTCGTCTGGAAAAATCCGTTGAAATAGGAAGATTCACTATTGAAGATTCCAAAAGTGAGAAGGTCGATGGAGAATACGATGAAATTCTGAATCTTCGAAACTCTACAGTACTCATCTCTTTCGGAACCGTCGTCTTGTCATCCGACATGCCGGATAGTTTCAAGTGGGTTATTAAAGAAAAAAAATCGTAAAATTTGAATGTTTTTTCTAAAAATGGAATTATCAAATCCTTTGCTGCCCTTCCGGACACTACATTTATCTGGAAGTACGAGGAAACTGATGAAAAAGCCTTGAAAATTTTGAAGGTTCCTGAAAATGTGGTTTTGAAGACGTGGGTCCCTCAACCGGAACTGTTATCCGACGAACGACTAGATCTATTCATAACTCATAGAGGTTTGGGAAGTACGTTAGAAGTTGCATATTCGGGAAAACCATCCATTATGGTAAGCCTATGAAATATTTTTTTTCATTTCGATAGTATATTTTAGGTTCCAATATTCGGTGACCAGTTGATCAATGCGAAGATGTTGAGTCGCCATGGTGGATCCATCGCCTTCAATAAATATAAACTGGAAAATTCTGAAGAGTTGAGCCAAGTCATTCGAGAAGCTCTGTGTTCCTCAGCTATCCGCTCCAGTGCTCAACGTCTTGCCGAAATCCTCAGAAACCAGCCAGTCGATCCGAAAACAAATCTTCTTCGACATGCGGAATTTTCCGCAAAATTCGGAAGAGTCGAATCATTGCAACCCTATAATGTACATTACAATATTGTTCAGTTTTATATGCTAGATGGCTATGTAATTATTATCATGTTCATATCTTTATTGGTTTATATTAGTTATCTGGTAACATTGCGTATCATGAGAAAATGTTTTTTCGGAAGGAAAACCGAAAAACTTGAATGAATTCTTATTTTGTCTTGACTTGTTTCCGAGTTAACTGTAAAAAGATATCCAGTTATAGTCTGGAAGTGTTTTTTATTATATTTGGGGCAAATATGTTCGGAACATCAATCAAAATTCTGAAAATTTCGAGAATTCCGACCGAAATTTTTCCGGAATTCGTGCTTTTCAAACTACCGTACGTCAAAGGTGCACGCAAAAATTTTGCTTCCGGGTTTCGAGCGGAATTATTTTCATACGGTTTGCGTTTTCAAAATCACTTTTTTTCGTCAATTTTGCGCTTTTGTGATATCACACGATATGGGAAAGTGGAATTTGTACTTTTAAATTTGAATGTTGAAAATCGGAAAATTTCAAAATCGGAGTATTCCAATATTCGAGCTCGGAAATTCTAAAAATTTAAAATTTACAATTTTCGACATCCCAAAAAATCCCGAAAAGGCTATTCAGAACATCCCTACCCTCGTTCATGCCCTACCAATTAAATATCAAGACCCACTGGGTGTTCAACAGAGCGCGTTTCCCCTTCCCTGTCAATAGCGCCGTATGTTCTCTAGGAATTGGGTCTGCCCCCTCTTCCTGTCCCTTTCTTTTCTCTATCTCACCACTACCCTCCTTCTTTATTCTCACAATTGTTCTCGTTCACATCATAGCCTGTCTAAGTATAATACTAAAAAACTTTCAGTCGTTTCGAATGGAGATATCTAATGGTGATGGAGGAGAAGAGACGCAAAACGATAGTAGAAGTTCGTTTTGACATTCCCTGAAGTCCTAAATATTCTCTTTTCTAGACTCAATTCTGGGAGAAACCGCTGGAACGTCGAAACCAGAAGCAGACGTTGAAACGGAGGAGATGGTTGTTGAAGCCGTTGTGAATATAGGAGTCGTGGAAACTTCTGTGGACACGACTCGCCAAGAGCATCGTTACCACCGGTAGGCCTAACTGACATTCAATTTTCTCATTGTTTTTCGTTTAGGCGATAAAGCAAAAGCCCAATAACAAGAAGAAGCGGAAACGGAGCTCTTCAGAAGACAGTTCACTTCCAGAAGCTGAGGCTAGAGGCGCAGAGGATGGAGGTGGGCCTAAATTTCAGAATATTCTAGCTGGCGCTTCTGAAAATTTTGGTTCAAATCTTCCCCAGTCTATTATAAATTTCATAAAATGTCACATTAGAAGCAACAGGCCCTCCACAACCTCTCCCTTAAAAAATCAATAATTCTACCATATCCCTTGTAAACCCAGATTATGATGAAAATGTCAGAATAGGTTAACAATAGCCTATCTAGACCAGTTTCAGCCTATTTATATAAATTTCAGTACCAAAAAATCGCGTTTTTAGTGCAAAAAGCGATTTTCTCAACTTCTAAGACGTTTTCGAACATGGAATTTGTACTAAAATTTCAAGGAAGTTTCATATTTCACACTTTTTCTCGAATTTTTTTTCCGAATTTTTAATTTTTTTGGGGATTTTTCAAGGAAAAAAATTGAAAAAAAATCAATGGAAAATAAGCGATTTTTTAATGCGAAAACCAAAAACATCGACAAAAAGCCTGAAATTTGAAGTTTTGTGCTCTGAAATGTCCCAAAAGTTGAGAAAATCGCTGTTTTTGCACTAGAAACACAATTCTGGTACTGGAACTTATTAAACTTGGCTGAAACTAGCTAGCGGATTTTAGAATTTTCAGAATTTTTTTCTAAAATTTCCATCGAAATCTAGAATCACTATTTTCAGTAAACGCACCACTATCAAATGTGAATAAGGAGATCAACGTGGGACCCGAGTATCAAGCGAAAATCGTTGAAGACTTCAATGATCTCAACTACATGGATGGTCCAGACACCGAGGAAGTGCTCATTTGGGAGGCTTCAAATGAAACCCTAGAAAAGGAGAAGCTGAGGAATTGGGTCACCGAAACATCAGCTCGATTTTTGATTCCAACTGAAGCCGTTCTCTTCCTTCTAAAGTTCAAAAAATTCAATTACGATGAAGCCTATAAGCTGATCTCTACTCGTCCGGAAATCAACGAAACTTGGTCAGAAGAAGAAAGTCTGATTTTCGAACGATGCTTCAGTAACTTTGGAAAGAACTTCTCGTCGATTCATAGCGGCGTGAGTTTCTAGGTCCTCTTGTATAAGCTTCAAATATCTTTTCAGCTATGCCACCGCTCGATTCGTTCTATTGTCAAACACTACTACAGTTCGAAGAAATGGATCAAGTACAAGCAGTTCTCCAGCTCGAAACACAACGATAGTAGATACGACGACGATGAAGCTAAACGCATCATTCCGCCCGCATCATTTTTTGTGGACATGTGTGAAAATTGTGGTCAGCGAGCGGAGAACATGGAGGTTGAGATATTTTTGGGTGTGTCCTTCAACCCACAAATTTGTTTCAGCTCGTTCAACGTTCTGGAAAAACGCCACGTGGCGAGTGCCGTCCCTGTGTGATTTACTACCGAAAGATGGGTGTTCCACGACCCACAAACCTTCGGATGACTCTCTCTGAACGTCTGTACAAGGAAATAAGGTGTCCGAATGGTGAGTGCTTCAGCTAGTTTTGTATAAAAATGACGATATTTCAGCATACCGTATGTATATGAAAGACTTTGAACGAATGATGGAGCCGGCGAACGGAGAGACGCTCATACGACGAAAAATGGGAAAGAGCCAAACTGTAGAAGATATCATTGGACCTTGCGACTACTACTGTCCCTCACCGAATCCTCGAAACCAGAACGGGAATTCTAATGGGACTTGTACGCCATTAACTTCAAATGAGGCTGCAGCAGTAGGAACGCCTCCAGTGAAGGAAGCCAAACCTGAAGAGTTAGTGGACTCGGCTGGTGTCCAAAATGGGTCCGAACAATCTGTCGAGGAGCTAGTTTCCATGGAGATCTCCGAGCAACCACCAGCTAGAAAAATGTCTTCTGCAGCCATAGAAATTCAGGAATATCTCGCTGAGACACGCGAAATTTTAGCTGTAAGCGAACCAGAAAGTGTCCAGAAGCCAGAAGACGTTACTGTGGACCCAACCCCAGAATCCAATCCACCAGAAACATCTCAACCACTTGCCAGCTTACCAGTGAACATCTGGTGCCGGAAGAAGACGTTGTGTCAGGAGGAGATTGAGTAGGACACCTTATCCTCAGAAATGTATACTATTTTCGTTTTTTTTTTCCAGAGTGCTCGCCGAGGATGGTCGTCGCAAAATGTACGACGCGGTTCAGTTGGCAAGTCGAGTGAATCAGAAGGACGTAGAATCTATGAAAACTGAAATGTCAGCGATGAGGAATCGAATGGAACGGATGAGAGCCGATGTGGATTTGACGCCGTCATTTGTTCGAAACAATAATAAGATGACGTACGATGGAACTTGGTCCGATAGGGATCAGACAGACGTCGTGAGATGTAAGTTAATTATTGTAACACCTGTAATAGAAGGGTCCCCTACACTGTGAAGCTAATTTATCTCGGTTCCTGTCAAAGATATTTGAAATGTGTCAACTGACAGAACTCTTCTGATATTATGATAAACAAGTTATCAATTGACAACAATTTTATATCTTCGACAGAAACCCAGAATAGTTAGCTCAACGTTAAAAGTTAGAGTGCCCTTCTATTGCAGGTTTTACAATATCAATGAATTAGTTATATTTGAAGTTTTAAGTATTCAAATGGTACGGACTGCAGTTCAAGCAGATTGGCGACATACTGGGAACGAAATCCGCTCAGCACGTTCGCGATTATTATCGTGCGAATAAGGCAATCATTGATTCGGTGAGTTTTTGAAGTTTTTCTAAAATTGGGTCACAAACACTAAATCATTTACATGGTGGCCTAGTAAACTCAACTAGAAAAAGTCAGGCCACCATGTTGAATTACCTGGAAAATACATCACGTACATGCTATATCATTTCTGGACCATCATTTATGGTGACCTAGAAAAATCATGTTGAGAAAGTTAGGCCAGCATGTCAAAATGGCCTGGTGGGTTTCCTGATATTCACCTACTGTTTTTTCTAAGCCATAAAAACTGGTGGCCTACAAAACCTCAACTTGAAAAAGTTAGGTCATCATATTAAGTTACCTAGAAAACACATCAAGTTTAGGTTAGACCATGTCTGGATCATTAACTATGGTGGCCTAGGAAAATCATGTTGAGAAAGTTAGGCACTTTATTCTTCACATTAAGATCTTTCTAAAATTCTAAAAATATTTTTTCAGTGCATCGCCGAGCACAAGGAAATGATGTGTATGAAAGTGGCATGTTACGAGGAGAGTCGGAAGCAGAAGGAGCAAATCTAGGGATAATTTTTTGTCATTTTCCCTGTATTGTGTACAAAAATATTTGTATTTCATGTCAAAAGTCAATCAAAAGTCAGCATGTGTTTTTTTTTCGGTTTTCCTCTCTTTTTCAATGTCTTTCGTGTGAATTTTATTCTTTTTTATGTCATAAACTACGGAATTTTTTGAGATTTTTTAAAACCTTTATTATTCAATTCTTGTTCCTCTCATTATCGCTCTCTGTAGTTGCCTCCACACCAGCCAACTCCTCTGCGGTGAACAACGAATCCGAAGTGCTTCCAAGATCTGGATCCAGAAGAGTGGCGTTCAAACTCTCCAATCTCTTTTGCTCCTCCACCCAACACGACGCATTGAGTCCTGCGTGGTACTGATAGATGCTCTGTTTTTGATCGCAAGTCACATCGGGCACATCGTACACCCATTTTACGCGATTCAGAATCTAGAAGAAATATTGGTGTTATTCTGGATTTTTCGACGAATTTCATCAATGTTGAGCTATTTTTTTTCCATTAAAAAAAAGCGCAAAAAATCTTGAAAATCATTGAAAAATCGATAAAACTCATCGAAAGATAAAAGGTCCGACAACGACAACTACAGTAACCCGAAAAAAAAAATTTTGTTTTCCGCATCACATTGGTCTAATTTTAATTCGCATAGCTCTAGAAACTTCGAGTGGGCGGAGCTTAGGGAAATCCTCAAAGGCACATTTAAAGGAGCATGTATGTTCGAAATTATTTTTTAGGTTTTTAAAAAGATTTTTCAAAAAATTTTATCACTTTTTCAATGAGTGTTTTCATGCATTTTTTTGCGATTTTTCGAATCTTGTGAAAAAATAGGTCAAAATCTGATGAAATTCCTTGAAAAACGGAAAAAATGTGTATATAATTTTCTATGCATTTTTTGACAGACTTTTTGTGTGAAAATATCTAAAAATCAATGAAATTCGCCAAAAAATCGAAAAAATAAGCCAGAAAATAGTTACAAAACACATGTTCCTTTAAATGCGCCTTTAAGGTTTCGTTACCGGAAGCCTGAGCTCCGCCCATGGTCAAGAAAAACTCCGATGGCCGTGGCCGAAGAACACGCAGCGACTACTACCGTAACCTGAAAATATTTGTATTTTTTGTAGTTTTCTCTGCATTTACTGATTTTCGTCCACTTTTTTCCAGTTATTTAGGTTACGGTAGTTGTCGTTGTGGGACTTGGGCCGCGGCCACAACTCCGACTTTTTGACCTACCGAATCAGTCAACTTCCTATCCAGCCCCGTGTCAATCGGAGTTATATTGAACGGAGCGTGACCCATCATTTTGGCATAGGCACCCTGGAAAACGCGTTGCTCGACGTTCCGATAATGTCTGACGGTTGCAATCTCTTGGTCCACCAACGATCTTCTGATTCCTGAATAGATGGCTAAGGGAGCATGAATCGTCATCATTCCGATTTTCTCAGGACGAATGATACATTTGGGTTGGGTCCAGAAACTTCCGATCCTCGAAGTGTTTTGGTATTTGTGAAATAGCATTTCGTTAATTAGCTGCTCATCGTTTTCGTATCTAGCCGGGGTGTCGAATTCTTTGATGACCCATTGGATTTTGAAGTGAAGATTGACGATGTTCGGGTCGTGAATGGTACTGGAAGATATTTAAAAATTTATATTATTCTGGTACATTAAATCGGAGGTGTGGAAGAGAAACGCCAACCACCGTAACCTATAAATATGTTTATTTTTCGGATTTATTTTCTCGATTTTCGTGCGTTTTAAGTCATTTTTCTCACCACAGATAGTCTGACGAGAAACAGCATAAATATGGAAAAAAATATTGTCAGGTTACGGTAGTTGTCGTTGTGGGACCTTCGGATTAAAAAATTTTAAACTCACTCCAAGAAGCTTGTCACCGTTTTATACGATTCACTCTTCATTTCAATTCTCTCATCGACATCTATTAGAGCTGTCCACTTTGAAAAGTACTTGCTTCGATGATGGCAGTCCTAAAAGTAATCGTAAGACTTTTAATAAAGAGCCGACTTTGTGACCACATATCTCATTTCCTATTAGAGATATCAAAAATGTGTCAACTGATAAGATGTTTGTGCTATTATGATAAACACTTTATCAGTGAACCACTTTTTTATATTTTTGACAGGAGCCCTTCTATTAGAGGTTTTACCCACATTAATCTGCACATGATGCCACATGAAATCATCCCTCCAATGATGATCATGCATTTTAATAATCTCAATATCTCCAGTTCTAACATAGTCATCCAACAAAACTCGGTCATAATCTGTCACATTTCTCAAGTAGATATGGAAAAATGTGGCTCCTTGAAGTTTATAGTATTCAATGAAATCTACGATTTGCAAGAATTTCGGCTCATCTCCATACAACGTTGCCATACAAACCGTGAAGTAGTGAGGGGGTTCTGAAATAGGTCAATGAATGGAATTCTGAGTTTTTAAAGCTTACTCGCTATTCTTGGAACTATTGGTACCGAATACTCTGGTTTCTCTTCCAGTGTTTCAGATATGGAAATATATTTTGCTCCCGACCTCCGAGCACAAAATACAGTGGATTCTGGGTAGACCAACGCTTCAAATTGATCTGGAATCTCCTTTCGACGGCAATCGTAATATCGACAGTAGACAGTTTTGCTGGAATATTAAAAATACAGTACCGGTATTTCAGTGGATTGTTGACCGGTTTCAGAAGTCTGTAGCTCGTCTGTCAAGTTTCCAACCATTTTGAAAATTTGGTAGGATGTAAAACATACCTAGATTGAAAACTTTGCATTTATAAAATTTTTCGAAACTTTTTAGTTTTTCAGCTGATTGCCGACTTCTGAAGGACACCGGTTTCTGTGATAAATACCTGAAAAACAGGTGTCTTTTAGAAGGTGGGAAATAGCTGAAAATCTCGGAATTTTCAACAAATTCTGCGAATGCAAAGTTTTTAATCTAGGTCTGTTTTACACCATCCAACATTTTCATAGTGATCTGAAACTTGACAGCCGAGCTATAGATTCCTGAAAATGGTAAAAAATCAATAAAAAATTACACTTCTGTACATCATTTTCACTGTAACTCACTTAAACTGATTCTCTGAAGTCATTGTAACAATAATCTGATCCTTATACACAAACGCAGCCAATAGTGAAAATGTTTCATGGTACAAGTAACTCATATTCCCGATACTCATTTCGGTCCATAATTTGTGTCTTTCTGCCATTGGAATCGAATCTGTTCTCACATTATTCCACTCTTCTTCTGGACAATCTGATCTATAAATTGTTTTTACTGACACTCTAATAAACACTCTAATAGAAGGTCACCCTTTGATCTCAATTATCTCAATTTCAATGAGAGATATCAAAAAATGTGTCAACTGATAAATGTTGGTGATATTATGACAACAATTTTATCAGTTGACAAATTTTTGTTATCTCTTAAAAAAAAATCGAGATAATTGAGATCAAACTGGAAGTATTTTCTTACGAGTTGTAAGTGAAATCTGGGTCCTCTTCTGTATTGAGATGGGAGTTATGGAATTGTACATGTGGTGGAATTGTAGTACCAGATGAAGACTCTGGTTTTTCTGGCTTTGTTTCATTCAGAATCACATTTATTTTCACTTCTTCTCGATCTAAAAGCATACAAATTATAGTTAAATCTTCTAGATTCTAGAGTCTAAAACTTATAGTTATAAACGTCATCTAATGTTTTGAGACGATTTGTAAATGATACTTGAACGGCAGCAGACGCAGAAATAAGCAAAAAAGTCAACCGGAGAAGAAGATACATTTCTGTTGAAGAATGGGAAAACGATCCACTTTCGGAATATTTCAACGAAGATTGTGTGTGGGATAACGCACCGAAAGATCACGAAAGGAAGCGGAACAGACTTTGGAGAAGGCGGAGCCTGGTCTAGGTGGTTTGATTTTCAGGAAAAAATTGATGATCATTTGGTAAGAAATAGTCTGGAAAATATCAATTAGAAAAAAAATAACTTTATACTGTACATCAAAAGTTTTTAAATAAATTAATGTTCTACAAGTTGAATCCTTGGCCTTTGCCGGGCCTTCACAGGATCTGCCATAGTTTCTTCTAGAATCAATATTTTTAACCAACTAAATCAGCTATGATAGAACTCGACAAGTGCTACAAAATCATATTATTTGGATTACTGTATTTTGACTATGAACAAAGTTACAGACAAAAAACAAACTACAGTAAACACTATTTTTGATCTACTGGCCGAGCGCCATCACAACCTCGCCATTCCCCGTGAAACGTCGGCCGCTCAATCACCTCCAAATTCAGAAGCAACAAAATGATTTCTTCTCTTTCGCGTGGTCCGGCGTTGATGGGTTACCTGTATCTATGTTATAGATCTCTTCCTGCTCGCAGGTCGAGAACAATTTTATGAATTTCAAAAAAAAAAACCAAAAAAAATCATAAAATTCAAAAATACCAAAAACATTAATTATATTCCCATCAACGCCCACTTGACTGCACTTTTTGAATGTTTCGATTAATCATATTAAATTATATAAATGGGTTTTTTGAATTGTTTCACTGAAGTGACCACTGCACGTCTTTTTCCCGGATCATTTCATTGTCCTTTTGCATGCCACATTCCCTCAAATTTCGTAGATCGTAGATTCAAATCTCCGCTTCTGTACTTTTTCAAAATCCAGTTTTTTTCATGTCTATGAATTTGAATACAAGAAATGGAAGATCAAGTACGATTTCATTTGTTAAATTAAGTAGTAACATATAAATTAAACTATAATTGAAGTATGACAACAGATTCAAAGTGATGTAACTTCCGGATAATGGCCCGTACCAATAAGAAAACTGAACAATAGTTTAATGATTACTTTCTAAAATGAAATTACGAAAGTTGTTCGATTGGCTGCCTCTGTTCCTGACAATACCAATGACTGACATCTCCAATGTGGCACGGGAGGTGTTTTGAGAATAATTTGGCACATTCTGGGTCCAAACTACTTTCCAATGGCTGCAAATTAGAATGTGAACGTGCTAGGACATAGTCCGAAAAATTACAAAAGCGGAATAGTCAGGCGGATTCAAGTCTGGTGACGAGACTGGCCATTCGCAAGTCGCGATGAATCGAATTTCGGCGAACTCATTCTCTGACGGCTTTGATCCTCTCCAGAAGAAACAAAGATACTAGGCTTTTAGACAGTTCTTGACTGTGTTCAACTATTCAAACATTCGATGATTTTCTTCCCGTTTTCAAAAGTTTTCCAATGCTGCTTGGGCCGCTTCCATCTTGGCCTAGTCAAACTTCGTGTGGAAATCAACATAATGACTTGAAAATTTGGAATTAAGGTAATTAAGACATGCTGAAAATGATGAATATAAATCGCTGTTTGAAAAATGCTCCTGCACACCATGTACATTTCAAATAAGCTCACTGGATTATAAAGAAATGAAAAACGTTTTATTAAAAAACAATAACCCGGAAACAAATTTCAGAAATTTTTTACAGAATTTAGGTTGCTACCAGAAATATTGGTTCAGAATCGGCGTAAACCCAATCAGTCACTTTATCCATTTCTTCTCTACATATTCCACTTGTACTTCGACATACCTTATCTTGGACTGGGCTGAAAAAATCGGGACTCCATAGAATTAACTAATAGGACTACTCACAGAACTTTACCGATACATTTCATTAGAGTGTCGTATGGTTTTGTAGAGAACGTTGGAATCGATCCGTTGAATATGTTTTGAGCCTGAAAAAACAAACAAAACACTGAAATTGTTATTAAAAGGTCATACCGTATCTTCCATATTTTTGATATGAGTAGACTGATCGCCTGGGAAGAATCGGTACGGCTTATCCGTAGTTTCAAGATTTCCATATCCAGGTACGTATCGAAAATGTAGAAGTGCGCCGTCTGCCTGAAAGTTTTTCATTTAAAAATAAACCGATTTTTTTAGAAACTCACTTTTTTACTCCTCGTCCAAGAGAAAAACGAATCAACGAAGCTATGAGGCCAATGAACTTGTGCAATGGCGAGAACAGATGCGTTGAAGACGTACTGAACGAAAATGGATATTATTTCAAAAGCTGATTTTTGCTTTTTATTTTATACCTTTGTCTGTTTACCGGGGGTAGGCTGAAATTGGGGTGATGACACTCCTGAAAAATCGTTTGTATAGATCCTTGGAGTAAATGATATATAATGATTATCGAAAGAGAGAGCTCCAACGTTTGCATCTGCCATTTCTTTGGTGGCATAATCCAGAAGTCTACCATTCGTTGGAACCATGACTTCATCAAAATCCGCAATAGTTCCGATCGTAGTTTTGATATCGAGAATACAAATATTCATAGCCATGAGATATGAAAGTACATAGACGCTATTATCAATTTTTGGATATTTACCAGCGATATCAACTGGTAAACTCGGGAAACTAGGCCAGGATTTGATTTCGATCAATCCCTAAAAATTGATTTCTTAAAATTTCAAAATTGTTATGCTTACCAAATCTCTGTAATACTCCAACACCTTCCAAGTTTCTTTTGTTGCTGAATGGAAGTTTACAATGAAACGAGTGGCTCCTTGAGCTCTCCATGCTTCAATATACAGTACAATATTTTGCCATTGAGAGTAGTAGTACACTGGTTGAAGACATACAGTAATCCCTTCTGTTGTCTTTTTATAAATTTTTTCGACATTTAGTTCTACTTTCTTATTGTCCAAGAAAAGGGTAACCTGAAAGTAATGTATTACTTTTGTCGTTTTAAAATGAAAATTACATTTTTCGGATCTTCATTTGGTTTTAAGCTGATTGAAAATGAATGCGGCATATAGAGGCACGATGATGCTGGAATATAAATCGAGGGACAGTGCCCATCCAGAGGTTTGCCATAAATATTTTTTCTGACTGATTCAGAATTATTCCCATCGAGATGTAGGTTCGCTATCAAATATTGGTTATTCTCCAGACATTTGTTAAGGGAAAAAATTCGAAGACGTGGTGGATCAAATCTGTAATCGACATATGCCGATTGATAGAATGCAATCGGATGTGAAGCGTTAATCGGTTCACCGGCTACCCTGGAAAATAAGAAAGCTATCATTGTTTGGCAGGGGAATTTCTTACATGCTAAATATTTCATCAACAGTTTCCAAATATCCAGAACCAGGTCGATAAGAATAATACATGATGAATACAATCACTAACGATATTATTACAAACTTATATTGTAGAAGTTTCTTCATCTTCGTGTATGAAAGAGAGAACGTTTTCGTAGAAGAGAAAATTTTTCTGGATTCTTCAAAAATCGAATTTATACGGGGACGGATTCGAATCTAGATTGATCTCTCGCCTATTTTATAGTGGGTATTTCGAAGAATGGCAAAGGCCGCTTTTCGTAATATTCCAGACGTAGATTGTGTGCCGGATAACTTTTCAAAAGATCAGAAAAGATCGGAAACGCGGTACAGGGTTTAGGCGCACAACCATCCAAAAGCCTTCCTCATAGCGCGCGTTGGTCCAAGGCGCGTCCAGTTTAGGATTACTGAATTTCGGTTGGCCGGAAATTTATTTATGCCGCGACTTCTGAGCATGGGGTTTAGGCCTTTGTGTTTACGTTTTTGGGATGGCACAAGAGATGGCCATTCCATAAAAATCGTATAGAATATCAGTAGCATTTTCTAATCATCGAATTGATTACCGGGGCTCATTATCAGCAAGTACAGAAACATATGACTTCTTTCATTCGACATTTTTCAAAAATTCTCTTTCATTCCATTTGCCTTCTACCATGATTATGAAAAGGTAGTTTTTTCTCTCCAATAACCACCACTTTGACAAACGTATTTTATCAAAACCGTCTCTGAGAGTCATCATAGCCTTGCCATTCCCCGTTAAACAAGGTCCCCTCAATTACAGTACCGTCCATAAATACCGTATACACTTTAATAGAACGTCACACGGACCGTCTACTGTGAGCTTACATATCTCACTTCGTTTAAAAGATATCAAAAAGTTTTTAACTAACAAAATGTTTATCATGATACCAGAAACATTTCATTAGTTAACCACTTTTTGATATCTCTCACAGAAAATGAGATACATGGACTCAAATTTGACGATTCGGGTGGCACTCTATGTTTTCAGTTGATTTTGACCATTTTTGGGGGTCAAGTGTCGGATCACTATGAAATTTTTGGAGGTTATAAAACAGATTTAGATTGAAACTTTGCATTCACAGAACTTTTCGAAATCTCCTAGTTTTTCAGCTACTTGCTGATCTCTGAAAGACACTTGTTTTTTTTTCACTTTCTCAGTACAAAAATAGGAATAAAAGAGTGTCCTTCACAAATCGGCAAGTAACTGAAAAACTGTAAAATGGATTTTTTTTTTTTGGACTTTTCGATTGGAGTGACCACTACACACTTTAGTTCAGGATCATTTCATTGTTGGTCATCCTACATTCCCTGAAATTTCGTAGATTTTTATCTCCGCTGCTGTACTTTTTTCCCAATCCCGTTTTTTTCATTTCTATGTGTTTGAATACAATACGTAGAAGATTGAGTATCGATTTCATTAGTTGTATAAAGTCGAAGAAAAATAAAAAAAAAACCGTTATCTTTTCTACTAGCTCCATTATTTGGAATCATGACCTCTAAATCTTGTTTTGCTTTTTTTTTAAATGAAAAAAAACTTTATTGAATAAAAACATTAACTAAAAACGAATTTCAGAAGTTTTTACAGAATTTAGGATGCTACCAAAAATATTGGTTCAGATTTGTCATAAACCCAGTCCTCCACTTTATCCATTTCATCTCTACAGATTCCACTTGTACTCCGGCAGACCTTATCTTCCACTGGGCTAAAAATAGGAGCCCATAGAATTAGCTAACGGTACTACTCACATAATTTTACTGACACATTTCTGTAAAGCGTCGTATGGTTTTGAAGAAAACTTTGGCATCACACCGTTGAATATGTTTTGAGCCTGAAAAAAAAACAAACAAAACACTGAAATTGTTATTAAAAGGTTATACCGTATCTTCCATATTTTTGATATGAATAGAAGGATTGTCTGGGAAGAAACGGAAAGGCTTTTCCGTAGTTTCAAGATTTCCAACTCCAGGTTCATATCGAAAATGAAGAAGTGCACCTTCTGCCTGGAAGCTACTCATTTGGAAAAATACTTCAAGTTTCTGAAAAAAACTTACTTTTTTTGTCCTCGTCCAAGAAAAATAAGAATCAACAAAGCTATGAGGCCAATGAACTTGTGCAATGGCAAGAACAGATGCGTTGAAAATGTACTGAATGAAAATACTAATTATTTCAAAAACTAATATTTTTGTTTTTTTAATGGCATACTTTTGTCTGTTTACCGAAAGTCTGAAACTTCGGTGATGCCACTCTAGAGAAGTTAGATGTATAGATTTTTGGGGTCAATGATATGTAATGATTCTCGAAGGAAAGAGCTCCAACTTTAGTACCCATCATTTCTTTAGTCGCATAATCCAGAAGTCTACCATTCGTTGGAACCATGACTTCATCAAAATCAGCAACAGTTCCAATTGTTGTTTTGATATCGAGAATACAGATATTCATAGCCATGAAATATGAAAGTATGAAAACGCTATCGTCAATTTTGGGATATTTATCAGCGATGTCAGCTGGTAAACTTGGGAAACTGGGCCAGGATTTGATTTCAATCAATCCCTAAAATGAATTGATGTTTTATAATTTTAAAATTGTTCTATTTACCAAGTCTCTGTAATACTCCAACGTCTTCCAAGTTTCTTTTGTTGCAGAATGAAAGTATACAATGAAGCGAGTGGCTCCTTGAGCTCTCCATGCTTCAATATACAGTACTATATTCTGCCATTGAGAGAAGTAGTACACTGGTTGAAGACATACAGTGATCCCTTCCGTTGACTTCTTATAAATCTTTTGAACATTTAATTCTACTTTCCCACTGCCCAAGAAAATGGTAACCTGGAAATATTGTATTACTTTTGTCATTTCAAAATACAAAACTACATTTTTCGGATCTTCATTTTGTTTCAAGGTAATTGAAAATGTATACGGGACATAGAGACATGACGATGCTGGAATATAAATTGATGGACAGTGCCCATCCAGAGGTTTCCCATAAATTTTTTTTCTGACTGGTGCAGAATTATTCCCATTGAGATGTAGGTCAGATAACAAGAATTGATTATTCTTTACACATTTGTTTAGTGTAAATATTCGAAGACGTGGGGGATTAAATCGATAATCAACATACGCAGATTGATAGAATGTAATCGGAAATGAAGCGTTTATAGGTTCACCTGCTAAACTAAAAAATTTTTCTAGGATTGCTTGGGAAGTTAATCTCTTACATGCTCAATATTCCGCCAATAGTTTCCAGAAGTCCAAAATCAGGTTCATAAGAATAAAATATAAAGATAAAAAGTATTAACGAGATTAGTACGAATTTATAATCATGTTGAATTTCCTTCATTTTAGATTAGAAAGGGAGACTTCCTGGGAATACAAAAAAAAAGTTTGTAGAAGAGGAAAAAAAGTTTCTGGATTCTATAAAAATTGAAATTATTCGGAGAAGGATTTGAATGTAGATAGATCTCTTTCCTATTTTATAGGAGGGCCTGTTGAAGAATGAAAACAATACACCCTTTTGAAATATTCCAAACGTAGATTGTGTAGCGGATAATGTACGGAATAATCACGAAGGATCGGAAACGCCGAACAGGGTTAAAACACAACCAACGAGTTATGACGTCTTGAATGTGTATCATTATTTAGCGTCCACTTTGTATACAGCGTGAAAAATTGAGCGTCTTTTAAAACTTGTAAATCCGTTCTCAAAATTTTCTTAAGAAACTTCCAAAGCGCTGAAATTTCGGTTTCAGTAGCGAAAAATTTGCGTTATGCTTAAAATTAGAGTTTCACATTTCGATGTGAATCAGAGTTGTCAGGAAGTGAAATTTTTAAACCTGGAAGTCGGAAGTCGGAAGTAAAATTATATGTCCGGAAGTCGGGAGTAGAAAGTCGGAAGTAAAATTTCGAACAAGGAAGTCGTAAGTCAGAAGCCGGAAGGGAGAAAATGCCCGGAAGTCGGAAGTCGGAAGTCGGAATTCCTGACATCTCTGATGTAGATTTCAACAAACTCGTTCTCTGACGGCCTTGATTCTCCCCAGAGAAAGCAAATTTCGAGAACTTAGGTTTTTTTTTCGACAGTTCTTGACCATTAGATTATTCTCGACAAAGTTGTTTGTGAGATTCCAAGAGCGTTTCCAGTGCTACCTGGGCCCACTCTCCTCTTTGCCATCTCGACTAGGGTACCTCGGTGTGTAGAACTAGTCCCCCTTTGAGGAAAAAAACCTGATGACTGGAAACAATTTGATTAAAACATGCTGACATGAAAATCATGGATATGAAACTATTGTTCTACAAAAGAATTACAATTAAAAGACTCCGGATTGCTTTGGCTCCCTATTTCCAGTAAGCTCACTGGATCATAAAAAAATGAAAACAAGTTCTATTTTTGAAAAAACAATTCCTACACACTAATATTAGAAAAAATTCAGAATTTAGGTTCCTACTAAAAATATTGGTTCAGAATTATCATAAACCCAATCTGTAACTTTATCCATTTCCTCTCTACAGATTCCACTTGTACTTCGGCACACCTTATCTTGGACTGGGCTGGAAAAAATAGGACTCCATAGAATTAACTAATGTGACTACTCACTCGACTTTACTGAGACATTTCTGTAAAGCGTCGTAATATTTTGAAGAAAACGTTGGAATCGAACCGTTGAATATTTGTTGAACCTGAAAAAATACCTACTCGACTGAAACTGTTTTTCAAAAGTCATACCGTATCACGCATGTTTTGAATATGAGTCGACTGATCGCCTGGGAAGAAACGAAAAGACTTTTCCGTAGTTTCAAGATCTCCATATCTAGGTGAATATCGGAAATGAAGAAGTGCACCGTCTGCCTGAATGCTTCTTATTTAAAAATACTTCAAATTTTTGAAAAACTCACTTTTTTACTCCTCGTCCAAGAGAAAAACGAATCAACAAAGCTATGAGGCCAATGAACTTGTGCGATGGCGAGAACAGATGCGTTGAAGACGTACTGAATGAAAATACGAATTATTTCAAACCCTAATTTTTTTGTTTTGTCATCGCATACTTTTGTATGTTTAGCAGTAGTCTGAAACTTCGGTGATGCCACTCCAGAAAAATTCGATGTATAGATTTTTGGAGTCAATGTCAAGTAGTTGTTCTCAAAGGAAAGAGCTCCAACGCTTGTACCCGTCATTTCTTTGGTGGCATAATCCAGAAGTCTACCATTCGATGGAACCATGACTTCATCAAAATCAGCAATAGTTCCGATTGTAGTTTTGATATCAAGAATACAGATATTCATAGCCATGAAATATGAAAGTACATAGACGCTATTATCAATTTTTGGATATTTACCAGCGATATCAACTGGTAAACTCGGGAAACTAGGCCAGGATTTGATTTCGATCAATCCCTAAAAATTGATTTCTTAAAATTTCAAAATTGTTATGCTTACCAAATCTCTGTAATACTCCAACACCTTCCAAGTTTCCTTTGTTGCCGAATGAAAGTAGACAATAAAACGGGTGGCTCCTTGAGCTCTCCATGCTTCAATATACAGTACTATATTCTGCCATTGAGAGTAGTAGTACACTGGTTGAAGGCAGACCGTAATCCCTTCTGTTGTTTTTTTGTAAATTTTTTCAATATTTAGTTCTACTGTCTTACTGCCCAAGGAAATGGCAACCTGAAAATCATGTATTACTTTCGTAATTTATAAATACAAAGTTACCTTTTTCGGATCTTCATTTGGTTTTAAACCAATCGAAAATGTATGTGGGGTGTAAAAGCATGATGACGCCGGAATATAAATCGATGGACAGTGCCCATCCATAGACTTTCCATAAATATTTTTTCTAACTGATTCAGAACTATTTCCATTTAAATGCAGGTCGGCTAACAAAAAATGATTATTCTTTACACATTTGTTTAGTGTATAAATTCGAAGACGTGGTGGATCAAAACGGTAATCAACATATGCCGATTGATAGAATGCAATCGGAAATGAAGCGTTTATTGGTTCGCCTGCTACTCTAAAAATGTTTACCATAATTGTTTGGGAAGTGAGTTTCTTACATGCTAAATAATTCATCAACAGATTCGAAATATCCAGAACCAGGTTGATAAAAGTAAACTATGACGAATACAATCACTAAAGAAATTAGTACAAACTTATATCGTTGAATTTTCTTCATTTTTATGAAAAGCGTTTCTTAAGAAGGGATTTTTTTTGGATTCTAAAAAGATATTCAGGAAAGGATTTGAGTCTAGAATGATCTCTTTTCTATTTTATAGTGGATCTGTTGAAGATTGGGAAGAATACCTCTTTTGAAAGCCAAACGTAGATTATGATCCGGAGAATTTACCGAAAGATCAGAAAACATCGGAAACGCGGAACAGGGTTTAGGCGCACAACCATCCAAAATTCTGGTTCAGAGACAGCGGCCAAATAGCGGAAAAAGCGCGCGTTGATTAAAAAAAACAAATCCAGGTACCTTTTGAAGTTATCAAAACTTCGTCTGGTCTAAAAGTTTCCTGGATTTTTTTCCTGGAATATCTGAGCATGGGGTTCGGACCATTGCTTTTTTGTTCTTTTTGTTCCACTTCGATTTTTTATATGTTATAAAACATACCTCGATTAAACACTTTGCTTTACAGAACTAGTGAGTCTGTTGAAGATTGGAAAGAATACCTCTTTTAAAAGTCAAACGTAGATTACGATCCAGATAATTTACCGAAAGATCAGAAAAGATACAAAAAGCGGAACAGGGTTTAGGCGCACAACAATCCAGAATCCTTGAAAAAAGCGCGCGTTGAAAAAAAAATTCACCGGCCAAATCCAGGTATACTTGGAAATTATCTTATCGTCTGGCATAAAAGTTTCTTGAGCATGGGTGTCAGACCTTTGCTTTTTTGTTTTTCGACTTGAAAAATATAGATGATCATTCCATGATAAATGGTCTAGAAAGCCTAAATAATCTCGGCTATCTGTAGAATTCTCTCATTTATAAATTGATACCGGGATTCAGAACCTGCAGAAACATATGATATCATTCATTCGACATTTTCCGAAAGATTCCTATAAACTCTATTTATTAGGTTGAAAGCAACGTAACTGTCCATTTCTTATTAATGCCGTGTTCAAAGTTGATTTCCAAAAGAAATTTCTTGGAAAAATGTTGTCCAAAGTTACCATCGCTTTCCAGATTTCCAAAGGGGCTTTCGCTTCGAGACCCACCTGACATGAATTTCCATGTTCAACAATAAAATTAGAGTCAAAACCGTGATACAGTAGTTTAGTGTGTCTGGAAAACAGGAAAACAATCGCAGCTTTGGACAGCCTTTCCCAGGAAATATCTCCTGGATATCAACTTTGAACACGCTATAATAAACAAATCAAAAACAAGATTAATCTAAAATTCACAGTATGCACCGTCGTTATCCACAACATGATGGTAACATTCAGGTAACTTTTGGGGAAAATAAATTGAAACTGTCGATAAGCTAAAAACCATCCTTGGCCGCGCTTTTTTTCAGAATTTTCAGGACCCGGCCCGAATTTTCGAAAAAAATTTTTCTGTCTTTTCAAAAAATTTTTTGGGGTCAACAGAAAAAAATGGACGATTTTTCTGACAAAAAAAATTTTCTTCAAGATAAGAGTGTCCATAAAAATAGTTCTTTTACAAAAAAATTTCAAAAAAATTTTCAAATTTGGAGAACCCGGGCCCGCCGGGCCGGGCCGGGCCCTGGAAATCTTCGTCCCGGGCCCTGATTTTGCAAGTATGCTAAAAACTGCACTGAAGGAATACTTTATTTCACGTCAGTTTGGCTTTTGGAGGGATGGTATACACAAGTTACCTAAACCTTGGTGGACCACGACGGTGCATACTGTTAGTTTTGGATAAATCTTGTTTTGAATTATGTCCTAATTAAAAAATGGACAGTTACTTTCCTTCCAACCTAATAAATTGAATTTAGAGGATTCTTTTGGAAAATGTCAAATGAATGAAGCCGTACGTTTCTGCAGATTCTGAATCCCGGTAATCAATTTATTAATGAAAGAATTCTACAGATAACCAAGATTATTTACGCTTTTTAGACTATTTTTCATGGAATTATCATCTATATTTTTTAAGTCCAAGAACAAAAAAGCAAAGGTCTGAAATCCATGCTCAAGAAACTTTTATGCCAGACTATAAGATAATTTCCAAGTATACCTGGATTTGGCCCGTGAATTTTTATTCAACGCGCGCTTTTTTCAAGGATTCTGGATTGTTGTGCGCCTAAACCCTGTTCCGCTTTTCGGATTTTTTCTGATCTTTCGGTAAATTATCTGGATCATAATCTACGTTTGACTTTCAAAAGAGGTATTCTTTCCAATCTTCAACAGACTCACTAGTTCTGTAAAGCAAAGTTTTTAATCGAGGATTGGTCACTTGATAGCTGAGCTCCAGACTCCAGAACATGGTCAAAATCAACTGAAAAACACGCTTCTGGATATCTTATTGACTGGTACTGTATATTATAGACATCATCCTCGAGAGCAATATTAGGAATCTAAAATATACTTACAAATCACAAAATCCAATAATCATTCAAAAACATTAACTATATTCCCATCAACACTCAGTTGACCGCACTTTCTGAATGTTTCGATTGTTCAGATTAATCAGAGTTCTTGTTTTCACAGGTTAAGGTAATTGGGGACTTTATCGACTTTTTTTCGGATTGTCTGATTGGAGTGGCCAATTTATTCTTGTTCATTTCATTGTCCGCTTTCATGCCACATTCCCTGAAATCTTTTAGATTATACTCTCCGATCTTGGACTTTTTTTTCTAAATCCAGTTTTTGTGTTCTTCCTTGAAATGTAAATACCAAACATCGGAAATTGAGTATCGATTTCATTAGTTGTATTAATTCAAAGATAAATTAAGTTTAATTATTCAAATCATTCGCTAGCGTCATTTTTCTGAGTCGTGGTCTTGAAATATTGACTGGATTCCGTTGAAGATACAACATTTTCATCGTTTTGCTTGTCCCGTCCTATTGTTTGATATACATGTTTGGTTCCAGAATTACATTAGCAATGAGCTCTTCTCTAAACTGCACGTCTTCATTGAGGTTATCCGTGAAGTTTTCAGGAGACAGATTGGAGGATGTGGAAAATTTTCTAAAAGAAATAATTGATTTCTGATGAGTAATGCAAAAAAAACTACCTCAAGATACCAGAAGGTTCTAAACTTTCATCCAGTTCATCCCCAAGATATACGGTTATTGGGTGGTCGTTGATGGAGACAATCTGAACAAAAGTATTTCCCATCAAAACTAAAAAATTTCGACACTAACTCGTTCGGGTCTGACAAGCAATCTGGTGACATCTGCATTTTCTGGTGAACTCCATTTCAAAATGTTCGTTTTGTGATCCACAATGCTGCTGAAATATTAATACATGATTCATCGGATTTTTAATTTCAATTGTTACTCCAAATACGCAGCGATTGTCTCCTTATCTTGTTTCGCTTCTAAACGATCTTCCAAATTCAAAAACGCCGTCCATTTGGAGAGATACCTGCTTCGATGAAGACAATCCTGAAAAGGGAAACCGGCTGCTTCAAATTTCTCTTCTCTCAGAAAAACTCACATTCGCTTGAACCTGATCCGAAACGTCTTCAGCTACTTTCACAACTCGAATATCCCCTGATCTGATATAATCATCTAGTAATACCCTTTGATAATGACTCGTATTTTTCAAGTAAACATGGAAGAAAGTAGAGCCTTGTAGTTTGTAGTATTCAATGAATTAGCGATTTTCAGCATGTTCTCCTCGTGATTTTCCAGAGTTACACAGACGGAGAAAAAGTGTTTCGGAGCCCGTCCTTGGATTTTCACTGGGGTTTGAACTTTTTCTTCGAGTGATTCACTGATAGAAATATAGTTTGCTCCGGCACGTCTTGGACAGTATACTGTAGATTCAGGAAAGACGAAGGATTTCATCTGGCGGACCATTTCCTTTTTCTTGCAATCAAAGTAACGACAAAAGACAGTCTCGCTGGAACATTCTAGGTTATTAGAAGCTCATAAAAGGAACCAATTAAGACCGCCGACCCAGCCGACCGGTAACTGGCCATGCTGACCGACTACGTACATTTGACTGTCAACCAACCAGAGAGTGTCTACGTACGCAGCATTTTATTTTACGATGCGCTACACATTTTTTTGATTTTGTAAATCAGAACATGATTCGTACGTAAACACTCTCTGGCATGTTGACGCGCAAATGCTCAAGTTCGGTCGGCGGTCCGTCGGCTGGGTCTGCGGTCGGTCGGCGATTGAAGACTTTCGACCGACCACAATATACTCCTAAAACCAACGTGGAGAAGTTTCTGGCCGATAAAGTGACCGCAATATAATTCTTATAAGCGAAAGCTCCTAAAATCGTTGGCTTCTCCTCTCCTATGAAATCAGTTTCATTGAGTTCGACATTCTTATTGGCTATCCACTGTTTGAATACTGATTTGTGGGGTACTTCGTCCAATGTTACATTATTCCACTCTTCCACATGGCAACTTGATCTGGAATTTTCATCTACTGTAACTTTTAACTTTGAGCCAATTTATCTTGGTTTCTGTCAAAGATTTGGAAACGTTGTAACTGATAAAATATTTAACATGATATTAGAAACATTTTATCAGTTGACAGATTTTTAATATCTCTCATAGGAACTGAGTTAATTGAGCTCAAATTTGACAGTGTTTATGCTGAAAATCAAAGGTGAACTAATAACTCACTTATCAACGACTACCATTGGTTCTTGAGTAGAAATCAAAAATTCTGAAGAACTGGAAACTTCTGTTGAGCTCTCGGCTGTTACGGTACTTCCAGATGCAGTTTCCGTTGAATTAGCGAACATCAGAGATTCCACAGGACGTTCAGAATTGTCATTTGCCAGATTCTCTTTGTTTTCTTCTATAGTCACAAATCCTTCATCAACTTTTGCGTTTACTTCAAACGTTCCTGGAGTTGTGGTCTCAACCAAGTCTTCTGAATCTTTTCCTGGTTGTTCTGATTCTTCAGGTGCTTCCGAAGTCTCCTCAATCTGTATATTTACTTCGTCAACAGTTGCTGTTGAATCTTCTGGAGCCTTGGTAGTTTCTTCCTCGATCAGTTCCTCTTCATTAGTTTTCTGTGTACTTGGAAGCTCTGTTACTTCTTCAACTCCACTGTTCTGATCCTCAACTTTTTCAGAATCAAGCTCTGAAATTCTCTCTTTCTGTTTCCCTCCGTCGTAGTTTCTTCCACTTCCTCACTCTCTGTTATTTTTCGCTCCTCTTCTTCCAACTTTGCCAACTTCTCCTTGTAGCTTTCATCGTCAGGGCCAGAGGGTAATACGGAATTGTTGAAAACTGGACTTTCAATGCTGGATTGAGCTTCGGGGGATATTACTAGAGCATCTTGTGAGGCTTTTTGGAAGTCATCGCTATCTGGTTTTGTTTCAGAAAACGGGTTCGCAGATATTACTGGGGACGGATTATTTTCATGATATTCGTGAGAATCTGAAGAAAAAAGCTTTTGAATTCAAATGTTGAACCAACCTACCTGGTTTAGGAGTTTCCTGTTTAGAATCCGGATAACCTATATAAAAAGTGGCAGCACAAAGTACAATAACAACTAGTAAAAACTTCAGGAACCGGTTTTGAGCGGCAGTCTGAGTTTGCCACGTGAACGGTGTATAGGCCACATCTCGACCCATTTTCGGAGAAAGAGAATGCGAGCGAAAAGCCGAGAAGGAATAGATGGGTGAGATTTCAGGTAGATAAGAAGGTATGTGGATTCTTGGAGGTGTGCGGGGAAGAGGAACTGTTGAAGTTGAACATTTTGTTTAGAAGATTCCAGAATAGATACTAAGTGCAAAAAATTTCAAAAAAGAGGATTGGTCTTACAAAAACAAGTATATCTTTAGACATAAATATCTTAAAAGTAGGAAAATTAGTATAAATATAGCATTGTTGTGATTGTCCAAAGATTAATGTTTCTTGCGCACCGTTGTGATTTTCATAAGATGAAGCAACTTTGACAAGCTATAAATTAGTTCAAAGTCAGTCAAAAAATTTGAGGTTAGGCCAGTTTACTGATGACTTATTGAAATTTCTGCACCGTGAATTTGAGCCCAGCACTAAGCTTTACGTAAATTTTATTCTAGTACAAACTTTGGTCGTTCTTTCAATTTCAACGATTCTCAGTGGTTTATAAAAAAGGCAACATGAGAAACTCATGAAAAATTTTATTAAATTTGTTCAGAAACTTTGAATCTTCTAAGCCGCGAGATTATTTTTCTCATGCTGCTGTTCTAGCCAACACGACGCATTGAGTCCTCCATGGATTTGATAAATTCGTTGTTTCTGATCACAAGTGACATCAATCACATCATATACCCATTTGACTCGTTTCAGAATCTGAAATTTCGATTTTTGAAAAAATCTCAAAATAAAACGAGATACCCATACTTGTAACGGGCCGGGCCGGGCCAGGCTTTTTTCCGAATTTCGAAGGCCGGTCCCGGCCCGAGCCCGGTTTTGAAAATTTCAAAAAACAAGTTTTGAAAATTTCAAAAAACACATAATTGGGGACCCTTATGTGATTTTTTTCGATCAAAATTTTTTTTCGAGTTTTTTCGATCTTTCTAGATTAAACAGACAAACAATCCAAAAAAACAAAAAAAAATGGAGAAATCATATTGAGAGCTCAAAATTTGGCTCAAAAATACAGAATTCTTGATACCGGGCCCGGGCCTTGAAAATTTCCTCAGGCCCGGCCTGGGCTTTGGCGGACCGGCCCGGAATTTCACAAGTATGGAGATACCTTCTCAGTCAACAAGTTATCTATCCACTGCGCAATTGGGGATATACTAAATGGAGCATGTATCATCATTCTATCCAGTGCACCCGCAAACACCCGCTGTTGTACATTCCGATAGTGTCTGAAAGTTTTTTTTCTATTTTCAGAAATTTTCATTTTCTCAAACCTGACAACTCCGATACTTTCATTCACCAATGACCTCCTCATTCCTGAATAGGTCGCCAATGGAGCATGAATCGTCATTATGCCTATTTTTTCAGGCCGGATAATGCATTTCGGTTGGTTCCAAAACGATCCAACTTGAGAGAGATTCTGATATTTGTGGAACACCATTTCTTCGATCAGCTGCTTTTCGTTTTCATATCTAGCTGGAGTATTATCTGTTTTGATTATCCATTGAACCTTGAAATGGAGATTCACGATGTTAGGGTCGGTAACGGAGCTGGAAATTTGAAAGTTTGGGTTTTTCGGTTGACATGGACTCACTCCAAGAAGCTAGTGATGGTTTTGTAAGAATCACTTCTCATCTCCATTCGTTCATCGACATCGATAACTGCGGTCCACTTGGAAAAATATTTGTTCCGATGGTGGCAATCCTGAAAATACAATTTGCAAAATTTTCATACTTTCCAAGCTTTGAGCTATGGAACTTTCTAGTGTCCTTTTAACAACCAGATAAAGCTTCCATTTGGTCGGGAAATTTAGCCGACAGACCGACCGTCAACCAAGCTGAATTTCAATGATGCGTACGCAAACACTTGATGCACAAAATGTTATCGGTCGGCTGTCGGTCGCCTGGGTCGACGGTCGCCAATTTTTGATCAATAAAAATGGATCCCCTATTTTCAGAAACTCACATTTATCTGCGCATTATGCCACATAAAATCATCCCTCCAATGATGATCATGCATTTTAATAATCTCAATATCTCCGGTTCTAACATAGTCATCCAACAAAACTCGGTCATAATCGGTCACATTTCTCAAGTAGATATGGAAAAATGTGGCTCCTTGAAGTTTATAGTATTCGATGAAGTCAACGATTTGCAAGAACTTCGGTTCATCTCCATATAGTGTTGCCATGCAAACAGTGAAATAGTGAGGGGGTTCTGAAAATGGGTCATGGGTGAATTTCTAGAGAAAAAAGTACTTACTTTGAATTCGAGGAACAATTGGAATAGAGTATTCGGGAACTTCTTCCAGATTTTTCGAAATGGAAATGTATTTTGCTCCTGGTCTTCGAGCACAAAACACAGTGGATTCTGGATTCACCACTGATTCAAATTGATCTGGAATTTCTCTCCGGCGACAGTCATAGTAGCGACAGTAGACGGTATTACTGAAATACGAATATAGAATAATTTTGTCAACGCTATAACAAACTTGAACTGATTCTCCGCAGTTAACGTTACTATAATTTGATCGGTGTACACAAATGCTCCAAGTAATGCAAACGAGTTATGGTACAAGTACTTCCGTATGCCAAGATTTTCCTCGGCCCACTCTTTGTGTCTCTCCTGGTTTGGGATAGAATCTGTGTAGACGTTATTCCAATCTTCGATTTGGCATTCGGATCTGAAGATTTCTATAGGTAAGTACCGGAAATTCTAGGAACGACGCTCACGATTTGAAATCAAATAATGAATCCTCTTTCTCATTAAAATGACTATTATACAAACTTGTTGCTTCTTTTTTTGATTTTCCAACTTTCTTGACTACTTTATCATTCAAATTGATATAATGGACCACTTCGGATGTCGCTGAAATTGGTTTTTTATAGAGCTCACAATTTCAATCATTTAGCAAAACTTACAATTTTTGACCTCTTCTATTGTTTTCACATTTTGAGAAAAAGTAACTGAAATAGAGCTTAAAATGATTGAGGGTAAGGAAAGAAGGAGGGTGCATCGAGACAACATTCTGCCAATAATTAGATCCATTTCGGTGTCTTTTGAAGACAATTGTTCGCAGATAAGCTCGCATAAAAAGTTGTGGAACAAGGAATGGAGGATAACGAATATTGGGATGAAAATTGGTGAAAAAATAGAGGGAGATTAGGATCAATCGGCTATTGTTCTGGATCATACAAGATTGGATGTCGAGACATTTTATTTGAAAAATACTTTATTAACAAATCTAACTAAGAAAAATCTGCAAAAGTAAAAATACAATTTATGTTCCTATCAAAAATAATGGTTCAGATTTTGCATAAACCCAATCTTCCACTTTGTCCATCTCCGCTTTACATAATCCACCAGTACTAACGCATATTTTTTCCTCCGATTTCCTAAAAAAAAGAAAGAATTAATTAAATTACCGTAAAACCTCTAATAGAACACCACCCGGATCGTCCACTTTGAGCCTATATATCTCATTTCTTTTGAAAGATATCAAAAAGTGGTTAACTAGTAAAATGTTTATCAGGATATCAGCAACATTTCACTATTTAGCCACTTTTTGATATCTTTCACAAAAAATGAGATATATAGGCTCAAAGTGGACGATCCGGGTGTCGTTCTATTAGAGGTTTTACGGTAACTGATGGGACTCGGCTCCGCGTCACTTCAAAACCGGTCGTTTCGAAACCGGTCGTTTCGAAACCGCGACACTTCAAAACTAGTCAGTTCGAAAATACTAAATTTAGAATCTGCAATTTATTATTTTTTTGGTTTCGAAACGACCGGTTTCGAAGTGACTGGTTTCGAAGTGACCGGTTTCGAACTAACTGGTTTCGAAATGACTGGTTTCGAAACGACCGGTTTCGAAGTGTCGCGGTTTCGAAATGACGCGGAGCATGGGACTCACATGATTTTATTGACACATTCCTGTAACGTATCGTAGGGCTTCGAAGAAAACTTTGGCATCACACCGTTGAATATTTTTTGAGCCTGAAATAACAAACTCAATTCGCTGAAATAGTTTTTTAAAAGGGGCCTACCGTATCTTCCATATTTTTGATGTGAGTAGAATGATTATCGTCTGGGAAGAAGCGGTAAGGTTTTTCCGTAGTTGTAAGATTTTTAGATTCAGCGTCATATCGGAAATGCAGAAGTGCACCGTCTGCCTAAAAAGTTGTAATTTGAAGAAAAAAATTGGAAAAAATAACTCAAATTTTTACTGATCATCAAAGAATCCGTGAAGCTATCGGGAACATGAACTTGTGCAATATCAATAACGGATGCGTTGAAAACGTACTGGAAAATTTGTATTAATTAACTTAAGTTTTTTGGCTCTACTAATTGTAAAAAAATTTGGTACTTAAAAAGGTTCACACTTTTTATGGATAAAATCGGACATTTTTTGCATTCCCATAATTAACATTTTTGCTTGGCTTTTCATTAATTTGTAAATTTCGAGATTAAAAATCAATCACAGCGTTTTTAATATGTACTCGTCCACTGACGGGGACTCTTCCTCTCGTTTGTCTGGGCAAAGTATTTCAAGAATCGCTTGTAACACATTTGGATGTTGCTGGCAACCTTAGGTCAGAGGGTTAGAGGTTTTCGGCTCTCGGTGGGATCTAAGTTCTCCCAGTATTCGGAGTGTTCATTCTGTGTGGTAACCTTGCTCTCGTGTTCATCATACCCATCAAGCTTCTATCTGCTTCGTTATCATATAAAAGATTCATCGTTGTCTCCATCTACAACTTGTCTTTGACAATAAAACTGTCATCACTCGAATAATTTCTGAGTTTCTGAATTTCTGCATTTCCAAATTGTTTCTCTAGACATCAGCAAATGACGATGAACCTTCTGATGACAACGAAGCAGACCGAAGGCTCGATGAGTATGATAACAATGAAATCCCGGTGACCACTCTGAATCTTTTATCAAAGTCGAAGGCGATTCAGAATATGAAACTGTGAATCTAGACAACGGCCCGAATCGAATGTTCGCTTAGGCTTCTTTGGTTGCAGAATCAAACATTTTTTCCTGAACCTTTTCACAAAATTTACCAAAAAGGTCCTTTTTTCTTAACTACCAAACGTTTAAAATACCGACATATCAAAGCAGAGCCGATTTCATTGTTGCTTACTTTTGATGGCCAAGCTAAAATCTTGAATTTCGGTGATGCCACTCCAGAAAAGTTTGCTGAATAGATTCTTGGAGTCAATGATACGTAATGGTTTTGAAAGATGAGAGCTCCAACTTTTGTATTCGCCATTTCTTTGGTCGCGTAATCCAAAAGTCTACCATTCGTTGGAACCATGACTTCATCGAAATCAGCAACAGTTCCAATTGTTGTTTTGATATCGAGAATACAGATATTCATAGCCATGAAATATGAAAGTATGAAAACGCTATCATCAATTTTCGGATATTTATCAGCGATATCAACTGGTAAACTTGGAAAACTGGGCCAGGGTTTAATTTCAATAATTCCCTGAAATTAACTGATATTGTAAAAAATTTAAAATTGTTCTATTTACCAAGTCTCTGTAATACTCCAACGTCTTCCAAGTTTCTTTAGTCGCAGAATGAAAGTATACAATAAAACGAGTGGCTCCGTGGGCTCTCCATGCTTCAATGTACAGTACAATATTTTGCCATTGAGAGTAGTAGTATACTGGTTGGAGACATACAGTAATCCCTTCAGTTGACTTTTTGTAAACCTTTTGAACACTCAGTTCCACTTTCCTACTGCTTAAAAGAATGGTAACCTGGAAACATATTTTTATGGCTTGTCATTTGATCATAAAAATTACTTTTTTCAAATCTTCATTTCTTTTTAAATCAATGGAAAATGTATAAGGGTTATAGACGCACCCTTCTTGCTCGATATAATTTATTGGGCATTTTCGATTCAGAGGTATTCCGTAAATATTTTTTCTAACTGGTGCAGAATTATTTCCATTAAAATGTAGATCGACTAACAAAAATTGATTATTCTTCAGACATTTGTTTATTGTAAAAATTCGAAGACGTGGTGGATCAAATCGATGATCAACATATGCCGATTGATAGAATGTAATCGGAAATGAACCGTTTACGGTATCATCTGTTACACTGAAAAATAAGAAAACTATAATTGTTAAGTAACGGAAATTCTTACATGCTCAGTAATTCACCAACAGTTTCCAAATATCCAAAATCAAGTTCGTAGGCATAAAATATGAAGACCACAAATATCAACGAAATCAGTACACCCTTGTATCGTTGAATATCTGTCATGTTTAGGTTTGACAAAGTTTGAAGAGAGAAAAAAGTGTCTGGGATTTGCAAAGATAGAAAATTCTAGATAGAAAATTCGGTGGAGGATTTGAACCTAGACTGAACCTCTCCGATTTCACAATAGGTCTCTTGATGAATGGAAAAGAAGCTATTTTCGAAAAATTCTGAACGTAGATTGTGTACGGGATAATGTACGGAGAGATAAAAGGAAATCGGAAAAGCGAAACAGGGTTTACAGACCCAGAATCCAAGGGTACAGCGAGGTCATCGAGTTCTTAGGCTACATTATAAGGTACATGGGTCTAGGGAAAATAAATCTTATGGTCTAGGGAAAAGAATGAATAATACTTCGTAAACAGACGGTCTTCAGTTGTCCATTTGACCTTCGAAATAGCTGAAAAAAAGTTGGAGATCGAGGTCAGATATAATAAGAATTTTTTTTGGATGAAACGTCTTCTCATGAATCAGTGATCAGCTTGTTTCCGCAGGACCTCCAGGAATGAATAAAAACACGTAGCAGGTATATCCGACGGCTCCTCACAAAACTTTTATAAATCTTCCGAGTCTTCCGAAAGCAAAAAAACTCAAATTGATAAGTTTCTATTTCGATAAATCAAACTCTTTGGAACAAAGGAGGCGAAAGTTCAGAAGTATCGATTAAAGGGAAATCTTATGAAAATAGAATCGGTGATGCACGAGCAGAAGCTTCTGGTTGAAACCGTCCCAGAAAAATTATGATTGGGGAAAAATGCCGGGAAAATGAAGATGCCGATAGAATATTCTTAAACCAATCACAAGTTATGGTCTGATCATTTGAGCTAATGGAAGTGATATAATGAAATAGGGATTCACCAAGATGATAGGAACAATTTCAGGAAAAGAGTATGAACTCTTACAATACGGTGTACAGTAACCGGTGTTCACACAGCGCGTAGCTATCGTGCCGCTTTCATACAATATGAAATCGGATAGCGGTGCAACTCCCGCCATCGTCGCTTAGCCGGAAACGCGGTTTTTAAAAAGATCGAAAATAGTTTGTTAATTGACACTTTTTTGATATCCTACACAGAAACCGAGATGAACGAAGTTTGAAGTTAGGGAAACGGGATCATTCTACATATTAGTGCTTACGATAACTATCAATACGAGTTAAATTTCAGGGTTCGTCTTCCAACTTGTAGATTTTCGGTATATGAGGCCCTTCAAACAATATACGACATATTAACCGATTCATTTTAAAAAAATGAATGTATGCAATTTTGAATAGCATCGGAATTAATTTGTATTTTGAATCCAAATGTTCATAATGATAGTGCTTGGATTTATAATATTTTTCAAAAAGTTGGACACAAGTCAACTACGAAAATATAATTTTCGCTATTTTACTTTTTCACACATACTGGAAAAAAACGGGTTCTCATAAGAAACATCCGACATGAGATCCGCGGCAGATCAGAAATTCAAAGAAAGATTCAAATCTTTCCTTGTTCGGAAAATCGGACTTGGGTGCGGTGAACGTGAGACTACCCAGGGTGAGGACAATTATTTTAGAGTGGCTTTTTTAGAATTTTTCTTTGAAGACGTCAAAACCGGAACAGTCGGTCTTTGCGATATGTATAAAACTTATTAACGAGCCAAATAAGCGGAATAAATAGGTAAAAGATTAGGGATTTTTCATGAGCTAGATCAGCAGAATCGAAATTTTTTAGGATTTTCGGAAAATCGCACCTGCGTAGCTCAGTCGGTAGCGGTGCTGTACCCGTGATCATTTCCTCATGACTTCAACACACGACGGTGGTTCTCTAGAAAATATCTAGAAAACGTTTTTAGTGAATTGCCTTCTTTAAACATTCGAAATTGCCCTATTATTTTATGGACAGATTATGCCAAGCTGGGATTCAAAACTTGAGTAGAGATTCATACAAGCTTCCTTATCATCAGATTGTTAATCTCCTCAGACAGTGAAACATTTTCAATTTCCTTGAAATACGCTTTTCTTCCAATTGTCAGTTCACACTATACACATCAACAAACATCAAGAAAAAATTGGACGGAAAGAAAAGTCACCATCTCCGAAATCTGATCGAAGTCGGGATATACGCGAGAAGCGTGATTTCGTGTAACGTCTATTTCGAATAAATAACAAAGCCCACATAAATATACCGTAAAAACTCTAATTTAACACCATGGGCCATGGCGTTCTATTTTTCAATACATAGCTGGGAGAACGTTCTATTAGAGAGTGGCATTCTATTATTCGACATCATGAGAAAAAATTTCGTTCAGGGATGTGGGATTTTATCAGCATATAAATTTATTTAAAAAGGTTCAAAACATTCAAATTTGACCATTTTCAACTATTTTCCTTATTTAAAGGTGGGGGGAAATGAAAAAAATAATTTTCTCGATATTTCGTTTAAATATGCCCCTCGAGGAGTTGAACTTATTGGGGCGATGATTGAGGGTGCGGCGCCGCTACCGACTGAGCTACACGGGCAAAGAGAAAGCGGCCGCCCGATTGCATACATAAAGGCGAGGACGACAGCTGTACGCAGAGTGACATTAAGCGTTGTATACCGTTACGGTAGAATGCATACTCTGGCCCCAAAAATCCCCCGTAAAATCTCCTGTCCCCCCACCTTTAATGTTTCTTTTTGGCCAGTACTGGAACCAACAATTAGTAGGAGAAACGAAAATGTACTTTTGGTGTGACGCACTATTAGTGGGTGACTTTCAATTGGAGGGTGGCGTTCAATTTTTCGAAGCACTGCTCAGAGAACGTTCTATTAGAGGGTGGCGTTCAATTAGGAGGGGCTATTGTGACAGGACAATAAGATCGCCTGTCATATTCTTCTATTAGGTTAATTAATTATTCCGGACGCGGACAGATTGTTTACCCCTATTGCCCTTTCCACCCTTCTATTGTTTGTCCCGATTGCCATCTCGTCGTTATAACAATCCTATCTATTCAGTCTTAACCCTCGCATCGGTCGCGAGAAGTACGAAGATAATAGCAACAGAAGTACGAAGATAATAGCAACACTTTGCCAACTTCTAACTTTTCCCCAGTCTCACATGTTCCCTAGAGTTTTTGAATGAATTTGTTCCGAGGATTTGAAAAATGATGAAGAGGCTAGAACTGAACTTATCAAAAATTTTCAAACAGTGAAATAAATCAGAGGGTTCTAGATATCATTGCCATAGAAAATTGTGAATTTCTAGTAAAATTTTATTTTGAATCGGAGGAAAAATTGGGATAGAGCATTCAGAAATTTCTTTCAGAAATTTTTTTAAATTCAAATTTATTATGCTCTAGACCGTCGAGTACAAAAAACACCGGATTCAACGCACATTCAAATTGATGAGAAATTTCTCTCCAAACCATTTTCAACCTATATACATATATACGATCGTTTTGAAATTTTGGGAAAAAGTAACTGAAGTAAAACTTAAAATAATAGATGTCAACGAAAGAAGGAGCGCACCACGAGACGATATGATGTCGATAAGCTTTATTAAACAACCACTTCATTAAGTAATCTAATTGAGAAAAATCTACAGAATTTAGGCCCCAACCAAAAATAATGGATCAGATTTATCATAAACCCAATCATTCACTTTATCCATTTCCTCTTTGCATATTCCACCCGTACTTCGGCACACTTTATCTTCCACTGGGCTGAAAATATTTGGAAATTTAAAACAGTGAATATTCCGTCGATGTAGGCTCACATGATTTTTCTGACACATTTCTGTAAGGTGTCGTAGGGCTTTGAAGAAAACGTTAGCATTGCGCCGTTGAATATTTTTTGAGCCTGAAATAAACTCACTCTGCTGAACTTTTTTTAAAAGGGGCCTACCGTATCTTCCATATTTGTGATATGAGGAGAATGGTTGTCAGGGAAGAAACGGAAAGGCTTTTCCGTAATTTTAAGATTTTCAGACTCAACTTTATATCGAAAATGAAGAAGGGCACCGTCTGCCTGGAAGATTCCCATTTGAAAACATTCAAATTTTCAAAAAACTCACATATTCACTTCGCATGGAAGAATCAATAAAGCTATCGGGAACATGAACTTGTGCAACAGCAATAGTGGATGCGTTGAAAATGTACTGAACAAAAACTCGTATTATTTTGAGATCTAATTTTTAACGTCTACTTTTGGTGGACGATTGAAAGTCAGGAATTTTGGTGAACGCACTCCAGAAAAGTTAGATGTATAGATTCTTGGAGTCAATGATACGTAATGGTTTTGAAAGATGAGAGCTCCAACTTTTGTATTCGCCATTTCTTTGGTCGCGTAATCCAAAAGTCTACCATTCGTTGGAACCATGACTTCATCGAAATCAGCAACAGTTCCAATTGTTGTTTTGATATCGAGAATACAGATATTCATAGCCATGAAATATGAAAGTATGAAAACGCTATCATCAATTTTCGGATATTTATCAGCGATATCAACTGGTAAACTTGGAAAACTGGGCCAGGGTTTAATTTCAATAATTCCCTGAAATTAACTGATATTGTAAAAAATTTAAAATTGTTCTATTTACCAAGTCTCTGTAATACTCCAACGTCTTCCAAGTTTCTTTAGTCGCAGAATGAAAGTATACAATAAAACGAGTGGCTCCGTGGGCTCTCCATGCTTCAATGTACAGTACAATATTTTGCCATTGAGAGTAGTAGTATACTGGTTGGAGACATACAGTAATCCCTTCCGTTGACTTTGTATAAACCTTTTGAACATTTAGCTCGACTGTCCTATTCCCTAAGAAAATGGTTACCTGGAAATTATATATTACTGTTGTCATTTCAAAAAACACAATTACTTTTTTAGGATCTTCATTTGGTTTTAAGCTAATTGAAAATATATATGGACTATAGAAACACGGTGATGCTGGGATATATGCCGATGGACAGTGGCTTTCCATAGGTTTTCCGTAAATATTTTTTCTAACTGAGGCAGAAATATCTCTATCAAAATGTAGGTCAGCTAACAGAAATTGATTTTTTACACATTTGTTTAGTGTGAAAATTCGAAGACGTGGTGGATTAAATCGGTAATCAACATATGCCGATTGATAGAATGTAATCGGAAATGAGGCGTTTATCGGCTCTCCTGCTACACTGAAAAATGAGAAAATATATTTGTTTGGAAAGTGAAATCTTTACATGCTCAATATTCCGGTAACTGTTTCCAAATATTCGAAATCAGGTTCATAAAAATAAAATATGAAGACTACAAATATTAATGAAATTAGTAAAATCTTATATCTTTGGATTTCTTCCATTTTTTGCTTCGAAAACAATGTTCTTGAAAGACGGTTCTGTATGAGAGAAAAAAGTTAATAAAAATGAAATGACTCGGTGGAGGGTTTGAATCTGGACTGACCTCTTTCCCATTTCATAGTGTGAATCTTTTGAAGTATGACCCCTTTTCTAAATATTCAAAGACTAGATTGTGTACGGGATAATGTGCCGAAATAACACAAAAGATCGAATAAGCGGAATACGGGTTGTGTATTTGGGCATTCCACTTTTGAAATATTCCGGATTGGGTGCTTTGACTTTGTTAAAGTTTTTGTGTTTATCTAAGTCTGTTAAATGAATTAGAACAAAAACAAGGCGTGGTCATATTTAAAGTTCTCTTTTTTTTCCAGTTTCAGGTTCTATCAATAAAGAATAGTCAAAATGAGCAGTGAATGAATAAGAACATTTTTGAATCAAAGTTCCACACTTTTTGTATTTATGAAAATGTTGACATATGAGTTCTAGATTCATATCTGAATTCTATTGGAAATTTCAACGGTTCTAATTAGACAATCGCTAAAATATTGGAAGAGAATTCAAACAGTATTTTCACAAAGTTTCACATGTTTTGGTGGAAATTCTGATTTTCGAGAAAAAACCGTTCGGGTATTCAATTGATTTTTGATTTTAAACATTCTTGGTATTTACCAAACGAGGCAACGATCTCCCAATACCAATAACAAAAAAAATGAGTCTAGATTTTTTGTATTATCTGTAATGAAGGATTCCACTTATTGCTTTGTTTCAGTGTAAGCTTATAATTTAACCCTCCCCCCCCCCCCCCGAGTTTGTCTTTTCCATTCTTGCTTTTATTCGGTTTGCTTTTGATTGTTTTCTCTGTTTCTCGGAGATGCGAATGTCCGAAACATGGAAAACGTTCGATTGGAAAAGACAAGGCATGATTTTTCGGAGATTACAGGACTTTTATAAAATCCTGAATAGGCTGGAATCCAAAAGAAGCAGCCACGACCTGTGCCGTATTTCTGATCACATAAAGCCGTAACATTCATTCAGTGGTCTGTTTTTGTTATACTGGTTCGTCACTCCGCTACATCACTTTTCGCTTTCTATTTGTCAACCTCTTTCATTGTGGCGCAACTGTGCGCATGCGCATCCATGGTGCGGAAGGAACTTGCTTCAGTTTTGGTTGCGGCCAAACTCTCATTTAAAAATCCAAAAGTCCACAGCCTGACACGAGGACCAACAGACGCGTCTAGCGTTTTATATACAGTGCGGTCAATGTCTATACGATCCCCTAGAGCGCACAGAAAAAACTAGAAGAGATATCAAAAAACGGTTAACGCAATTCGATTCACAATCAAAAATAACCTCTAGAGACAAAGTTTCATAATTTTAGCACTTTCCCTGAACAGGTACCATCCAAAAAAATCTATATGCAAGCGGTCAATATCTATATGACCACCTGGAAAATGAAAAATCTCAAGTATTTTAGAAAGCAAACTTTAGAGAGATTGAACTTTTTTTTGGTTGGAAACTGCTAAAATAATCCCAAAACAGCATAGTTTGACAGTTAATACAAAAATTGATTCCTCTATTCAAGTTTTAGAAAAAATTGTTTTCTGTCATTTTCGTCATTTTTCAGATTTTTGGAATAAACCTTGAATAACTTGGCTCCTGGGTAAGATTTTGAGCTATTGACCACACTGTATAAGGGAAAAATCACAAATCTTCATTTACTGTTCGTTATCCTCCATTCCTGGTTTCGCACCTTAATGAAACTGTGATGAAACAAAACACTAAATTTTAAAATTTCATAGTTCGAAAAATTAAGCATTCAGGAATTCAGAAATCTGAAATGTAAAAGAACAGGAAATCGGAGAATGCGGAAGTGCTCTATTTCTGGAATTCAAAATTCGAATATTCGAAGATTCGGAAATTGGGGGATTATAAGGGTAAAAACAAAGTTGAAACGTTTGATACCGTAGTTTAGTGTCTGGAAATCTGAGAAAATTGGATGAACTTGAATAACTAGTCGTTGGTTTGAGTTCTCCCCACATCTAGAGGCTCTTGTCCAGTACAGAAAATGCCCCCATGTACGGTCGCGTCCGAAACACGTAAACCTTGTACCGAAGTCCAAACACCTTGTTCCGCTTTCTCAAAAGATTTGTCCTTACATTATCAGGTACAAAATCTATGTTTGAAATATTTCGAAAACGGGTCATCTTCCCATTTTAACAGATCCACTATAAAATGGAATAGATCAATCTAGGTTCAAATCCTCAATCGAATAAATTCGATCTTCCATGCCCCATTAACTTTTTTCTCTCCTACAAAACCATTTTTAAAAGTTCGAGAACATCATCCATCTTTTCAAAGCTGAAAATGAAGAAAATTCAACAATACAAGTTTGTTTTAATTTCGTTAATCTGTGTAGTATTCATATTCTATTCTTATGATTTTGAATATTTGGAAACTATTGGTGAATTATTGAGCATGTAAGGATTTCATTTCCCGAACAATTATAGATTTCTCAGTTTTCAGTGTAGCAGGTGAACCGATAAACGCTTCATTTCCGATTACATTCTATCAATCGGCATATGTTGATTACCGATTCGATCCACCACGCCTCTGGAATTCAAAATTCGAATATTCGAACACACGTAAACCTTGTACCGAAGTCCAAACACCTTGTTCCGCTTTCTCTAACGATCTTTCCGTACATTATCCGATAAAAAATCTACGTTTGGAATATTTGAAAAGATCTTTTCCCCATTCTCCAACAGACTCGCTGTAAAATGGGAAAGAGATCAATCTAGATTCAATCCTCCACCAAATAAATTTAATTGTTTCATGTCCCATTAATTTTTTCTCTTCCTACAAAACTTTTTTTCATATATCAAGAAGAAGTTCTCCTCTAAAGTACAAATGACGAGAATTCGACAATATAAGTTTGTACTATTTTCGTTAATCTTTGTAGTCTTCATATTTTATCCTTATGAACCTGATTTTGAATATTTGGATACTATACATGAATTATTGAGCATGTAAGAATTTCAGTTCTCAAACGATTATAGATTTCTCATTTTTAGTGTAGCCGGTGAACCTATAAATGCATCATTTCCGATTACATTCTATCAATCGGCATATGTTGATCATCGATTTAATCCACCACGTCTTCGAATTTTCGCAGTAAACAAATGTGTAAAGAATAATCAATTTTTGGTGGCCGACCTACATTTCAATGGAAATAATTCTGCACCAGTTAGAAAAAATATTTATGGGATCCCTATGGAAGGGGACTGTCCATCGGCATATATTCCAGCACAATCGTGCGTTTTTAATCCGTATATATTTTCGATTGGTTTGAGAACAAATGAAGATTTGAGAAAAGTAATTTTGTATTTTGAAATGGCAAGTTTTAGAAAAAATTCCAGGTTACCATTCACTTAGGAAGTAGGAAAGTAGAACTGGATGTTCAAAAGGTTCATAAAAAATCAACAGAAGGAATTACGGTATGTCTTCAACAACCAGTGTACTACTACTCTCAATGGCAAAATATTGTACTGTACATTGAAGCATGGAGAGCTCAAGGAGCCACTCGTTTTATTGTATACTTTCATTCAGCAACAAAAGAAACTTGGAAGACGTTGGAATATTACAGAGATTTGGTAAATAGTATACTATTGAAATATTTAAATATCAATTTTTCAGGGAATGATTGAAATTAAATTCTGGCCCAGTTTCCCTAGTTTACCAGCTGGTATTGCCGATAACTACCCTAAAATTGATAATAGCGTTTTTATAATAGCGGCTTATTTGGCTATGAATATCTGTATTCTTGATATCAAAACTACTGTTGGAACTGTTGCCGATTTTGATGAAGTCATGGTTCCATCGAATGGAAGACTTCTGGATTATGCGACCAAAGAAATGGCGGGTACAAAAGTTGGAGCTCTCTCCTTTGAGAATCACTACATATCATTCACTCCAAGAATCTATACATCTAATTTTTCTGGAGTCGCATCACCGAAATTTAAGCTGCGCAGTGGGCCAACGAAGGTAGGCAGTTGAAACATTAAATTTGAAATTAATACGAGTTTAAGTTCAGTACATTTTCAACGCATCTGTTATTGCTATTGCACAAACTCATTTTCCCAAAAGCTTCATTGATTCATCGATGAAAAGTAAAAATGTGAGTATTCCAAAAATCGAATTATTTTAAAATTTAATAGTTTTCAGGCAGACGGTGCACTTCTTCATTTTCGGTTTGACGCTGAAGATAAAAATGTTACAACTTCTGAAAAACCTTACCGTTTCTTCCCTGACGATCATTCTGTTCATATCAAAAATATGGAGGATACGGTATAACCTTTTAAAAACTATTTCAGCGAATTGAGTTTGTTATTTCAGGCTCAGAAAATATTTAACGGTGTGATACCAACGTTTTCTTCAAAATATTACGATACGTTACAGGAATGTGTCAATAAAATTAGGTGAGCCTCATTAATTAATTCCATTTAGTCCTGTTTTTTTCAGCCCTGTGGAAGATAAACCCTTTTGCCTTAGTACTGGGGGACTATGTAAAGCCGAAATGGATAAAGTGAATGATTGGGTTTATGCTAAAACGGAAGGATTGTTTTTAGTAGGAACCTAAATTTTTCAGATTTTTCTTAAAATTAGTCAGATTTATAAATAAAGTTTTTTGAAATCCCTTCTTGTATCTGGTCTTTTTGCGTAGCTCAGCCGGTAGCGCCGTTGTACCTGTTCTTCATAAGTTTAACTTTTTATCGGGGTACTCTAGGAAAAACATCTAGAACATGTTCAATATGTCTTGCATTCTTTACATATTGGGATGCTCCATGATGAAAACCGCAATTGAAGCTGACCCATTGTAGCAGGTGAACCGATAAACGCTTCATTTCCGATTACATTCTATCAATCGGCATATGTTGATTACCGATTCGATCCACCACGCCTTCGAATCTTCACACTAAACAAATGTCTGAAGAATAATCAGTTTTTATTAGCTGAATTACATTTCGATGGAAATAATTCTGCACCGCTTAGAAAGAATATCTATGGAAAGCCAATGGAGAAAACCTGTCCATCGCCATATATCCCAGCATCCCCGTGTGTCCATCTATATTTTCGATTGCTTTAAAAACAAATGATGATTTGAAAAAAAGTAACTTTCAGTTTGAAATGACTTTAAAAGAAAATATTTCCAGGTTACCATTCACTTAGGCAGTAGAAAAGTAGAACTAGATGTTCAAAAGATTCATAAGAAAACAACAGAAGGACTTACTGTATGTGTTCTACCGGTACACTACTTCTCTCAATGGCAAAACATTGTACTGTATATTGAAGCATGGAGAGCTCAAGGAGCCACTCATTTTATCATATACTTTCATTCAGCAACCAACGAAACTTGGAAGACGTTGGAGTATTATAAAGACTTGGTAATTGAACACTTTTCAACTTTTGAAATATCAATTGCAGGGAATTGTTGATATAAAATCCTGGCCTAGTTTCCCAGGATTACCAGCTGACATCGCTGATAAATATCCAAGAATTGATGACAGCGCTTATATATTCTCATATTTCCTGGCTATTAACATTTGTATTCTCGACATCAAAACGACAATTGGAACTGTTGCTGATTTCGATGAGGTCATGGTTCCAACAAATGGAAGACTTCTGGATTATGCGACCAAAGAAATGACGGGTACAAAAGTTGGAGCTCTCTCTTTCGAGAATCACTACGTATCATTGACTCCAAGAATCTATACATCTAACTTCTCTGGAGTGGCATCACCGAAATTTTGGGTTTTCAGGAGGCCACCAAAAGTAGGCAATTAAAAATAGTTTTAAAAAGTAGACTTTAAATAATACGCATTTTCATTCAGTACGTTTTCAACGCATCTGTTCTTGCTATTGCACAAGTTCATGTTCCCGATACTTTCATTGATTCTTCCATGAGAAACAAATATGTGAGTTTTTAAAAATTCGAATTATTTTCAAATAAGAAGCTTTCAGGCAGACGGAGGTCTTCTTCATTTCCGTTTTAATGTTGAAGCTGAAAATCATACAACTACGGAAAGCCTTTTCGTTTCTTCCCTGACGATCATTCAAACTCATATCAAGAATATGCACGATACGGTATAACCTTTTAGAAACAATTTCAGCGGAGTGAGTTGGTTTTTTCAGTCTCAAACAATTTTCAATGGTGTGGTTCCAAAGTTTTCTTCTGAATACTACGACACTTTACAGAAATGTATCAATAAAGTCCGGTGAGTCCCATTAATTAACACAGGGAAAATGCGAACCGGATGGTTACGACCTCTCCGCGTTCGCACATGGTTGAAAAAGGTACCGGGGGCGGACCGTACGCGAATTATCTTCAGAAAATCGCAACACATTGTTCCCATTATTCCGTATTCTGTCCGTTCTCGAGCGAATAATTCAGGTTTGTGAATGAATTCGATGTTTTATCATTTGCCATCGGATAGGATACGGAGCTCGCGTACTTATAAAATACGGAACAATGTATTCTGATTTTCTGAAAACAATTCATCTACGGTCAGGCAGTGCGTGCGCGAACGCAAAGCGTACGCAACGGCCTGTTCGTATTTTATAATACATGTGTAATTCAATGAAGTCCCATTTTTTCAGGCCGGTGCATGATAAAGTGTGCCTAAGTACAGGTGGAGTATGTAAAGCGGAAATGGATAAAGTGAATGATTGGGTTTATGATAAATCTGAACCAATATTTCTGGTAGCAACTTAAATTCTGTACATTTTTATTAGTTAGATTTGTTAATAAAGTTTTTTAAAACTAAAATTCTCGACATCCATTCTTGTATGAACCGGAACAATGCCCAACTGATCTTAACGGTTCACTCCCCTTGGGGATAAAGCTGCTGGCTCCGGTTTACGATGCCCGTAACCAAAAGTTTTCCGTAAATTAAAAAATTGATATAAGAAATGAAACCTCAAAAAAAAAATGAAATCCAAAAAAAAATTCTTCAGTAGTCAAAAAAATCAACATTCTGTAGAAATTCGTTGTTGCGATCCTAGAATTCTTTCATCAGGGCAACAGTTTCTGAAGCAAAATTTCAAAGAGAAACTCGAATCTGCAAAGAAATGAGTGGGAAAAAAGGACCCATAATACTGAAAAATGGTCGAAATTTATTTTTTGATCGGCCAATTTTGCAGATCGGATCAAAGTGGGCGGAGTCAATCAAAAGTATCTTCAAAATTTTTAGAAGTTCAGGTGTACTAACTGTATGCAATACCAACTCAGTTCAAACATATTTATTTATTTTTGTACATCGGACAATGGGTCAAAGCTCAAAAACTAGAAAGAATGTGTTTTGAAAAACCCTAACAATCCTTAAATTATCTGTAAAAGAATAATTTTTAACTAATTTTTAAACCACCCAAAAATTGAGCTCAATTATCTCGATTCCTTTAAAAGATATCAAAAATGTGTCAATTGAAATATTTATAATCATTAAATCATCGATATGTCATCAGTGGACCACTTTTTGATATCTCTCACAGGAAGCAACATAACTGAGCTCGAAGCTGAGAGCAATTTTTTGAGTGTTTTTTTTCAAAAAACTTTATTTTTCAACAATCATCAATCGTTTTATTTATCAGCCAACTATAGGATCAATTAAGTTGACAATTTTCCACAAGCGTACATTTTGTTAGCCGAAAAACTGACTAGGTCTGAGCACCATTGATCGTCTAATTGTCCATGGATATATCTCCATCCTGGATAAGTCGTTCCACTAGCGAACACATATTGATGAGCGCAGGCTTGACGGCTGCAATAAATATCGGCGTTTTCATTCCAACAAGTGTCCTATGATTCGAATAGGTTCCAATAAATTTCCATTACCATATGGTACCTCAACTCACCCAACACCCGCATTAAAAAGGCCAACTGGTTGTCCCACCGCCCATCCGAATCCATCGGTTCCCGTTGTTTGTCCATCGGTCCAATAGAATGCGTCTTTTGGAGCACAAAGTCCAGCATGGGGGCATGCTGGCTTACTTTTGGCCCCAAGCCAAATATTTCCGTGTTGCCACCCATTTAGAAGGAGTAATTTCAGACCTTCTCCTGGAAAATTCGCGGTACCCGATTTGCACCATTTAGGCTACAAACTACAAAACCCAAAATCCCTAACCTACTATTTTCATTCTCTCCTCACCCGTCTGAAATCCCGTTAATTTTGCTCCTTGAGCATTGCATTGTGCCTCGGCTTGTGGATGGTTTATATGGGCCACGAAAACCTGTCAATTCGTAGTTTGTAGTTTTTGTATTATATTTTGAAGTCTCTTACCTTAGCACCCCAATTGCCTTGTGGTCGTCTCCACAGCATCCAGGCGGCTGGGCAATTGGTTTTTTCTCTTGGCGGTCGTGGACGTGGCAGTGGTCGTGGGGGGCGTGGTCGACCGCCATGACCGTGACCGTGGTTAGATTTGCTAATAAAGTTTTTTTAAAACTAAAATTCTCGACATCCATTCTTGTATGAACCGGAACAATGCCCAACTGATCTTAACGGTTTACTCCCCTTGGGGCTAAACCTACTGGCTCCGGTTTACCATTCAAATTTAATTTCCCGACATCCATTCTTGTATGGTCCAGAACAATGCTCCGATTGATCCTAACGGTTTACCCCCCCCCCCCCTTTAAACCTCCTGGCTCCAATTTACAATTCCCGTGGTCATATCAAAAAGTTCTCCCTCATTTTAGACCCTTGAGAGTTAATTGAGTTTTGAGGTATAAAGAACAATACCTGATCCTAATCTTCTTCTATTTTTTTCACCAATTTTCATTTAATTTTCATTTTCCTCCATTCCTCGGTCCTTAACTTTTTTTGTGAGTGTATCTGTGAGATTGGTAATTAAGTTTATCATGATTATACTATATTAAGAAGAATTGAACTTTTATTTGTCAAGAAACCCGCATCTATATTTAAAATCTTTTCCTAATCCAACATCTTCGATTTTCTTTTTTCCAGCCAACATGGTGCATCGATTCCATGCATCCTATAAATGCTCTGCTTTTTCCTACAAGGTACATCTACAACATTATAAACTGATTTGATTCGTTCCAGTATTCGTTTCGTCAATTCTTCACTAAGCCATTTTGGTATCGGTTGAATTGTAAATGGTCCATGTGACATCATTCGCTTCAGAGCACCAGCAAAAACTCGTTGCTCCACGTTTCGATAGTGTCTTGAAAATTGTATTTGGGATTTGAGATTGAAACTATAAATTGGTATACCTGACTACTCCCACAGATGGAGGAATGAAAGTGAAACGTTCACCAGAATACACTGCTGTTGGTACATGGATAGTCATCGCTACGACCTTTTCCGGACGGATAATACATTTCGGTTGATCCCAGATATCTCCAACTTGAGATACATTCTGATATTTCAGGAATATCATTTCACGGGTAAGCTGAAATTGAACTGCTGGATTGACAGACGAAGTATGCCGTACTTGCTCATCACTCTTATACCTAGCTGGCGTATTATTCTGCTTGATTACCCACTGAACTTGAAAATGAAGATTTACGATACTCGAGTTGTGGATGGAACTAAAAAATTTTAAATTCTGAAAGTCAGTCTTGCCATTCAAGACGCTCTCACTTTAAATAGCTCAGGATTGTTTTATGGGCTTCATTCTTTATTTCTATTCTCTCATCAATGTCAACGAGTGCAGTCCATTTAGAGTAGTACTTATTTCGATGATGACAATCCTGAAAAGATAAAGATCATAGTAAACACTTATATTTAAGGCAAACTCACATTGATTTGAGAATTATGCCACATGAAGTCATCCCTCCAATGATGATCATGCATTTTAATAATCTCAATATCTCCGGTTCTAACATAGTCATCCAACAAAACTCGGTCATAATCTGTCACATTTCTCAAGTAGATATGGAAAAATGTGGCTCCTTGAAGTTTATAGTATTCGATGAAATCCACGATTTGCAAGAATTTCGGTTCATCTCCATACAATGTTGCCATACAAACTGTGAAATAATGAGGGGGTTCTTCTAAAACCAGGATTAAAGAATAACAATAAAATAATTCTTACTCTCTAGCCGGGGAATTATAGGAACAGGAAATTCTGGAGTATCCGTGAAGTTTCTTGCGATGGAAATGTATTTCGCTCCCGGACGACGCGCACAGAATACTGTAGACTGTGGGAAGATAACACTATAAAACTGATCTGGAATCTCTCTCCGTTGGCAGTCGAAATATCTACAGTATACTGTTTTACTGAAAATGAGGGATAATTTGAGGATTCTTGAAATTAATCCACAAACTTATACTGATTTTCTGAGGTTAATGTTACTGTAATCTGATCCTTGTAAACAAAGGCGGCGAGTACAGAAGGGGTAGTATGGTAAAGATATTCCGAATGCGAAAAATTCGGTGCCAGTTTTTTATGAATTTCAGAGTTTGGAATCGTGTTGGTTCGGATGATATTCCATAATTCAATAGGACAGTCTGGTCTGAAAATGTTGAAAAATTCGGAGAAAATGTTCTTAATAAGCTCACCGTGTTGAGTGTTGACTATTGCTGATAAAGTCCATCGATATGTTGATTATTGGGATATATTTTGAAAATTCTTCTTTCGCTTCTGAAAATATAAGTTTTTAAAAGTGTAAAGCTTTTCTATACAGGGTGGTGCACAATAACCCAGACTGGGAAAAACAGGTACATCTTCAGACATATGTAAGTATCATGGAAACACGAAAATTGATAGAAATATAAACTTTTCCTCAAGTTTAGGTATCGATTCCTCAAGTTTAGGTATCGTTATGATTTCCCAAAGATAAAATTTTTCTATGAGATGAAGCAACTTTGACAAGCGATAACTCAGCTTAAAGTTGATCAACTAATTTGAAACTTGTCCAGTTTACTGATGAATTATTTGAGTTTATGCGTTCCAAATTTGAGCCCAGTACAACGATTAACTCAAATTTTATGCTGGTACAAACTTTGGTAAGGGTAATTATGCGCATTCTATATTTATCTCATACCTTCCTCCAAATCTTTTTCTCCATTCAAATAAGAAACTTTCGACAAAGAAACTAAACATCTGAATAAAAGTAGAAGAACGAGTAAGCCAAAGAACCAATGATATATTTTCTGACTTTTCCAAAATTCAGTAAAGACACCTCGTCCCATAATATCGTTCAGGAAGACTGAATCTTGTCTGTCTTGGTCGCATTGGAACGGTTCCCGATCTATCAGATAAGGTATTTTCTTTACCTAAAAAAATTAAAAAAGAACAGGATTCGGAAACATCGAATGGAGTGAATGCGGAACAAAATTTTTATTGAATGAAAGGGGGAAACTAAAAAAAACGATGAATACGGGGGCAGTGTATGAATATGCGAAGTGAAAAGTAAATGAATAAAAAAGAATGGTAAGTAATTTTGGTTTGTTTTTTATTTGGTAAAATGAATCAGAGAAGTGTTGGTAATGAGAGAAAAACGAACAGGAAGACAAGGGCTGGGAAAGTGTACAAATAAAGAATTAGAGAATAGGATTAGAGGGCTTTAAAATAAGACAATTTTGTTTTGATCTTTCAGAATTCTTATTCCTCGGCAAAGTCCTCATCCAGGAATGCACCTCGGGAGCCGCCACGTCTGATGGAGGCCACACCGGTTGTTGACATCTGGAAATTAAAAAAATCGTTATTATTCAGAAGATATGATTTAGAAGGCTTTTACTTACCGAGTGCGCCAATCCACGCGGTCCGAAGACTCCGGACGCACTTCGTCCTTTCAGTCTCATCTTCTGGAGGGCGTTCTCAGCAGCGTCGGCTCTTTCTTGAGCGTCTTCGACGACGTGTTGGAGTTGGCGGTATTTGGCAAGATTGGCAGATGCCAGGGATTCCTGAAAAAAATTTTTTGAATAAATAATTTCAAAGTGAATTGTTTCTCACCGCATCTTCAATCTGTCGCTTGTATGTCTTGATTTTCTGTTGGAGTTTTTCAATAAGATCGTACATTCTCTCAGTGGATTTTTTGTCCTCATCAACCTGAAAGATATTATTCATCCGAAGACCATTTTCACTTTCTCCATACCTGGAACTGGAGCTCTCTGCACTTTCTGTCCTTATTTCTGAGCACTTTCTGCGTCTCTCCATGCCGTCTGCTCTCTCCTTCCAGTTCAGTTTCCAGCTCGTGAATTCTCATATCCAACTTGGCCAATTGTCTCTTTCCTCCCTTGATTCCAGCGGCCTCGGCCTCGTCCAATCTCATTTGCAAGTCCTTGACTTGGGATTCCAAAGCTCTCTTTGATTTGTCCAAGTTGCTGGCGTGTTCCTGCTCCGAACGAAGCTCATCGGCAAGTTTCGAGGCATCCATGATGGCTTTCTTTGCCTTGTCATCACTAACTTTAGCGTCACTGAGAGCTTCCTCAACTTCAGATTGCAAGTGTTGAAGGTCACCCTCGACCTTTCTCTTGGTAGCCAAAAGAAGAGAGTTGCTGTTGGAGAGCTCATTGACTGAATCCTTAACTTCAGCCAATTCAAGCTCGGCTTGTCTGCGAGATCTCTCAGATTGCTCATAGATGATGGCGAGGTCTTCCTTTTCTTGTTGGAGGACTTGAGAGCGACGCTCGGCAAGATTAGCGTGGTCACGGACCTCGTTCAATGATCTCTGTTCCTCTTCCACTTGAAGTTGAAGCTCTCTGATGGTGTCTTGGAGCTTCTTGATAGATTTCTGGCCGTCGACGTTGAGTTTGTTGCTGTGGTCCAGAGCGATTTCGAGTTCCTAAAAGAAAAATATTCAAAACTAAATTTCCAAAAAGTTTCAACTCACATTGACATCTCCTTCGAGCTTCTTTTTGGTCTTGAGAAGTTCGGCTCTTCCGCGGCTCTCGGTTTCCAACGACACTTGCATACTCTCGATGGTTCTGCTGTGGTTCTTTCTGGTATTCTCAAACTCTTCGTCCTTCTCTTGGAGTCTCTTCTCAATTTCACTTCTGATCTGAGACACCTCGATCTGTGCACGCATCACCTTGGCCTCCTCTGCTTCAAGAGCGCATTCGGCCTCGTCGAGTGCTTGTTGGAGCTCTTCCTTCTCGATTTCGAGTCTTCTGCGAAGCTTCTGAAGGTCATGAACAGACTTTCCTCCCTCTCCAAGTTGGTCAGCAATATCCTTCAATTCCTGAGCCAATGCCTTGTTCTCACGCTTGACGGCTTCAGTTTGTTCTCCGGATTCTTCAAGTTGGTTGCGAAGACGGAAGGTTTCAGTGGCAGCGGCGCGAGTTTCACGTTGGCTCTGTTCAACTTCAGCGACAAGAGCCTCACACTTGCGACGCCATTCTTCAAGAACCTTATCGAATCCTTTCTGCTTCTTCTCCAAGGAGCTAGCAATTGAGTTGGCTCTGTCAGCATCAACCTGAGCATCTTCCAAATCATGGGCCAACCGTTGTTTGGTCTTCTCCAAAGTTCCAATCTTCTGGTTGGCATTCTCAAGTTGCTCTTGCATCTCTTGAACCTTATGGGTCAACTTTCTTCTGGTCTCCTCAAGCTCCTCGGCTCTAGTGACACCTTCTCCCTCGAACTTGGCTCTCCATTGTTGGATTTCAGAGTTGGCCTTGCTCAATTGTCTCTGAACATCAGTCTTGGCATCTTGTTCCTCTTCAAGGGATTCACGAAGTTGTTCACACTCCAATTGATAGTTGGACACCTGGGAGTGAAGGGATTGTCTCTCGCGAGTTTCCTGGTCCAGAGTTCTCTTCAACTCCTCCATCTGGTTGTGTTGTTGTTGCTTGATACGGTTCAAAGCCGAGAGTTGGGACTCTGCGTCTTCAAGTTGTCTATTCAAATCGTGATTCTCAGAGTGGATCTTGTTCTTGCTCATGGTCAATTCTTGAATAAGTCTGGCTTGTTCATCGCTCTTCAGTGTGATGTCAGTGAGTTGAGCCTCGAGTTGTTTAGCCATTCTCTCGCAGTTCTGGCGTTGCTTAGCTTCAACATCAGCGGATTGTTGGAGCTCATCCACCTCTCTCTGCTTGTCATTCTTCTCACGCTCGAGTTTACCGCGCATCTTTTGGACAGTGTCGAGCTGATCGGAGAGCTCGGCGACGGCGTCATTGTGCTTCTTGCGGAGAGCAGCCATGCTGGTTTCAGCATTGATAGCGGCATCCTCGAGGTCTTGACGGAGTTTGGCGAGTTCAGCTTCTCTGGAAAATGGGTGATTATCCTTGGTTTAGATTTTTTTTTTGGGATTCCCGATCTGTTTGCGTGGTTTTGGAGATATAAATTTAGATTGTCACTATAGTTAACAAAACTAAATCAAACAAGTATACTTTTTTCTAGTGAAGAAGTATCTTGTGACCTGCTCACTAACCACTTATCAAGTAAACATTTGTTTGTTTTGTTGATTTAATTTCTACTAACAAGATTACTTTTAGGAATCTCGAGATAAATGATTTCTGTGGTGAAAGTTAATAAAAATTAAAACATTTCAGATGCTCCAAAAAACTAACCTCTTCTTGTTGAGCTCGATTTGTGCCTGAGTTGCTCCTCCAGCTTCATCAAGTCTGTCTCCCAACTCTTCCAACTCCAATTGCATTTCATTTCTAGCCTTCTCAGCCTTGGATCTTGATTGTCTTTCATTGTCGGTTCCTCTTCAAGCTCCTGGATTCTGGCCAACAACTCCTTGATTTGTCTCTGAAGTTTGGCAACGAGAGATTGCTCATCTTCAAGTCTTGATTGCAGAGAGTTCAATTCAATATCCTTTTTCTTCAGCACTTGCTCCTGCTCGTGCTTGTGACGGTTGAGCTCTTCGATGAGTTCTTGAGCGATCTTCAACTCTCCCTCAACCTTTCTCTTCTGCTTCTCGCAGTCTTGACGTCCACGCTTCTCACGCTCCAAGGTGTCTTCAAGTTCATCAAGAGTGGATTCCAACTTGGCCTTGGTCTTGTTGAGATGGTTTACCTTATCCTCTTCAGCTTGGATATCTTCAAGGAGCTTACGGTTGACTTCTTCTTGATGCTTCTTCTCCTTGTTGAGCTTGGAGATTACCTCATCTTGAGATTGGATCTCATCCTGGAGACTTCTGATTTGATGATCCTTGGATTGTTTCTCACTTTCTTGCTTCTTGATAGTGGTTTCCAAATCAGAGACAGTCTTCTTGAGGCCTTCATTGTCTTGCTCGATCTTCTTCTTTTGCTTCACAAGCGCTGCATTCTTCTCCTCCTCGTCGCACAATTGATCATTCAAATTGGCCATCTGCTTCTCGAGATCCGCCTTCTGTGACAGCAACTTGGCAGATCGTTCCTCTCCTTCAGCACTGGAATCTCTTTCTTGCTCTAGCTGAATGAGCAGTGCCTGTTTCTCGGCTTCCAGTCTCGCGTTCTCCGCCTCCATATCTTTTCTCTTTCTCTCTTCCTGTGTTTTCTCCTCCTCAAGTACCTTGAACTTCTTTTCGAGAGCCTCAAACTCTTCGTTCTTCTTGCTTCCCTTGATCAGTGGCTTGACACGTCCGAACAGTTTGAACCAGGCCCATGAGCGAAGGGTACACCAGGCACGGATGTTTCTCTGGAGCACGATAAGTCCAACCTTCTGGTCCAACTTTCTCTTGTACTCGCATTGGGCGAGATAGTGGCGGCAGGCACATTGGAACTTGGCCATGATCTTTCCAAGAGCTTCATCACGGAGTTCTTCAAGATGAGCAAGGACTCCAGCCTTGAAGAACACCTTTGTAAGACCACATTGGAATTCTTCTGGCTTCAAGCTGCCATCCTTGATGAGAGCAGCAGAAATCTTCTCTCCAGCATCCTTTGGATCCTTTCCAGATTTAGCGGCATCGGCAGCCAACACAGCGTATCTTTGCTTGAAGTCCAAGAATGGCATTCTGTTGGGGAATCCCTTTCTGCAAATACGAATTCCTTCCAACACTCCGTTGCATGTCAACTGATTGAGAACCAAGTTGGCATCGATCATTCCAGATTTCTTCATCTCGTTGGGAATGATACAACGAATGAAATGTGGATGAGTCTGGTGAAGCATGTGCATCAACTTGTTCAATGACTCTCTGTACATCATGGAGACGGTCATGAACGAAGCCGACTTTCCCTTCTTCTTTCCAACGGCCTTCTTTCCTTCTTTTGCAGCGGCAGCAACATCTTCCTGGGTACTGTAATCTGCCCAAAGATCAGCCATAAGCTGGTTTCCTTTGTTGCCCTTGAGCACAGTGACAGCAGTGTCGTTGAGGGGATCCTTGTTTTTCTCAAGCCATCCCTTGACATTGTATCTGACGGTACCGGCGTAGTGGACGATGGCCAAATGAGCTTCGGCTTGTTTTCCTTTTGGTGGGCGTGGCTTTTGGAAGTTTGGATGTTTTCCGAGATGCTGGTCGTTAAGCTTGGAAGCGAGGGTGAGATCGGTGGCTTTTGGAACGATGCATTCCTCATCAAGCATAGAGACGATTCCGAGTGGCTTTAAACAATACGTTTCAGAATATATGCGATTTATAGAGCACTCACCTTCTCGATAAGCTCAATACAGGCCTGCAAGTCGAGTCCGAAATCAATGAACTCCCATTGAATTCCCTCTCGTTTGTATTCTTCCTGTTCCAACACGAACATGTGATGATTGAAGAATTGTTGCAGTTTCTCGTTGACGAAATTGATCCAAAGCTGCTCGAACGAGTTCAGATCGAAAATTTCGAAACCGGCGATATCGAGAACTCCGATGAAAAAGTCACGGGACAAGTCTTGAGCATCAAGAGTCTTGTTACATCTGAAAATGACAACTTTCAGAAGTTGAGCTAACAAGGCATCTACCTGGTGATAAGCCACTTGAACATGCGAGCGAACAAAGCCTTGGCAAGAGCTCCAACAGCCCAGTTAACCTGATCCAAGTTCTGTCCCTTGTTGACCCATTCGGTTCCAACCTTAACACGTGGCTTCAAAAGGGCCCCAACGAATTTCTCGGCTTCAACACAGTACAGCTTGCAAGCCAACTCTCCTTCTGAAATTCCAAACTGTAAAAATTTACTACCAATTTTCCTTACCTTTTCCATCCTCCAATTCAGCCTGCTCCTCTCTTGGTCTCTGCTTGAACTTGAGCTCTCCCATATGCATGATTCCTGCAGTGATGGCAAACAGCTCGGATTTCTCGGTAGCTGTGAACTTCATGATATCGAAAGCCTCATCAGTGATAAGCATTTCTTCCTTATCATCAACTCCATCGATAGTGACTTCGGCTTGGGACACGAAGGTGTACTCCTTGATGGGGCGGGTGAGGAAGAGCTTCTCACGGAGTCCTTTGACGGCATCCGAGTAGATTTGGTAGAAAATATGGTAGGATCTCTCTCCTGGAGCTTGTTTGATGACACGAGATTTCTCCAAAAGATCTGGAAAAAGGGGGACGTGTAAGAGAACATTGGATGTTTTTCGTAATTTGTTCTATAACAGAATGACCACCTCACATTCAGCTTTAAGCCTATATATCTCAATTCCTGTGAAATATATTTAAAAGTTGTCAACCGATAAAATGTTTTCAATAATATGATACAAGTTTCGTCAGTTGATCACTTTTTGGTGTTATTCACAGAAGATGAGATATATGGCTTCAAAGTTGACGGTTTGTGCGGGGACGCTCTATTAAACGGATTAGGGTGTCTAGAACTTTAAAAGGGGGTAGGAAGCAGTCGGCTCAATTCTAACTTCGCAAGTTGAAAAACTAAAAACGAGAATGAAGCTACATTTTGAAGTTGACAGCTTTTTTTGCATGAACTGTTCGAAAAAGATAATTTTTCAAACATAATTCTATAATTCACCGAATTTTTGGAAGATTTCTAAAGTTTTCTTTTTTTTTGAAGCCTAGATTTCTTCAAAAATGACGTTCCAAAAATATGTGCGAAAGGGTAACTATTCTGTTTTGGAATTAAAGCTATTTTCAGCCTTTTCTTTGTGAATAGTAGTGTGACATTTACCGTAAAACCTGAAATAGAAGGGCCTCACACTGTCAAGTTCGAGCCAATTTATCTGGGTTTTCTGTGAGACTTATCAAAAAGTGGGCAACTGACAAAATTTGTATCATAGTCTGACCAATATATCATCAGTTGACCACTTTTTGATTCTTTTTCAGAAAATGAGTTATTTGAGCTCAAAGTTGAACGCTAGAGAGTTCTTCTACACAGGCTTCTTGGTAATAACACTCACAATGTTCAATATCAGCTCCAGCGACTTTTCCTCCTTGATTGAAATGGATTCGGATGAATTTTCCGAATCTCGATGAGTTGTTGTTACGGACAGTTTTGGCGTTACCTGAAAAACATTCATTTTCCTATTCCTGTAGCCCTATTTTTTCAAAATCCCCCATTTTTCTCCAGTTAACATTTCAAGAGGATGCATGTGCTTCTTCTTCTATCGCTCTTCGAAACATTTTTCATCTACAAACAAAGTCAAAGTGAGAGAAAGAGGTAGAGACGGGGGGAGACGACACTCGAGAATCGGCATCTCTGGTACACATTGTCGTTGCCTTGTAAATACAAGCAAATAACACATTGTGGCAAGATGGGGCACTCCGGGGATGGGGATCCAAGAAGATGGGTGATAAGAAAGACCAGTTAACACGTCGGGAGGCTATCTACACGTGCATCTCAAACATCAAGAGATGTAGACTATACCGTACAGTAGCCCATAAGATAAGTTTTATGATCCGAGACTTGGCAACGTGCCAAGATATCGAGAGGGTCAATATAAAGTTCAATTTTTGGATTTAGATTGATATTGATATTTTTTCAATTCTCTCCGGACTATTCAAAATATCTTTATGAAGGGACCAAGAAATCGTCAACTGATTAATAAATTCTCTGAATTTTCACAGAAACCTAGAAAAAAATGACTCAAAGTTGACGCTCTTAGTGCAGCTCTATTAGAGATTAAACTGTATTTAGGGACTCAGTGGTAGTATGATGATGAGTAAAACGTAATAGAAGGGCCCTACCACTGTCGAGTTTGAGCCAATTTTTTTCGGTTTCTGTAGAAGATATCAAAAATGTGTCAACTGGTAAAATGTTTGTGAGATTTAAACAAACAATTTATTTGTTGGTTACTATTTGTATCTTTCAGAGGAACCGAGATAAATTGGGTCAAATGTGAAAGTTAGGGGGGGGGGCTCTTCTATTATAGGTTTTACGGTAGTTGGAGACATTTCATGATTTTTTAAGACAACTGGTTTTGTTCCTATCTTCTATTAAATGGCCAGCAATTAATATTGTAATAATTTTTGCCCTTCAAGTGCTATTCAAACAATCCCCTCGAAAGACTTTTGATCGCAATGTGCCCTTCCGATCCCTAGAACCTAATTTTTCAAAACCTTACCAAAAGCTTCCAGCACCGGATTGGTCTGCACAATTTGATCCTCGAGCGAGACTTGTGCTTTGTCTTTCTTGCTCTTCTCCTTTTTCGACTGTTGCGAGGCACCGACCATCGCAAAATAAGAGATGACCTTCTTCGTGTTCTCCGTCTTTCCGGCTCCTGACTCTCCGGTAATCAACATGGATTGGTTTTCCTTGTCTGAAAATAAATTGATTCAACTGCATTCGAAAATGCGAGCTCCTACCGTTAGTCATGTTTCTGTAGGCCTCGTCGGAGACGGCGAACAGGTGGGGTGGCATCTCGTTTCTTCTTTTTCCCAAATACATTTGACACACCGATTCAGAATAGATCGGAAGACGTTTGTATGGATTGATGACAACGCAGAAAAGTCCAGAGTAAGTCTGAAAATGGAGATTCTTAGATTTCTAGAAAACTAATTCTCACATAAATCATCATCGAATAGTAACGTTGACGAAGGTTATGAAGAACAGAAGCGTCGTTGAGGAAGGTCAAATTGGCCATGTCCTCGGTCTTCTCGTATTTTGGAGGGTTCATTTGTTGAGCATCGTCCTTCTTGATCGTCTTCTCGACTCCTTTCGATGTCACCACAACCACGGTGTCTCCCTTCGAAGACTTGATTTCGGCGGCGATGAATCCTTCCTCTGGATCAGCAACCCACACATTCTTCTTCGAGTCGAACTTCTTCGTCGTGGCCGCCAACAGCTGGAATGGTCAAAGATGGGTGGAATGGGGGAAGAGAAATTGGGATGGGATATGTTTGTTATGTCATCGTGAAACCTATAGTAGAAAAGCTTTCTAACTATTAACTTTGAGCCAATCTATCTTGGTTTCTGCCAGGTGTATAAATAAGTTGTCAACTGATAAAATGTTTATCACAATGTCACAAACATTTTATCAGTTGAAACTTTTTTATACCTTGCATAGGAGCCAAGATAAATAACACATACTTATCAATGGAGGTCCGTCTATTACGGGTTTCACGGTAATTGTAACTTGATGAATATAATTCGTAATTTGTAGAACTTAGAAGTTTAGATTTTTGAGAAAAGAGTCTGGTAATAATGATAAAACGGAAACTCGTCTGGAACTCCACTGGAAGTATTTTTGGGAGTCTTTGAAAAGGGTATTCACAGAAATCTTTGAAATTTTGGTTTCAATCTGGTTGAAAAACTTCAAGTTGCTAGTTGCTTTATGCCCTCCTCCATTCATTTCTGATATCGTAAAACCAGTAATAAAACGGCACCACCCTGTCAAGTTCAAGCTGTATTATTGTCGGAATTATACAACTGTCAGCTGCGTGTTTGCAGACTCAGTGCAAAACACCCTAATTTTTGTACTGATGTGAGTCTGCAAACACGGACTGACACTTTTTTATTCTGAAAATATCTAGATTCCTATGAATGAAACCAAAAGGTTGTTGACTGATAAATTGTTTATCATAATATCAGACGTGTTTTGTCAGTTGACACATTTTTGATATCTTACAAAGGAACTGAGATTACTGAGCTTACACTTGACAGTGGAGACCCTTCTATTACAGGTTTTACAGTGTTTCTAATTTCTTGTGCTCTGATCTACCTGTTTGCTACACTTACAAACACAGAAAAAAATCAGCCCGTTCCCAGAACAGACTCTGTCTCTCTCCTTTTTTTTCATTCTCCCCTCATCGTATAAAAAATCTTCGAATACAAGACGAAATCCTTTTTTTTCTGTACATCAAAAAATACTCGAGATATTCGGGAGGTTGTTGTGTTTACTCTCGTACATCATTGCGTAAAAGTAAAACGGTGAAAGGCTTGACGGATAGCACAAAAAGAGTAAAATGCAAACAAAAAGATGGTGGTGGATAACTGGGGAGAAGAAAATGGGCTCTACCTGTTCTGGCGACTGGCGAAGAAACTGCCAGCCGGGATCCGCTTCGTGTGTCATTATGAATCTACTTGTTTCTTTGTTTTCTCTGTATACAACACTTCTCTAATCGGTTCTCTTTTATTTTTGAGGAACACCGGCTGCGATGTCTGGAATTTTAGAATTTGTTTTTGTTTAGAAAAAATTATGATTAATGAGAAAAAAAGGAGCAAATCGAAAAGATTAAACAGAAGGAAAAATGATTAGATCTAAAAATAATTAAAGAGATCTACAAAAGATGATTAATAGGAGAACAATGATTTGAAGAATGAAGCTGTTAAAAAAACAGTGTTTTAAAAAAACGGTGTTTTTTAAAAATACGGAGAACTTTCAAAAAGCAATTTCAGTAGAAAATTAAGGGATCCCGTATTTTTTTCTAATAAAAACCCACCCTCTACTTTGAGCTCAATTATCTCGGTTCTATCAAAAGATACCAAGAAAATTTTCAATAGATAAACTTTTTATCATAACATTACCAGCATTTTATTAGTTTACAGATTTTTGATATCTCTTATCGGAACCGAGATAATTGATTTCAAATTGGATGATCTTCTGGGTGGGCTTTTCTTTTATTGTTAGAGGAAATACGGTACTTCCAGTTTGAGCTCAATTTTCTCGATTTTCGTGGAAGATATCAGAAAATGTTAAACTTGTAAGTTATTTATGATAATATCACCAACATTTTATCAATTGGCCAATTTTTAATATTTTTCAGAGGAACCGGGATAATTAGGCTTGAAGTGGAAGGTTTGGGCGGGCTTTCATTAGATGAACTATGGAATTCACAGATTCTGGATATTCAGACAAGATGCAGTAATCCTAATCTTTACAAAACTAGTAACACTTGGAAAAGAGGAGCAAGGAAAAAAATTGGAATTGTAAAAAAAGAAGCAAGGAGAGATATGAAAAAATAGGAATTCAATAAAACTGAGCCTTAGCTGTAAAATTGACTTTTTGAAAAAAAATGTTTCAGATGATAAGAATAGTTCACACTGAGAAAATAAAAAGAATACTCCAAAAAATCATGGCGTTGGTGGCTTTTTCGGTTCTTCTCACCACCGCCCTCCCACCTCTTGAAAAATATTCAACTCTCTTGAAAAAGCAAAAATTTCAAACAAAAATCAAAAAGAAAAGGTGGCGGCAAAACTTCAGAAAACAAGAAAAAATGTGGTGGAAATAATTGCCCCCGCGCGCGCGCGGAAAATCAGTAAGAGGTGGTTGATGGGGGCGCTCTGAAGCTCAAGAATGCACATGCGATAAGTGGGAGGTGGGGGATGTGCTCCCGGCGGCATAGGCCGCCCGAGAGCCGACAGGAGCACGAGCTTCCCGTGAGCCCCCAGTACTGTTTGCTGTATATCTGCCGTTGCGGAGAGATCCCGATGCCTAACTCTCTCTATTTTTTTTCGTTCTTCTTTTCTCCATAACCTCCTCCGCAAAATCTCCAACGGCACACTTATCCTCACCATTGCTCGAAATTGTTTGCCTCGTCGTCGAAATTACACGATCCTTACAGCATTTTCTTTTTTCTCTCGGGGAGAGAAACAGTAAACGAAAATGAGACAAAGCGGCGGAATAGAAAGAAAAACTGTTGGAATTAATGTCCAATGAGCAAGCAATCATCCCACCTGATAATCACAAATCAGCGTCATCCCTCCAACCTTTTTTGTTTAACCTAATGATTCGCAAACTCTTAATCACTGGACGAGAGATAAGGAAAACCACTGGGTACAGTTTTTTTTTTAACTGGAGGATTTCGAAATCATTTTTTGTTGATTCTCGGAAACTGAAGAGTTCTTGTGTTCAGTTTTTTTAGAAAAAAAAAGTGAGTACCGTAAAACTTGTACTAATGGGGTCTCTTTAAAAACCTCTTTAATATCTCGCTAGGGATTTTATCTAGAACTCCCGTTATAACTTTTGTGCCATATTTTCTTCTGATCAATAAATGATTATTATTAAATAAAAGGTATCCCAATAATGGGAAGACCATTAAAAGTTGTGTTGTTCAAACTTTTGCATTTCCCTTTTTCAGAGAAAGTTCCCGAAATATTACGGAAGTTTGTTCGAAAAATTTTTGGCTCACAAACTCGCTAGAATGTTGTGATTTTAATAGAGTTTCTTGAATTTTGAACAAAAATTTATTTACTATAAAAAAAGAAAACAGCAAAAAAAATTAAACCTTTTTGCCGGAAAATGGAAGCTCCTCCTTTAATTGAGGGACGTCTTCAGAGGAACTTTGCAACAGTAGAAGGGTCGGTCCAACGGTAGTTTGTCGTGGGAGTCCAGTGGAGGATTTTATCGAAGAACTTATGAAGATGCCACTTCGAAGAGGTGATCTGGTCCAGATCTTCAGTTCTGATAGGGAAAAAAAAGAAAGTGGTTTAGATTATCGACAATTTACAGTTTCAACTGCGCATGCCGGAGATAACATTTTTGAATGCCTTGTTCGGATTGTTGGGTTGAAAACGAGTATCAGTAAAGAATAAAATAACAATTTGAGGAATTAATCTCGAAACAGTTTGTTTTGTGAACATAATGTTTGAAAATAAATGTTTGTTTGAATTCATTGATTTGTAATTTTTGAATAAAGGTCAAACAGTTCTTAACAAGGGTAATGTTTTCAAAAACCGGTGGAGAATTTGTTGAACCGTTGATTTTGAATTGCTCATCAAATTTCACTATAGTAACTTCGGTAAAATCAGGAAACATACATTGCCGGAACAATGAATTGGACTACAAAATGTTGACTTTGGTAAACTACTAAAAATTTTTAAGTGTTCATTTGGTTTTCGGCTGGATTTTCAGATGAAAATAACAAAAGATTTTTTTGACTGGTTTGTGAACCAATAGTCTATGGAATTGAAAAAAAATTAAACTTTTATAACGAATTTTTGTTATGAGAAATATTATTTATGGTTAAATTACTGTTCATGTCTTTTCATTCCAGAAAATGTTTTTTATGAGTCAGATGTGCGCTTTTTTCCATTTATTGGCAAACTCACCCATCGAAATCACATGCTTCTTGCTGTTCTGGACCCGTTTTCTTAAAAATTCAGAAAAATCTTTTTGATCTACCTTCCGATCTACTTTCCACTTTTCAATTTCTTGGAAACACCATTTTTATTGATTTTTTACAAAAAGTATGATCGCTAACATCGCTGAAATTTCTTCTTCTTAAAGTTTATCTTTCATCTATATATGTCCAAATTTTCAGCGAAAAATTCCTGTCGAAACCGGAAGACGATAATAAAATGGAAGAGATAATCTCCACATTTGAATTTTCCAGAAAAATCCAATAGAGAAACCAAGATAGATCCCCCCCCCCCCCATGTTTTGTAACTAGAAAATTCTACTTAGTGTCATCTAAAAAACCGGGAGTTCACAAGGACAGTTTCTTTTTTTGTCACAAATCTATATTTTACATTTTCTAGCCCGACTGGTGCATCCCAATTGAAAACGGAAGATGATGGAAAGATGTTCTGGAAGAAAACCCTACTCAGAATCTTCCAGATGACTTCAGAAGAAATATCAGAACACACCAGATCTCAAAATTTCAATAGCCCCATCAGAAGTTCACACCGATACTCCGAGAACCAGTTCATCTGATACATGACCTGACCGAGCGCTGAATACATTTGTGAGTTTTGATATAATCTGCAAAGTTTTCAACGAAACCGATTATTCAAAATGTCACTTTTAGAGTGATCTATTCGAGCTCGGTCGGTCGAGTATGGATGTTTAAGGTTTGAAATTTATTCGTTTTATATTTACAAAAACCAATTCGTTTTATATTTACAAAAAAATGCCGATAAATTGACCAAAATAGAGAAAATGGATCAACAAATAATAAGGATAAGTTCCGATATTGGTAGCTATAGTTCTGAAGATTCACCCGACTCTGTTGATTACATAACGTTTGATGCCCGGAGGTGTAATTGGTTACCGTAAACACTCTAAATAGAACGCCACCCGGACCGTCCGATTGGAGCCTACATATCTCACTTCTTTTGAAAGATATCAAAAAGTAGTCAACGGATAAAATGTTTATCATGATATCAGCAACATTTTATTAGTTAACCACTTTTTGATATCTCTCACAGAAAATGAGATACATGTGCTCAAATTTGACGATTTGGGTGGTTTTCTATTAGAGTGTTTACGGTAACTTGGAAACTAGTTTTTGTTTTTGAAATAGTTACTTTTTGAATCATTGAATCATGATTCATAAGAAAATAAACACTTTATGAGAATTAAAAAGACATCATTCATGCAAGACCAAAAACTTCAGGATTCTGACGCCACCGCTTCATCCACATAATTTGAACTCCTCTGGAAAATAAATCAGTAAACGGTCGCAACCATTAAAAAATATACGAAAAAAATTGAAAGAAGCTATACTCTTTTTTAGACAGACTCACAGAATGAATGAGGAATGCTTAGTGTGTGGTCCTTGCTTTTATGTTCCCTCCATAATGTGATTCTCTGCCCTCTCCACCCTCTAGCTGAGGCGAATAGAGCACAATATCGTCTCAGAGGCATATGTGCATAATTAAGATTGACCCTCCCCACAAAATGTGGACGTTGACAGCACTCGGTCGAGAATGGATGTTTAAAGTTTGCAATTTATGATGACGAAAAAAACATTTATTATTTTTTATGTACAAAAAACTGCCAATAAATTGACCGAAATAGAGAAAATGGATCAAAAAAATAATAAGGATAAATTCCGATGACGGTAGCTATAGTTCTGAAAATTTACCTGACGCTGTTGATTCCATAACGTTTGATGCACGGCGCTGTAATTGATTAAATGGGAAATTCGTTTTGTTTTAAAAATCTTAAAATAATGTTTTTCTAGTTTAGAGTCTTGTTAAATAAGAATATAAGAGTTTGATGAGAATTCATAGGACATTGTTTATCGATTACGCAAGACCAAAAACTTCAGGATTCTGATGCCACCGCTTCATCCACATGATTTGAACTCCTCTGGAAAATAAATCAGTAAACGGTTGCAACCCTTAAAAAATATACGAAAAAACTGGGAAAAGCTATACACTTTTTTAGACAGACTCACAGAAGAACATGTCTTTTCGATTTTTCCCACACTTTTCCTTCCACACATTCTTCTAAATTCTCGAACTCAATTATTAATATTGACAACCATTGCCGTTTAGGATGACCTAAATTTTCGAAATTTTGATAACAAGAAAGTAATAATAGAACATTCTCACCTCTATACTTTCTACCGGTCCAAGTTTTGATGATCACCATTTCGGATTCATTGCAAGTGTCCACAAAGCTAGATGGATCCATGAATACAATAAGAATTCCTTTGATGATATGGTAGTAGAAGACAAAGTACATTCGTTCGGTTATGTTCTTCTGCAAAAAATTGAAGAAAATGTTTGTTGAAATGTTCGTTTTTTTTTTCATCGCACCTCATCCCTAGCTATCATAAATACATAGATGTAAAAAATTATCATTTGATAACTATCCAAAAAGTCAGATGGATGAAATAAAGAAATCGAATGCTCTGCCAAGAAAACGGTGAGAAGAACAGAAGAGACGCCGAGACCAAACATCAAGCATATATATGGCTGGAAAATTTTAGATTGAAATTTAACGTACAAAGTCAAGGACTTGTTTTTACAATCAACAGTAAGAACAGTTGCTTTAATTACTTTTTTATCAAAGTTTTAAAATTATATCATTTGAACATGAAAAATAACATTCCCAAGGGGTTAAACAACAATCCAAAGACCTCATTATTTTCGAACACTTACCCAATAAAACGGATGTTCAGAATAATGTTCAGGAGAACGACGAGAAAACTCAGCAATCTGTGAAGCAACACAGTGTTGTAACATTAGACATGTTAACAAAGTAATTAATTCAGCTTTCAAAATTTTGATGCGCTGCTTTCTTGTCAATTTCGGACCATTCTCTTCTTGTTCTACTGTGCTTGATACATGTTTGAGAGCACAAAAAGTTTGAAGAACAAGTAAGACGAATGCATAGAACAGACCAAATTTTTCGTTAGCATCCATAAGAAATGTTAATGGTGGATACGCTAACCAGAATCCTGCCAAAGTGTACGATGGATAATACGATTCAGTAGACATTTTGAAACAAAATCGATATAATGAAGGAGGAAAATGGACGGGAGAGGGGGAGGCTAAAGGAAAGGGTCCTTATTGTATGGACCCTTCTTCTCTGTTCCCTCTAAATGGTGATTGTCTGCACCCTCCACCCTCTCGGTGAGGCGAATTGTGCGCAACATCGTCTCCTAGGCAGATGTGCATAATTAAGATTGACCCTCCCCGCAAAATGTTGACGTTGACAGCACTCGGTCGAGAAGGGAGAACACATGTTTAAAGATTGCAATTTATGATGACGAAAAAAACATTTATTCCAATTCGTTTTTATTATTTACATAAAAATTGCCGGTATTTGACCGAAATGGAAAAAATGGATCAAAAATAATAAGGATAAGTTCCGATGATAGTATCTATAGTTCTGAAGATTGATTGCAAAACCTTTGATGTTCACAATTAAGCCCACCACATCAAGTGTGGATGTTGACAGCACTCTGTCGAGAATGGAGAACACGTTCCTATTTCCTCTCATAGAAGCCCATAAGCTCCTATTAAAGGGTGACTCGGCGGTCGGCGCCAATACTTGGCCAGATCTCCCACAAGTCTAGCACAAGTATCCGAGTACATTATTCTATGTATTAGCTAAGACTTGCGGGAGGCTTGTGCAAGACTTGTGGAAGATTTGTCCTAGACTTGTGTGTGGCTTTGTGTGTTTTCATTGAAACCTGTTGTTCTGTTGTGATTGTATTTGGAATTAGATATACTACAACATTTTATTAGAACACTACACAAAACGAATAATAAGAAAAAAATTAATTAAAATCACAAAAATTTCCACCTTTTCGTTTCCTTTTCTTTGAAATCCGTTGAAATTCATCGACAACGACAGTGTAATCGCATCAAGCCGAGTCATCTCATTTCCTCAATTTTTGCTTTGTATTTTGAAGTATCCTTTAGACGAGAACATTACAATCCAATTTCTTCCATCTAAAATACAAACGATAATTTAAAAAATTCTCAGTCTTTGAACTAATACCATCACTTGCTTTTCGAAAAATTTTCACATTTGTGGTTTCGACATTACTGACTTTCGGATAACAAGCATCTACATAATGTGCAGTGCAAAAAAAATCTTCTTTACATAGTTCGAGTTGTCTTCAAATCCTGAAAACGTTACGTCTGTGAGTTCCAAACATTGTTTTTTACTGAAATCGTATTCATTTTCCACTGCGACACTCTGCGCATGCACGATTTTGACGAAACTCTGAATCGTTTTCATAGCATTTTAACTCTTGAAAAATGTGTGAAACCTTCAAAAAGAGATCCTTTGTCGACTGAAACAGCAGCTTTGATGGAGAATTTTTTGGTGGAATTTTGCAGAAAATTAACTTTTTTCATCCTCCGTCTCCTCTTTTTTCGTGAATCGAAATTCTGTAATATTGAACTCTTCAAAGCTAAATATCTCTTCATAATAACTCACGATATGCTCACGATGTGCTCACGACTCGCAGATTTATCATTTTTCGGTTTTGCTTTTTTGAGTTGAAGTTGAATGTTCTGTCATGTTGAAAGTTATACGATTCGAAACTTCAAAATTTCATATACCAAAAAATTAAGATACCTTCATAAAAATTCGAACTTTTATGAAAATAGTAGAAAAATAGATAAAACCAGAAAACAAATTGAAAATTAAATGATGAGTCCGAAGGTGAAAAATCAATAATCAGAATTTGGCCAAGACTTGTAGCCTTCCGACTATGGGCCAAGACTTGTGGTAGCCATCACAACGGCTCATGGAAACGCATACTTTGGCCAAGACTTGTGGGAGGCTTGGCCAACACTTGTAAAATCATGAAATTTGGCCAAGTATTGGCACCCGCAGCCGAGTCGAGCTTCTATTTTTCGAAGCAGCTCGCAAGGTTCTATTAGAGGTGGGCTTCAAATAGGGGTGGGCTTCTATTAGAGGAAATACGGTATACAAAAGTCGCAATTATCATCCTAGATATGCGTTCCAGTCTTGTTGGCTGGAGGTCGAGCAGTAGAACTTCTGCTGCCATCTACCAAGATCGGAAAAAAGCAACGAGCAATGAACGAAGAGATATGAGGGACAAAAATTCATGGGTCGAACATATTTCATGCAAAGAGAGCAAATAAGAAATAATTTTATACAATAGACGGTTTTGCTTTTGCAGTAAATATACTCGGTTGTATAACCGTAAACACTCTAATACAAGGCCACCCAAACCGCCACACAAGCTCTTATATCTCAGTTCCTGTAGAAGAAATCAAGAAGTCGTCAACTAGACAAATATTAATGATATTATGATGAGCGTTTTGTAAGTTAACGACTTCTTGATTTCTTTTACAGTAACCGATTTACAAATGGGATCAAATTTGGCGGTTTGGATGGCTTTCTAAACTTTCTCGAAATTAGAATAGAACAAAAAAACAATAATCTCATAATAAATCATTTATTTAAAAAAATTTACAGGGTACGACAGCACTCCCTCTATCCCAGTATTTACAGTCATTCTTTATTTAACAAGATTTTGACATTTTTTCCATGCTCTCAATAACATTTTCCAGATACAACAGTCATAAGAGTGTAACTTTTCAGGTTTTACAAGTTCGTTCAAAGTTGCATCCAGAATACCACGAACTGTGAATAACGATCCATTGCAAATAATCCGACAAGCAGCTCAAGACGCAACCGGAAGACACAATCCGAGTGCTTTCCCAGACCTAATAGTTCTATTTTAATAATTATATTACTATGAAAATTTTAAAAATTGTATGAAAATGTTCGAGGACACCACGAACGGAGAAAAACGTATTTCAGTTACAAATCACCATTATAAACAATCAGACAATAAGCTCAAGACACGGAAGGAACACGACTGAGACTAAAACAACGAAGATGCCGAACTCTAAAACAACGAAGATGCCGAACACATCCCAAGAATCCACTGAAGAGAGAAAAACGCGCAAGAAAGGAAAAAACAACGAAAAAATTAGAGTTCACGAAGTTCTACGATCTCCCCGCAACTCGGTCTCGTGACATCCGAAATCCTCTTGCCACGACGCATCCGAGATCTGAAATCAAAATAATTTTTAGAGATTTCGAACTATTTTTGTTACCTTATCAGATTTGCATGAAGGTTTCTGAAATCCTCCGTCCAACCAGGATTACTGTTGATGGGCGTCCTAAATTACTCCACTTTGGAAAGTTCAGTTGTTTTCTCATCATTTTCTCAACTATAAAAATGCCTATTGTGCTTTTTTTTGAAGTTTCCCCGTTTCCCCCGGAAAAATAATTTATCAAAGTTTATCAAACGTTCAAAGTTTTCCAAAATTGTTTTCCAAAATTCAAATATTCGATTTTTTGAAACTGTCTTAAAAAAAATTCACAACCAGACTGATTTTTTTTTCAGAAAACCAGGAAAGATGGTATATCCGAAAACTCCCATTTCCTCACCTTTCATTCTTTATCTCGCTATTTCTGTCATATTGATTCGACCTCTGCCAATCCTGGAATCCTCCTTTGAAGCTATCCTCGGAACACTGAAAGTTGGATGCATCTCGGAAACCAAGCAGCACCTGAAACGCAAATATTTGAAACAAAATTCTGATTTTTTTTCCTCACTTTATCTTTCCTTTCATCTTGATTTAAATTCGGCGAATCCTGGAAACCACACTGGAGGCTGTCCTTGAAGATCTGGAAGTTGGTGCGCCACGGAAACCAAGCAGCCTGAAACACAAACTCTTTAAACTTCACCAACTTCTATTTCCTTACCTTTCTACCTTTCTTGTCATCTTGATTCAAACCCGACTGACTTTGGAATCTGCGCTGGAAGTGTTCCTCGAAGTGCTCGAAGTTAGGGGGAGGGGGACATCCTGGAAGCCAAGAAGATCCTGAACTTGAACGTTGCAAAATCTATACTGATTGTCCCTTCTTCTTTGACTCCTACTCTTTGCCCTCATTTTGTTAGGCTTTCACTGAGGTCATTTTGATTTTAATATTGGGAAAAGAAGATCTCGTGAAAAAGGAAATTCGGAAACCTTCAACTTTGAGCTCAACTATCTCGGTTCCTATGAGAGATATCAAAAGTCTGTCAACTGATAAAGTATAGGAAATATTATGATGAATAATTTGTCAACTGACAAAAATCTGATATCTTTCACAGGCACCAAGATAATTGAGTTCAAAGTTGACGGTTTGGATGAGCTTCGATTCATTATTCTCATTTTTCTGGTACATAGATTCTCTATTCAATCTAGCTGATTCACAATGTATATCAGTCTTGTGAAAATTGAAAAACCAAAAAACTAGTTTTTTCAAACTAATTTTTCAAAATATAATGTTTAACAACAGTACCTGGGTACTAAAAAAATAAATAATTTTCTGTTTTTTCCCAAAAAGCTCCTTGGATAATGTGTGTTTTTAAAATGTTCTGAATCTCTTGGCTACAAAATTCATAATCAGAAAAAATTCAAAGAAAAAATAGCAAGTCTGAAAATAGCAAACTTTTCCAAAACAGGTTTTGATCTACAAAATTTTCATTTTTTTGAGAAGACTCATTTTATTAATTTTTGATCTGTTTTGATGCTGTGTCTCGTTCATGTTCAGGGTTTCTTTTCGAAATTTCCTCTTGTTTCAAAATTTTTCCGCCACATCTCCATATTTTAAATTTTCCAGCATGGTAGGTGCAACCCCTCCAAAACCGGAAGACGATGGAAAGATGTTTTGGAAGAGAACACCGGCTCTGAATCTTCCAGACGAATCCGATCGGAAGAAGAACCAGAACACATCCGATTCAGAAGCGCGATCAGAAGTTCACACCGACACTCCGAGACCAGGTCCATTTGATGCAGGACCTGATCGAGCGCTGAACACACTTGTGAGTGTTTTTTGTAAACGCTGTAAAATCGATTACTCAAATGTATACTTTTCAGAGTGATCCAAACAAGTCAAGCTCTTCAAATCAACCCAGACCTCCTGAAAGCTCCAACAACAGTAGTTCACTTTCTGTGGTATACAGTGTGGTATACAAATTTCCTGTATATTGAAAATCAAATTTTCAGGGAATTTTGAAGATGAACTCAGATGGAACAGAAGAACAACGATCGAATAGTGAACGGTATTTTGGACAATGGTCGAGTATTGGTTCGAATGATTCGTTGAGAGCGGCAGCAAGGACTCCACAGAACGAGGTGAGCATATAATTTTGCTATGAAAAATCGGAGCTGTGGAAGTGGTCAAAGGTCCCACAACGACAACTACCGTAACCTGAAAACTAATTTATTTTCCGGATTATTTTTTTTCATTTTCGTGGTCCAGTACCCAAGAGTAAATCGAGATCTAAGGGTACATTGGTTCCATTTTGCTTTTTTATAAATATGTATGACTTTCTAATAGGCTAAAACTCCTTACGGACCAAGATCCCATGTACTCTTCGAACTAAGGTACCCTCAGAACTTGTTGAACCCTCGATGAACCCATTTTCAATGTACCCTTGAATCCTGTACCGATTTTCGTCCGTTTTCAGTCAACATTTCATTATCAAAAAATTTCAAATTGCAACTTTTTCGGGAAAAAACCACAGAAAACTTCACGAAATGCAGATGTTTTTAGGTTACGGTATACGTCATTGTGGGATCTTCGGCCACGGTCATCGGCGTTTCTCTTCCACAGCTGCAATTTTTTTTGTACCAGAACAATAGTGTTCAAGTTCAAAAAATGAAGACTCTTTTTCCAGGAAGAAACACCAAGAGCGGAAGCAGCGTCACCAGTGACACCACCAACGGTTAGACAGATGCCACGTCCAGAGAGTCAGGAAGCTCAAGAGACCCCGGAAACAGTCCGTCATCATCCTATACCCGAGGGTGTTTTGGTATGGATAGTTTACTAAAACATCTCTAAATATCCGATTTTCAGACTTCACCTACACATGTCTCACCAGCTGCTCGAGAAGAATCGACAGCCGCTACACAACCAGTACAAGAAAACCGACCCGCCGTGAATCCAGCAAAAGACCCGACAACAGCTCAAGACAAGAATTGTCTTTGCAGATGCGATTCCTGCACTATTATGTGATGATTATCTCGTTTTTAATTTATTTATCATGTTCATAATAATAATAATAATAATTGTATACCAATTTTCAGAATTTAATTCTTTAATACTTCACTTCTTCTTATGCTTTCTACGGGTTTTTTTTCTCTTCTGTGAAAAGGTTTTGTGATAGGCGGTCTTGAAAATGAGTTATAAATATTTTAATAATTTTAAAGTTGTGTTTTCAAAACCAGTAAAATATTTAGAAAAGTTTTTAAAAAATGTGTTTGGGAAGTTCGAGAAAATCCATACTTGCGACAGGGTCGTTGCCGGGCCCTTCGCGGGCCTTACCATAGTTTCTTTCAGAAACAATATTTTTAGACCAACTAAATTAGACATGAAAGAACTCCGCAAGTTCTACAAAATGATACTATTTGAAGAACTGTGTCTTGCCTATGAACAAAGTTACAAGTCATGAAGTGGCCGGGAATTGTCGGGCCGTGCAGTGCAGACGTTGTTTGTCTGTAAATTTGTTCATAGACATGACACAGTTCTCAAATTAATATAATTTTGTAGCCCTTGTCAAGTTCTATCATATCTAATTTAGTCGCTATAAAATATTGATTCTAAAAGAAACTATGGGAGTAATTTACTGTTACGAACTACTTAAAAAATACAAATTTATTCAACCCGGATTTCAATGAATTTTAAGGCAAGTTCCGGAAATAAACATTGATATAATTCTCTTGAAGTTCGTCAATTTGGTTCGGTGATAAAAGACACAGCGGTTCCACGAAGCGAATACGTTTCTCGGCTGTAAAGACATCGTTTGCATCTGATAGTCTGCCAGATTGCATGTCTGAAGTCTTTGACGAAAAATATGACAACCATCGGATCGACACATGGGTACGTGGTGATCACTGTCATGATAAGACCTTCGTAGGATCCTAGAGTTACTTCGAACAGAGGTGAAATCATCATAACTGCAGCTGGGAGGAACATAGTGAGCACTGGAATTACAGTTTGGGTTACTAATGCTTTGAAGAGTTGTTGCTGAAGGTTTGTGGTCCGTTTCGAAGTGTGACGAAGGGTTCGGAGTTTACGGAATGTGGAGATTCCGCAGAAGAGAACGATTGTCATACAGATGGTCTGAAAAATGTTTTTTTTTTTCAATGGGCATTTGCAAAGCCTTTGCGGGTACGGCCATTATTTCTTTTGGCAATCTTTTTTTTTTGGATCTGTCATAGTAGCTGTAATAGAACTTGACACGTACTATAAAATGATGATATTTAGAAAACTGTATATTGTCTATGAGCAAAGTTGCAAGCCATAAAGTGGCTAAGACCAGCCGTGCCGGGCCTGTTTTTTTTTCAGTTTGTTTTGTTTGTAACTTTGTTCAAATACAAGATGTAGTTTCTCAAATAGTATCGCTTTGTAGTACTCGTCGTGTTCTATCATATCAAATTTACTTGGTCAATTGGTCAATGATTCTAAAAGAAACAATGGGAGAAATTTCAAAAGTCTTTACCATACTTGCAACGTGCCGAGCCGGGCTTTTTCAGATCTTTCAGGACCCGGCCCGTCTCGGCACGGGTTTTCAGAAAAAAATTTATGTCTTTTTAAAAAAATATTTTGAGGTCAATAGAAAAAAATTGACTATTTTTCTGTAAAGTAAAAAAAATTTCAAAATAAGAGTGTCCATAAAAAATGATTTTTTCACAAAAAAATTGCTAAAATCTCAAAATTTTTTTCAAATTTGGAGACCCCGGGCCCACCGGGCTGGGCCGGGCCAAAGAGCCATGGGCCCGGGCCGGGCCCTGATTTTGCAAGTATGGTCTTTACAAGTCTGGATCTCAGAAGCATTATAAGCTTAAATCAATACTATGAATGTTCATCGGTAATTTTTTTGTTTAAAAAAACTCACAATTAACTTTACAATATTTACAGCAAACAGTACATCTGGCCAGGAAATTGTCTTCTCCCATTTTTCATTCATTCTCTAAAAACCAACACAATATTCTAGAAATAATTCTAGAAAACGACTCACATAGTACAAGGAAGCAGCATAGATGAATTCACCCTTTGTCAAATTGTAATTAGTTTTCATCGAGTCTCTGAAATATCGTTCTCATTTTTTCTAATTTCCGGAACAAAACTCACTTGACAAGCTCATCAATAAGACGAGTCTCCCCCGCATACAGAACAGCTGTAATCCACCATTCAAATGAAATTTCCGTGCAAAAAATGAACCAGACTATTGTGTGAGGCCACATGAACCAATTCATTTGGTTCGGTCTGAAAGTTTCCAATATCACAAAAATGAAAATCTAAAATTATAAGAGTACCTACAAACCGCCAAGTACCGGTAGATAAAGTGCACAGCCAATAATGAAATTGTCATTCCGTAACAAGAACAATTTAGAGCTGCAATAATAGAAAACAAATCAGATTAACTTTATATCAAATCTTCTTACCGTTAAACCAATTTGCCAAAAAATGCGGGAGACCAAGAGAGTTGAGACTAAACACCAAGTACGCTCCACCATAAATATGAACCATCTGAAAAATAAAATTATTGAATTTCAAATGCGCTCAAATATCTACTTACAGGTTTATTGGAAAAATCCACTATTGAAAAGAAAAGTCCCAAAAACGAAAAAGCAAACATTAGGTACTTGTAGCTACCCAGATTTTTGTCTCTTCGGAATATCAACAAGGATAGCAGAAGACTGTTTGAAAAAATGGATAAACCGAATGTGACATGAGCGTATGTTTGTTGAAAGTCCAACAACATCATCTGAAAATGAATGAATGAGGAATACATAATGAGATAATATATAGGGGAAGTAGACAAGAAATGATCTTTCTGAACACACAAAAAATTGTTCACTGGTAATACATAGACAAAAATTTAGGTTGAACAAGGAAACTTCATCTGAGACAGACCTCATTTTCCCTAGATCAAACGCTTCGTGTGACACAATTTGTGGATTTCCCACATCTCGTAGATTTTTAATTTTTAATCGAAACCAAATCTCATGACCTAACTAACTCTCACTAGACTTTTTATCAAAATTCTATCTCGTAATTTGAAAAAAACACCTGAACTTTGTCTCAAGGCAAAAAAAAATCTGGAAATCTAATCACAAACATAATTTGATTTGTTAAGCAAAAAAAATACATACAAGTGACAAATTTAGAATCTTGGTTATAGAGTTGGTAGTTAGGTCAAGCAATTCGGAACTCCTAAGTTGATTAACGTCAGAAAAATATAATCCAGAATTCGAAATAAATATTAAAAAAGAACTCATTCGCCCATAAGCAATCCAATCAAAATTCGATAAAAGTTATTAATGTTGTTTGAATGGAATTCTTTGTTTTCAATCTAGACAAGTGAAGCGGTGAAAGCGTGGGTTGGTCGAAAAACAAAAGTTGCTTCTAGTTTTTGAACCGGAAAAAAAGTGATTTGATCAATTTCAACTAGAAACTATTGAATTTTCAAATTCAAAGATTTCATAGCTAACAATTTATATATTACTATAAGCTAATTTAACGATCGAATTCATATTCCGCGAAACTTGTAATGTAAGGGCCCCCGCACTGTTAACTTTGAGCATATCTTGGTTCCTATGGAAGATATCAAAAATGTGTCGACTGATAAAATGTTTTTGATCTTATGATAAACATATTATCAGTGGACAGCTTTCTTTCATCTTTGACAGGGAACGAGATAAATTGGCTCAAATTTAAGAGTGAGGGGTTCGTTTACATGTTTTACGGTATGTGTTGACCGCTTGGCGTTTATTTGTGTAGGAGATTTTTAGAACTAATTTGAATGACTAACTTCGAAAACAGAAATATACTAATTTGAAATTTTAAAAATGACATCATTTTCCTCTGAGCACCTCAGATTCGCAACATCGAAACAGTGTTATTTTGCTCCAGCTGCTTCTCACTCCTAGTTAAAAACCCAAAAATATTTTCGATAACTTTAGGAGAAAATTTGGGTAAATGGAAGTAATAAGCTTTGAAGAAATTCAGAAAAAACAAAACGTCAGAATGGAATTTGAGTTGAAGTTGTTGGGTGAGAAGATGGTCAGTGATAAAGGTAAACGATTGTAATTAAGGACTACATGGCTAGAAAAAAGCGTCAACTGTTCAATGAGCCGTTAGAGAACACGATCTACCGATGCATGTAAAAATGCTAAAATACTCTCTTCGAGAATTCTTAATAAGGGAAATCTTGAGGATTACCCTTGCCAAAGAAAAAACAAAACCTGCCGTACCCTGGTTATTGTCTTCCCATTCTTCTTATCTGATCTTAGTTCAATATAAGTGGAAGAATAAAAATTCTATGGAAAAGACAGAATAAGAGAATCAAAACCAAAATCTTACCCATCTTCGAGTTGTCTAGAAAAAGAGGCTCTGTATTTATTTAAATAGCCGGAGGGTGTAAATAAACAGAAGATTCGGGAAGTTTTTAATGAGAATTCGGTGTGTCCCTCTTTTTTGCAAAAATTCAAAATATTGAGACCTTTCTTGGAAATGATCTATGTTTTGGCATACAAAAAAAAACGAAATGATAGTTTTCCGGAAGTTTTAGAGAACTTCATTGTCTGAAAGAATAGGGAAAAAATCTTTAAAGAATAGGGAGAAGTATTAGACTTTAGGATTAATCTTACGTACCCGAAAAACAAGACCTTCTAACGTCATCTGCCCAAACTTGTAGAATCTTCTTAGAATATGAAACACTTCTTCTTTTTCGCAGTAAACGAAACTTCAAGCACAGAATAAACCCATTACGTTTTTCTTGCTCAAAAGAGCATTTCAAGGAATTCTTAAAATCAGATTATGACACGAAACATTTCAGATTTGGAGGTCAGAAAAGCAACATTTTTAGTAATAATCTACGTGCTGTAAGGCTTACATTCGTTCTCAGCCGGCCGACCGCCAACCCAGCCGACCGACAGCCGACCGAATTCGTCATTTGCGCGTCAACATGTCGCAGAATGTTTGCGTACGCAGTATTTTTTCACGGCAAATGGTCGGTCAGCTCGGTCGGCAGTCGGTCGGCTGGGACCGGCGGTCGGTCAGTCAGCTCAATTTCTCGGCCGAATGAAAGTCATACTTGATGATAATTTATAAATTCATTTTAAAAAACGTATTCCCTGAAAAGTATGGATAGACAAGAAAAAACGAATTTGAGAATTTTTTATGTATTTTTTATTAATTGAAATTTTTACCGCAGAAAACATAATAAAACTATTATCACAAAATAGAAAAAATTACATGTGGGGGTGTCAAGATCTGCAGTTTCCCAGATTCAAGGTGATATTTTCCGTAATAGTAGTCGTCAACTGGCTCACTAACTTTACGAAGAGTTTTACGACGGGTGAAGGTAACTACGGTAGCGATAGTTACGATAAAAAGGAAAATGAATAGAACAAGAAGACTGAAGAGAATAACATTGTCTGTGGAGATTGGAATTGGGCTGTTGGTGATTTTGATTTCACAGAGTTCTCCGGAATATTCAGCTTGGCAGATGCATTTTGAGTTTGTTCCATTGAAAAGGCATTGAGAATCTGAAATGCAAATTTAATGGATCGGTTATGCTGAACTTGAACTTACTATTGTGACACTTCTTTTGCTTGCATTCATCTTTTGGGCAGTTTTCTCCATTGGTGCAATAAAACTGGCACTTTGATCCATAGTGATTGGGGAGGCATTCGAATCGGATTGATAAGAAAATTGAAATTCCAATTCTGTCCGTTACAGTTTTGTGGATCCACGGCTCATTGACAAGAACTGGGAGTCTCGTTGAGAATTTTTGTCCCACAAAGTCCCCATCTCTAGATTTCATAATTTGAATAGTGTACTCAAGAACTGGGAGCAGTGATTTGGATGATGGTGGTGGAAATGGAAACACGAATTCATGGTATTTTGGATCCAAATGAAGATCGAACGATATTCCATATCTTGAAGAGTTCTCTCGATCGAGTAGTTCCATCCGAGCGACGACATCTTTCGAAGAAGACACCCGAAGCCCCAAAACGCCAGTTGATGAGCAATATTGGGCAAGGATCAGAAGAAAAGAGACGTAGTAGAGAGTACGGTTCATTTTAGTGAATGAATGAATGGCAGGAGGAAAGGCATGGAAATGAATGGTCCTAAAATTGTATGGGCGGTGCTAAAGACAGTATACTTCTGAAAAAAAAAGAGCCGACAAGGTTTCGGTGTGATGAGACTGTATCCTGTATAAAGTATACTAGGTTTCCAAGGGTATACTCTTCTATCGGCATCGTTCCAAGATCAAAGGTACGGTGTACAACTTTTCAATATCTTTGAAATGGACCGACTTTTGGAATATTTTATACCTATTTTAAGTAACTCAGCTAGTAGCAACTCAGCAACTCCAACAATGAGCCCACAAGATCAACACCTCAAGGGGCTCGTATGAACGGAATCTGTAGAAAGTTATTTTTTCATGTTCGCCCATTTTTAACACATCTCTATTCTCCTTGAAAATATACCACTAATTACCCCTATTCAAAACTTCGATCCGATTTTTGAAACTTCACACATCTGATCAATCAGAACACAGGACCTCTTCTCTATCGTCATAAGTCCTTCGCACTGTTTGAATAGTATCCGTTAGATTGTTTTCTTTTTGTTCTTGAACGCGACACAAAAACATACCTAATGATTCATTTTAGAATGTAGTCCAAATTTCCTTTCTCTAGTCTCAGCTGGATGCTATAAAACCCAAAAACTGGAAAAACAAAAGTGTCATTCTTGACATAATGCTTTACCTTCATGTCATCCAATACTTTGGTTTTATTGGTTCTCAATTAGCCAACTCTCTACTCATTTATCTAATCCTTACAAAAGCTAGAAAGCTATTCGGAATGTATCGGTTTGTAATGTTGGGCTTTGCATTTTTCTTCTTGTTCTATTCATGGATCGAAATTCTCACTCAACCGGTTATCCATATAAAGAGTCCAGTTTGTATAGTATTTATGGATAGTTCGTTGAAATATTTCAAGTCAGTTGGGTTCATAATTACATGTAGGTTATTTATGGAGGATGAGATCTCGAAATCCGGCCAGTTATAGGTTTGTACTGTGCGTGTTTTGCTCTTGTCATCTCACTTTTGTCGGCTCAGTTCTTCTACAGATTTCTGGCGGTTTGTAAGTAAGTATGAAAAAATGAAACGTTTTGAAATTTTTAAATCAAACTAAAGCTAACTATCTGATAGTTAGAGCATGATAAAAATATCAGACAGTTTTAAGTGCCTTAAACCCTCTAATAGAAGGCAATCCGAACCGTTAACTTTGAACTAATTTATCTCGGTTCCTGTAGAGGATATTGAAAATTTGTCAACTGATAAAATGTTTTTAATATTATGATAAACATTTGGTTAGTTGACCACTTTTTCATATAATTTATTGCAACCGAGATATATGAGCTCAAATTTGGCGGTTAAAGTGACGTTATACTATTAGAGTGTTTACGGTAAATACCAAGAGAATTCGGTCAAAGTTTCAATTACCGTATTCACCTCCCCAATATTTTCAGACCCCATATTCTCTCCCATGGCGAAGAACGTCTTCTATTCTACCTCTGCGTTCCTTGTTTTTTGTGTTTTGTCGCTTGGTTTGAATTCGTTTATTGGGGAATGGCCAACACTGTCGAGAAGCAATTGTACATGAAGTGAGTCACAGATGTTTAACTTATACACTACAATTGTAAAATTAAAGATCGGAACTTGCTGAAATCTATAATGAAGACTCTGAAAGTGTAGCATTTATTGCGGTTATGTACTGGTCGGTTGGTCCGGATGGCCAGAAGAAATGGAAGATTAACGATATAGGTCTATTGCTGGCTTGTGTTGTCACTATAGTAAGAAATCATCCTATCATAAATCATTGAAAAAATAATGATTTTTCAGGGTGGTTGTTTTATGACTATCGTTTATTGTGCCACTAGGATTTACAAGAAGATGAAAGACTCCAGTGGTCATATGAGTGGACGAACAATGGAGCTTAATCGGCAGTTGTTTATCACACTAACTATTCAAGTAAGTACTAAATATAAATCGCATTCATGGCGTTTTTTCCAGACAATTCTCCCTTTGTTCATGATGTATATCCCAGTTGGTCTCGCAACTTCCCTGCCCATTTTTGAAATTCATACCGGTCGAATTGCCAATTTCACGGCTGCTAGCCTAGCGGTGTACCCATTTCTTGAGCCCATTGTTCCCATGTTATGCATCAAAGAATTCAAAAACTTTATACTGTGTGAGTTTTCAGAGAAATTCATTTCCTTAAAATTGATATCTTATTACATGAAAACGGCCCAAGCAGAATTTACCTCAAATATCAGAATTTCTTGTTTATGTCAACAGACAGGACTTATAGTGACTATAAAAAGTCTAAAAAGAACGTGTAAATATAAAGTCCTTATACGTACACTTTGATATATCAAAAATTGGTCAACTGTTAAATTATTTATCTTAATATCAGTAATATTTTATCAGTTGTCAGATTTTTGATATCTTTCATATGAACCGAAATAACTGAGCGCAAAGTTGACGGATTGGTTGGACTTCTATTGGAACAAGTACCGTAATGCCTTATTTATTCTTTAGTCACTAAAAGTGCTGTTTTTGGGCCCAGAAATTCTGAGAGGGATCATCTCCGGTGATTTCCAAGTAAGAATATGATAAATTTTTTTTCCAGGTCGCCAAAAACGAAAAGTGGCATCTCGAACTACATTCTCAAGTCCAGTCTCAGGAATTCACTCTTCCAGTACTAACGCAATTCTTTGAATGAATAGAATCTGTGATTTGTTTTGTTCTAGAACGGTTTTTTGTATTTTCTCTTATTTTTACTGTTTAACAGACACAGCAAAAAAGTTCCTGGTTTATCAATCGCTCTAATCAGTCGGTTATTTTTCCTCGTATTTCGTTTTTTGTTTCACTGTTTTTTTAAATACATATAATTCATTTCCATAAAAATTAATTTGATTATTTTGGAGAAAATAAATCCCATGTTAATCGCACCGGAAGTTCTGGAAAAACCAAAATTCCTAGATAGCGTGAAACCTGTATTAAAAGTGCCCCCAAACTTTTAACATTAAGCTCAATTATCTCGGCTGCCGTGAAAGATATCAAAAATTTGTCAACTGATGAATTGTTAATTTTAATATTAGCAATATTTATCAGTTGACAAATTTTTTATATCTTTCACACGCTTCGAGATATTTGAGCTCAAAGGTGACGGTTTGAGCTATTGCAACGCTTCTCCAAACCACTTGAACTATTGAAACTCTCCGAAATCCAAATTAAATTCAATTATAAATTCAAGTTTTATTTTCAGCATTCTAATTCTTTTTTGAATAGTCTAACCATGAAAAGATTGAGAGTTTTGAACCCTAGTTTCGAGAACATTGCTGGTTTCTATAATGAACTGCAGTGTCGTCTGTTTTGAAACAAGGTTTTTTTCCCAAATCTAAAATTTTCCTTTCCACCTTCTTTTGTTTTTTTTAACAGACATTGATCACGTTTTCAAACAACTGAACACCTAATATGTGTCTGTGGTCTATTTTCATATTCTCATAACATCTACATAAACGAATTTTATTAGATAATGAAATAATTGTGTCTGAAATTCCCAGTGATTCAGCCTTCCTACCTGACGTAATCTGAAAAAAAATCCAGTAGCATAACCTTTCATTACAGTTGACTGATTTTTCCAGTCAAAAGCATTTTTCTGCTCTCGTCATTTTCCAATGATAAACATCACATCTTCTCCTTGTTACAACAACATTTTGTATCACACTTCCTGCTTCCAAATTTTGGCCAATTTTCAGAGAACAATGTCTTTTATGATATATCTTCATATTATTCAATACATTGGATTTATCGGTGCCCAATTTTCCAACTCAATTCTTGTTTATTTAATTGTGACAAAAGCGAAAAAGCTGTTCGGAACTTATCGGTATGTCATGTTCAGTTTTGCTGTGTACTTTTCGTTGTACGAGTGGATCGAGATTTTGACTCAGCCGGTAGGTCTTTATCACCCAAACATTCAACTTTGAGCTCAATTATCTCAATTCTTGTAGAAGATATCAAAAATTTGTCAACTGATAAAATATTGGTGATATTATGATAAATAATCCGTCAGTTGAAAAATTGTTGATACCTTTCCCAGGAATCGAGTTACTTGAGCTCATGGTTGTCGGTTTCGCCTATCAAAGCAATACAGTAGCTTTTGAATATTTCCAATTTTCCAGATAATCCATATCAAAAGCCCGGCGTGCGTTGTTCTCATGGAAAGTCCATTAAAATACAATCCCATACTTGGCTATCACATAACTTGTGAGTTCCTCACAGACTTAAAATGTATCTACAAAATATTTGTTGCTCAAATTCAAAATTTTCTTAGAAAACGAAAAGATAGGCTCATTAGTGATTAATCAGGTGAGCGAAATTCGAAGAACAGTCTGTGATCTAGCGAGCAAAATACAAAGATTAGTGTGTGCACAAGCATACTTTGAGACTCGCAAAAATAGAAAAAAAAGATGACGTGATAGGAAAGTGGAGGTTAAGTGAGTTTGAATGTAATCGGGTTTGGAGATCAAACAAAAAATTTGAAAAATGGTGATTCTTGTTGATCACTTTTTTATATCTTTGACAGGAGCCAAGATATTTGAACTCAAAGTTGACGGTTTAGGGAGGAGTTCTATTAGAGTGCTTACTGTAAAATGAAAAGAAAGAATTGAATTCCACAGGTCTCTACTGCGGCTCGTTTGCTCTTGTGATATCCCTTCTAGCTGCACAATTCAGCTATCGCTACGTGGCAGTTTGCAGGTATACATTGTTCGGAAATTCGATATGCCTTACATTCCAGACCAACATCTTGAAATTCCAGACCAAATTTTCTAGCTCATCACGAGGCAGCTATTCTCTGTGGAATTTTCATCCCTTGTCTAGTTTGCTTCATTGCGTGGTACCTTTTTGTGTTTTACGGAATGTCGAATAGTATTGAAAAGCAAATGTATTTGAAGTGAGTCATCAAAAAGTTTGCTGCTTTCAATAAGGATTTTGAAAAGGAACGAACTGAAAACATATTACAATGAGGACTCGACAAAAGTTCCATTTATCGCTGTGATGTACTGGTCGATTGATGAAAATGGGCGGAAGATCTGGAGGTTTTGGGATCTTATGCTGCTGGTTGCTTGTGTTGTCACTATTGTGAGTTTTGGGTTCTTGAATTTAAAAAAATGGGATTTTAGTGTGGATGTTTTGCAATTATAGTTTTCTGTGCGAGTAAAATTTATTTGAAAATGCAAAAGGCAGGAAACAACATGAGCAAGAGGACCATCGAGTTGAATCGACAACTTTTCGCTACATTGACTTTCCAAGTAAGATAATTTTGTTATAGTGGGGGAGGCTGTCAAGAACAGATCCGCGGCCGGCCGTGGCTTGGGACGTGGGTCAACCCGGAGTCTCATCGGACCACATCTGGTGACCTAGTTTATTACTTTAGTGACTATAACGAACATTAAAAGAGCCTAAACATAAGATCATAACTACTTACCTCCAAGAAACTGCAAATCACGGCCGCGGCCGGTCAGGACTCAGGTCGTGGGTAGGTTGCCGTGGACTAAACAGTCCGTTCTTTCGGAAGTTAGCTCAGCCAATGGGAAACTTCTAAAGCCGCTATGCCGTGGAATCCTACCCATATAAGTAGTAGCATACCCAAAAAGCCGCGGCCCCGTTTCCCACAGCCTTGATTGTTGGTCCCAACAATTTTAAGCTTTTTCAGACAGTTCTCCCACTGTTCATGATGTACATCCCAGTCAGTTTGGAAGTCACATTACCGCTACTTGAAATTGAAACTGGTTATTTGGCAAGCTTCACTGCTGGCAGCCTAGCAGTGTACCCGTGTTTAGAACCTCTAATCGCAATTTTTTGCATCAGAGAGTTCAAGAAAGCCGTTCTTTGTAAGTTCTCAGACTATTTCTGATTTCAATTTCATTATCCTACAGGCTGTGCGGAAAGAAGACTTCATACAGCCACATCTCGTTATTCGGCTTATCAAACATCCGGTGGAAAACCGAAAATCGTTTCTGGAAACAAGAAGACATAATCTTCCAAATAGTGTCCATTCTTTCATTATGTTGCTTCCCATTGTTTTCCAGTTTTCAGATCATTGACTAATCCATAACCTAACAAAAATTTAGTTTCTTCCAAACACACTTCTATGTGATTAACTGGTAGGCGGAAGGGACACATGGAGTATAAATAACAAGATTTTGGAGTATATATAAAACAAATTGACTTCATTTTTTTTATTTTTACTTTCTACTTACTTTTTCTCATGGCGGTGACACCATTGCTTCGTATCTGTCAATTTTCTGCGTTTTCCATTGCGGTATCGGCCAACTTACTGCTACTGTACCTGATAAAAATGCGAGCTGGAACTTCGTTTGGAAGCTATCGAGTCATGATGATTTCCTTCTCGATGTATGCAATTGTTTATGCATTTATTGAGATTCTCACAATGCCGGTATCTATAAATTTAGAAAATCTTGTCATTTTAGGAATTTTCAGGTCCTTCACATTCATAAATCTGGCGTCTTGTTCTATGTGGACAGTGTGCTGAAGTTCAATCCAATTATCGGGGAACTCATGTCATGTAGTTTGATTTATACTACAAACTGATATCATGATCCTGTTTCAGCATTGTACTGTGGATCTTTTGCACTGTGCATCTCTATGCTCGCCACTCATTTCATTTTTCGATATGTTGCTGTTTGCAAGTGAGCATCTAATTATCTGACTTGAAAACGGGCTTTGCCATAGTTTCTTTTAGGATCAACTAATATCGATATGATAGAACTCGACGAGAACTAAAAAATAATATTATTTGAAAAACTGTCTCTTGTCTACATATGAACAAAGTTTCAAGCTATAAAGTTACCAATCCGGGCAGAGCTGGGCCCTGTCGGTTTATTTGGTCCGTTTTGCCTATAATTCTGTTCATGGGCAAGATACAGTTCACCAAATAGTATCCTTCTCTAGCTCTCCCTGAGTTCTATCATATCAAAAATCAAATGATTCAAAATATGTTGATCCTAAAAGAAACTATGGTAGGGCCCGGATGTGGTCCGTTTACAAGCATGCCATTTTTTCGCTCCCCCATGCAAAAGTTCCGTTTCAGACCTCACAAATTATATCATTTCGATGGTAACAAAATTTACCAACTTTTCATCCCACCAACCATCTTATTTGTCATTTGGACTCTCTCGATCTACTTCAATTTTGGACCAAATCAGGTCAAGAAAGATTTTTTTCGCCGCGTGGCATGGGAGCTGTATGAGGAAGATATTGATAAGATTGCATTCATGGGTCCATTGTATTTTGTGAGTCATCTTGTTTTTTTGTAAATTTTTATTTGTTGTCGTTCGTTTCAGACTCGTATGGAAAACGGAAAACGTCTTTTTCGGTTTCCCGATCTCTTCGGTGCTTTTATCAGTTGTACAATTATGGTATGCGACAATTTTTGTGTTTTGATTTCTTGACAAACGATTTTCAGGCCATTTGCCTCACAACCTGCGTGGTCTGCGCTTTCAAAACGTATCGTAAACTGAACGATCTAACAATTCAAATGAGCGAACGAACCAGATCACTTAATAAACAACTATTCTGGACACTCGGTCTCCAAACACTTCTGCCTTGTGTTACACAGTACATTCCAGTCGGCACCATGTTTTTTGTTCCATTGTTTGAATTCGATCTCGGTAGAATCGGAAATCTGGTCGGAGCTGCGTGCAGTTTGTATCCCGCCATGGATCCAATAATTGCGATTTTCATGATTGATCGATTCAGAAACTTTGTGTTGAGAAAAGAATTTCATACAGTTTCGAAGACTTCAAAGGTGTCGGCTGTCAATGAAGAGAGAAGATCGACCATTCCGGATCATATAATTTAAATTCTGTATGATTTTTAAAAAAAGAATTATAGACAGTGAATATTTGAAATAGTATTTTTTTTCTTCATATTTTGTAGAACCTCATAAGATATTTCATAACAAATGCCTCGAAAAAAGAATGAAAAAAGCGTATACCGTAAAACCTGTAATATTAAGGCCCCTAACATTTAACTTCCAGTCACTTTTGCACGGTTTCTGTAAAAGGAAGTGAAAAAGTTGCCAACTGATAAAATGTTTCTCATAATAACACAAACAATTTATCAGTTGACAGATTTTTTATACCTCGCCGAGATAATTCATTTTAAACTTGAGAGTCTGGGGGTCTTTCTATTACAGGTTTCATGATATTACTTATCGAAGGTTTTCATGTTGTGGTGTATTCTGAAGAGTCGTTACTATGCAAAAATAAAATTATCACTTTCAAATACAGATCAATTCTTAAAAAACTATTCTTGACCAAATTCCTTTGGAACTAGACTTCAAACATCTACAGTAATTCCTCCCAATGGTTGATATCTCTGTTTTCCCTGATCTAAACACATTCCCTTTGAATCTTCCAACCAAACAACTCTATTTTTCCCTAATGCGTCAAGTTATGACTAAACTACCCTAATCCTTTGCTAACGTATTAAACTCTGTTTTCCGTCATCTTTTCATAGCGCCCCATTGTTTCTTATTTCCCCCCGAATACGCATTTTTTCTGAAAATATAGAAAACTGGTATAAAAGATGTGGTGGTACCACCAGTAGACCAGTAGAGCTAAAAATGGCGGTTTCTCCATATCTCCGAATCTGTCAGTTCTCATGTTTCTTTATTGCCATTATTGCCAATACCGTACTCCTTTATCTGATCAAGATCCGAGCTGGATCCTCGTTCGGAAGATATCGAATCATGATGATTTCATTTTCGTTGTACGCTATAATCTACGCAACAATTGAGATTCTAACTCTACCGGTAAGTTGGGAAACATAAATACCGTAAAACCTCTAATAGACGGGCCCCTAACTTATAACTTCAAGCCAATTTATCTCGGTTCCTGTCGAAGATATCAAAAAGAAGTCAAATTATAAACTGTTTATCAAAACATTTCAAGCATTTTATCAATTGACACATTTTTGATATCTCTTATAGGAGCCGAGATAATTGAGCTCAAACTTAACAGTGTAGGAGACATAGGTTTAACGATAAGTTATGAGACAATGAGATGTTTCAGGTGATGCATTTACATGGATCTGGAATTCTGTTCTACGTAAATAGCATTCTGAAGCATCATATAACCGCCGGTGTTTTGATGTCAAGTGAGTAGATTTCTGAAATATTCAGACTTATCGGGTATTTTAGCGCTGTATTGCGGCTCATTTGCATTCTGTATCTCCATGCTCGCCACCCACTTCATTTTTCGTTACATTGCGGTTTGCAGGTCAGTCTCGAATTTCTTACTTTTTGAATCTAGGAATTTTTCAGAAACAACAAACTCTACTACTTCGAAGGAAACAAAGTATACCTCTGGTTACTCCCTCCAGCTATTCTTTTCACTATTTGGGGATCCTCTATTTTTTTCAATTTTGGACCGAATCAGCTCAAAAGAGACTATTTTCGTAATGTAACAATGCAATTATATGACGAAGATATTGACAAAGTTGCCTTTATTGCGCCATTGTACTATGTAAGTGACAAATGGAGAGTTAACTGTTGAATTATAACTTACAGGTTCATGGAGAAGATGGAGGTCGTATTTTTCAGTTTCCAGATTTGTTTGGAGCATTTTTGAGTTGCAATATTATGGTAATTAGACTAATCGAACAACACAAAACGTATTTTTTATTCAATTTTTTCAGAGTCTCTGCTTCACAACCTGTCTTGTTTGCGCCTATAAAACTTACAAAAAACTGAACGACTTCTCAACTCAAATGAGCAAGCGAACCCGTGCTCTCAACAAACAACTATTCTGGACCCTTGGTCTCCAAACCCTTCTCCCTTGCTTCACACAGTACATGCCAGTTGGTCTTATATTCATTCTTCCACTTTTTGAAATCGAAGTTGGAAAAGCTGGAAATCTAGTTGGTGTCACTTGTTGCCTATATCCTGCTATGGATCCTCTAATTGCACTTTTTATGATTGATCGCTTTCGAAATTACATACTCGGAAAGGAATCCCCATCAACTACGAAGAGCTCAAAAGTGTCTGCTGTTAACTCGGATAATCATTCTTCAACTGGTAAAAAATAATTTGCAGTTTTTATACTTTTGTTTTGATGGAAATAAATAAATCAGATTTGATTGATTGATATAAACTAGAATGCTCTGCGAATAGTTATGGTTATTGGTTCACAGAATAAACTAATTTAATCTTTGAACAAGTCAGCCAAAAACAAAACACTCAGTGAGTACTCGGGCGTCGCCAACTTCTGGTCCAAGGTTGGTCAGATTTCGGATAAGACCGCTACAAACTCTGACAAACTTATCACAAGGCTCAATTTAAACCTTGTAGTGTTTAAATTTTCAACTTCCGGCCAAAGTCTGACCATGGCTCGCTATACAGCCGTTTTTGGGCAAGCTCCGACCAGAACCTGACCATTATCCGCCAGGACTTACAAACTGAAAGCTGAGCTGACAGCCGAGTAGCTCTCAAATCATTGAACCAGAATTCTTGTTTTTTTTCTATCTTCAAAACTCGAATCGGTCACCTGTCACTTTCAATTATTTTCGTGTTTTTTCTCTTGAAATTTGTGCAAGATTTTTGAAGATTTGAGTCAAAAAATTGGAGACAAAGATCCAATGAATTTGGTGTTTTGACTCGTGTCAAACCGGAACCTTTTCTTCTGCTAATTAATGCAGATAACATATTTCGTCACTGTTCTCTTCATTTTTTTTTGTTATTTTTTCATGCGAACCCCTTTTTGGAAACCCATTCCTCATCAATACATTTCCAGAACCATGACTGTTCCTGCTTATCTGCATATCGTTCAGTATTGTGCGTTTGTCATTGCAATTATAGCTAACAGCCTTTTATTACATTTGATCAGGATGCGAGCTGGATTATCGTTCGGTAGATATCGAGTTCTGATGATTTCATTTTCGATTTATGCGATTGTGTATGCTAATATTGAGATATTTACGTTGCCAGTGAGTCTCCCGTGATGATAATTACTGTAAAACCTGTATTAGAAGGGTCCCTTCAATAGAAGGTCCCATCTAATGAAAGGAACCTCCGGAGGTACCTTGGAACAGGGTCGGCCCTTCTAATACAGGTCTTACGGTGATCAAGCCACGTGCGAACACTTAACCAATCATCAAAATCCTACAAAGTCATAAGGTCAGTCTCCTACAGTAACCCTCATTTCCCAGGTCATGTATATGCAAGGTGCCGGAATGATCTTCTACGTGGATAGTGTCCTCAAAAACCACCAGGATATTGGACTACTAATTGCTGGTGAACCAATCGTATAAGATTTTTAATAGCTTCCCACTTTTCAGTTTCCTACTGTGGATGTCTCGCTTTTTGCATCTCCATGCTCGCCACTCATTTCATTTTCCGATACATTGCTGTTTGCAGGTACCCTACATGAGGAATTCCCAAGTCTTATATATAGTCCAGTGAATTTTCAGACAACACCATATACATATTTTCAATGGATACAAAGTATACCTTCTTCTCATTCCTCCATTTGTTTTGTTCCTTATTTGGGCTGGAGCAATGTTTGTATGTTATCGACCGAATGAGGTCAAAAGGGATTTCTATCGCAAAGTCATAGCAGATCTTTATGAAGAGGACATCGATCAGGTCGCATTTATTGCTCCCTTGTATTATGTGAGTTGTAAGCGATATTTAAATAAAACTTTTTCCGAAGTTGCAGACTCACCAAAACGATGGAAGTGTGCTGTACCGAATTTCCGACCTGGTTGGTTGTCTGTTGAGTTGTGGAATATTGGTAAAGAGTTATATCAAATTGATATACCAAAACGATCCTATCAAATTCAGGGCGCCTGCTTCACAACCTGCTCAATTTGTGCCTATAAAACTTACAACAAACTTCACGACTCCTCACTTCAAATGAGCAAAAGAACCCGATCACTCAGTAAACAACTATTCTGGACACTCGGTCTTCAAACTCTTTTGCCTTTTATCACACAGTACATTCCCGTTGGATTGGTGTTTTTACTTCCACTTTTTGAAATCCAAGTTGGAAAGTATATAAACTTTGTTGGTGTGTGCTGCAGTTTGTATCCCGCTTTGGATCCATTCATCGCTATTTTTATAATCGATCGGTTCCGGAATTATCTTTTTAGACGAGAGAGAATTTCGGAAGTTAAGATTTCGCAGATTCCTACGTACACTTCTTATGGGGATGCTTCTGTTGCTTGAGAAACTTTGTAAAATGAATAAATGTTTTTGTTTTCCTGGGTTGAATTTTTAACAAAACTTTTCCCACTACAGTTTGAAACATGTGTAAACTGGGATCCGTGACTTTTAGATATTTTGCCAAAAAACTGAAAAAAAAGCTAGTAGAGTTAATACTCTTCTGACTTCCGGACTTTCTCAATCAAATCTGATTATCGGTATTCCAGCAAACCGTTTTTCACTAGTTCAGTATTTTCAGTCTAGTCTAGTATTTACAGTCTAGTCCAGTATAAATTGTTTATCATAAAATCATTCTCTCCGCACATCTTCAAGATACGATAACGTCTGATTTAAAGTTACATTCAAAGAACCGATGTTATTTTTATCCCTAACAAAGCAGGAACCTTTTATCCTTTTTTGTCTCATCATTCAAAAAGAGTCTCCAAGAAATAAAGAGAACAGGAGACGTCATTATTCATCTTATTATTCATTAGGATCTGAATTCTTTAGGATCTGTAGCCCCTTATAAAAACCTTCGTCTACCATCATTATGATTTCAGAACGATGGCTGTTCCTGTCTATCTTCACATTGTTCAATATTGTGCGTTTGTCATCGCAATTGTGTCTAATTGTCTTTTATTGCATTTAATTCGAATGCGAGCTGGAGCATCGTTTGGCAGATATCGCGTTCTGATGATCTCATTTTCGATTTATGCCATTGTGTATGCTAATATTGAGATATTTACTCTTCCAGTGAGTTTTCCTAGAAGATAATTGTTAAAACCAATGCTGTGCAAAACGCAGCCTCGGCCGGTCGGGACTCATGTCGTCGGTAGGTTACAGCGACGACATGGGTCTGTTCCTTTAGAAATAGGAAGATACTAGGGCCGCTAGGCCGCCGTACCCTACCTATCTCAGAAGTACTATTTTCAAAATATTGAACCAATCAGCAAATTCCTTCACCAAAACAAGGTCATAAGACCAGTCTCCTACAGTAACCCTCATTTTCCAGGTGATGTACATCCAAGGTTCCGGGATGATCTTCTATGTGGATAGTTTTCTCAAATACCATCAAAATGCAGGGTTACTAATTGCTAGTAGGCCACAACTTCCCAATTTTTTCCCAAATCAAAATTTCAGTTGTTTACTGCGGATGCCTAGCTCTCTGTATCTCCATGCTTTCGACTCACTTCATTTTCAGATATATTGCTGTTTGCAGGTGCCCCATTCCCAACTCAGTTTTGTCATTATCCAGTTTTCCAGACAACAAAATATCCAAATATTCAACGGAAACAAAATATATTTCCTTTTTCTTCCCCCATTCACTCTTTTCATCATTTGGGCTATAGAAATGTATACATGTTATAGACCGGAAGAGATCAAAAGGGATTTCTTTCGGAAAATAATAACAGATCTTTACGAAGAAGACATTGACCAGATTGCATTCATTGCACCGTTGTATTATGTGAGAATGACAATCTCAAAAAGAAAAAATATTTTAAAGTTTCAGACTCGCCAGAAAGATGGAAGTGTGCTCTATCGAATTCCAGATCTAATTGGATGCCTGATGAGCTGTGGAATAATGGTACAGTATGCGAAACCCACCATACCCGACCAATTTGAAAATTCAGGGTACCTGCTTCACAACCTGCATAGTTTGTGCTTATAAAACATATAATAAACTTCACGACGTTTCAATTCGAATGAGCAAACGAACTCGGTCACTCAGTAAACAATTATTCTGGAGTCTCGGTCTTCAGACTCTTCTTCCTTGCGTTACCCAGTACATCCCGGTTGGATTAGTCTTCGTACTCCCACTTTTTGAAATTGAAGTTGGAAAATATATCAATTTTGTCGGTGTCACATGTAGTTTGTATCCTGCTCTGGATCCATTAATTGCGATATTCATAATTGATCGATTCAGAAATTATTTATTGAGAAGGGAGAAAGCTTCAGAAGGAAAAATTTCGCAGATTTCCACATACAAATCCCAAAGAGATAGTTCATTAGCTTGATTTCAACCAAACAAATAAATATTTGTAACTTAATCTTTGCTTCCAACCTATTCAGATCTACACCAAAATGATTCATAAGCATATTTACTACGCTTTTCATTGTCATTTCTTGTCATTTGAAAGCAAATCTTAAGTGGAATGATTTACTATTCATCGCTAATATGAAATCGAATTTTGATTATTTTTTGCGAAAACTTGGATTTTCAAAAACAATTATCCTTGATTCGTAAGTATTTCTAATCCTATATAAATGCCGAAATACTACTACTAGCCCATACCCAAAAAAATGCTCTGGTTGCACATGATCCAATATTCTGGATTCGTCCTTGCTCAAATTTCTAACGCCACACTGGTATGGTTGATTCTTACCAAAGCCCAGAAATTGTTTGGAACTTATCGTCATGTCATGTGCACGTTTGCAGTATATTCTTTGGTTTATGCTTGGGTCGAAGTTCTCGCACAACCGGTAGGAGTAAAAATAATGTAAATCCTGTTATAGAGAGGTCACCACATTGCCAAGTTTCAGCCAATTTTTCTGGGTTCCTGTGCAAGCTATCAAAAATGTGTCGACTAATAAAATGTTGGTGATACTGTGATAAACAATTCATCAGTTGACCACTTTTTGATATCACTGACAGGAACTGAGATATATCAGTTCAAAGTTGGCGGGAGCCACTCTATTTTAGGTTTTACGGTCTAAGATTCTTTACAACACAATTTTCAGATCATGCACATCAAAGGGCCTTGTTTCATAGTATTTATGGAAAGTCCATTGAAATATTTCGGATGGATTGCTAATCATATTGTTTGTATGTTTTAAAAAATCTAGATTTTAAAAAACTTCTAAAAAATCGTAAAATTCAATCATTTAGGTCTCTATTGCGCTTCTTTTGCTTTGTGCATTTCCCTCCTAGCTGTTCAATTTTTCTACCGTTACGTTGCAATGTGCAGGTACGTTTGGTGTTCCTAATTCAATACACAACCGAAAATTAGACGGATCACTTCTTAGAACGCCTATCTTTCTAAACAATATACTCAATACCAGGAAAGCATTTTTAGACCGGAACTTCTTATGAAAATCGAGGGGTTCAAACTAATTTACATCTTCATTCCATGCCTTATCTGTTTCGTTTTATGGTTTGAATTTGTGTACTACGGGATGGCGAATACAGTCGAAAAACAAATTTACATGAGGGAAGAACTGGAAGATTATTATGAGGAGGATTCCACTCGGGTTGCATTCATTGCACCAATGTACTGGTCTATAGGAAGAGATGGGGAGAAACAATGGATTATTGGAGATGTGATTGGATCCATTGGATGTGTTTGTATCATTGTGAGCTGTCGATTTTTCCCAAGATTCTTTGAAAAACTTTTCAGGTTGCCTGCTTCTCAACCATCGTAGTCTGTGCATCCACTATCTACCTGACTATGAAAAGTTCCACGTGTCATATGAGTGCCAGAACATTGGAATTGAATCGTCAGCTTTTTGTGACGCTAACCTTCCAAGTAAGCTCAAAGAAGATGATCTGGTAATTTGTCAAAGAATTTCAGACCATTCTTCCATTTCTGATGATGTACAGCCCAGTTGGTCTACTGATCACTCTGCCAGTTTTCGAAGTTTATGTTGCCAGTCTAGCAAATATTGTTCCTGCGACTGCTGCGATCTATCCATCGCTTGAGCCTCTGATTGCAATAGTTTGCATCAAGGAGTTCCGAAGAACTCTCACTTGTAAATTCAAAATGCGTAGGACTGAAACGTAAAGCGATATTTTAGGCTCATCAGCAAGGAAGACTTCACCAGCTCATACAAAATATCTTACCAGCTCAAGTGCAATACTTTAAAGAGAGCCTTTTGAATTTTAACTTCAATAAAGGGTTTTTTTTCGATTTTTGTATTGAATTAACCAATGTAGTTTCGTTATCTTAATAAAACTTCGAAACAATAATTCAACCACTCTGCTTACCGGGAACTATAACCCAATGAAGATAGCTCGTTCTCCAATATCCGGTCTCATCCGGTACATCGTCTTCCCTCATCTTCTATTTTTTTTTCTGAAAATCAGTATTCGTTTCTTTTGAAAATCAGTAATAAGATGCGCGCTATTCACATCGCTCAATACACAGCTTTTGCTGGAGCTCAGATTAACAATTCTCTTTTGATCTACCTGATCATCACAAGATCCGACAAACAGTTGGGTGATTTTCGATACATAATGGGATGTTTCGCTTTATATGCTATATTTTATTCTTGGGTTGAGATTTTCACCCAGCCGGTTGGTTAAATTCTCGAGTGTCGCCGGCAACTTCTGGTTCAAAGTAGATCAGATTCCAGATAAGTCTACTTCTATGTAGACCCGACCAAACTCAAGCATACTTGTGAATTTCTGGGCCGGGCCTGAGGAAATTTTTAAGGCCCGGGCCCGGCCCGGAAGGCCCGGTAAAAAATTGGTCTTTTTGAGCCAAATTTTGAGATCTCAATACAATTTTCTCCATTTTTTTTCGGATTGTTTGTCTGTTTGATCAAAAGTATCGAAAAAACTCGAAAAAAATTTTTTGATCGAAAAAATCACAAAAGAGTCCCCCTTATATGCTTTTTGAAATTTACAAAACTTGTGGAATGACAGGCCTGCCGGGCCGGGCGGGGCCTCCGAAATTCAGAAAAAAAGCCCGGCCCGGCCCGTTACAAGTATGATGACAAGGTTCCGACCTTGCGTATTTCAATGTTCAACTTCCGACCAAAACCTGATCAATGTCCGTCCAACAGCCAAACCGCCTCTAAACTTCGGACCAGAAGTTACAAGCCGGCAGCCGAGTGGCATGAGTAATGATAGTAAATTAATTAAAATCTTTCAGTTGACATTCATTGAAGGACCAGCGCTAGGAGTGATAGTAGATAGTGGTTTAAGAAACTATAAAATGCTAGGGCATTACGTTGTGTGCCTTTTTTGTGCTTGTTTCGGACTTTGTATTACACTACTGTCGACCCAATTTTACTTCAGATATTTGGCAATGTGCAGGTACCGTATTTGATCTAATAGAAGCCCATCCAACGTTGAGCTCAATAATCTCGGTTCCTTCAAAAGATAGAAAAAAATCTGACTGATAAATTTTTCATCATAATGTCACCAATATTTTATCGGTTGACTCTCATAAGAACCAAAAAAATTGGGCTAATTTTAGAGCAAACATGGTAAGTGTGAATTTCAGGCCTAACAAGCTTGAAAGTGTGTCCGGAAGTCGACTTTATTTGATTTTTATCCCATCCCTCTTAGTATTCGTTGGTTGGTATATCAATGTTCTTATCGGAATGGCTGACACATATGAAAAGCAAAACTTTTTGAGGTAACACTGGAAAAATATTTTTCAAATATGTTTAGTGTCTCAGGGAACCTTTCCTAAATAACTTCTCGATCGACTCGTACCAAATAGCGTTTGTAGTTTGTATGCTTTGGACAATCGATCAGGATGGTGGGAAAAATTGGAATCTCGTTGATTGTGTAGCAGCATTAATCAATGTATTCATAATTGTGAGTTTGATTTTGAATTCAAAATATCTAACCAAGATTTCCAGGGATTCTGTTTTATTTTCATCCTGGTTTGTGCTAAAAAAATATACAAAAACTCGAAAGAATTCAAGATGTTTGTCAGCTCAAAAACCAAAGAGCTGAATCGTCAGCTATTTTTGTGCTTGATTTTGCAGGTATAGTATATTTTGACCCATTAAAATGCATTCATGGACTTCCTCTTTCTCAAATTCTCGATACACTAACTGTTTTCGTAAATATTCTCGTTTCGTTAATCTTTTGAAATCAGAAGTCTCATTCTAGATGACCGAACATAATGTGTAATCGAACAATAACTTAAGTACTGAATCATCTAGACTAAAATCAGAAGTTATAAAATTAACACAGGTTCTGACGTACCTGACGTACCCATGAAGTACGTAACATGAAAAAAAAGTAATTATGATCTTAGCAATAACAACAGTAGAGGACAAAAAAAAATGTACCCAATGACGAGTGTATTTTTTCATTCTGACCGTTTTTTTTGGTTTTATACCAGCTCACACTCTCCAGAAATATGTAGGTCCTGAACAGTGTACCAAAAATAAATTTTCATGAATTCTAAACGAGCATTTACTGAAATTTCGATGATGCTTTTCGAAATAAAAAAAGCCGAAAAAATCAAAGGGTCTCCTCTAATTGAAGGGCTCTTGTAACAGGAGGACGCTCCGAAGGTACCTTGGAACAATAAAACGGTCGTTCTACTATTTCAGGTTTTACGGTTTAGGCTCAATCCTGTGCAAAAACCCAACATTTTATCATAAGGACTGATACATTTTGTTAGATCAAGTTGAATACAATCGGTTCATATTCATTCGTACTATCTTTCTTTCTAGTCTCTGGCATATTTGCCTACACAGACACAAAGCAGAGATTACATTTTCTGTAAGATCTAGCACTAATATTTTCGGAAAAATTGGCACAAGTACGTCAGAAAATTTTGTCTGTTTATCATACAGAAAATATACAGTGCAATAGTACCCAATCCATTTTTTCAGACTTTGATCCCGTTCATCTTGATGTACTGCCCAGTTGGATTGCTCTACATTTTCCCATTTTTCGAAATCGAAGTCCGTTGGCTGGTCAGTATCCCAGCACTTTCCTGTTGTATCTACCCTTCCATTGAACCTCTGATTGCGATATTCTGTATCAAAGGATTTCGAAGTTTTCTTTTTGGTCAGAAGCCTTCAAGTCAAGTTCATTCAACAATAAATACGGTGACAGCGTTAACAAGAAGTATTGCTCCAAGATATACAGGGAATAACAAAGTTTTTATAATGGTTATGGGAACATGAAAGGAAGATACTAACAAGGGAACCTTTTAAGTTGACCTTCTAATTTGCATAAACTAATTTCACAGAATGAAAGAGCGTCCTTTAAAACCTATAAATCCGTTTTCATAATCTGCTTAAGAGACCTCTAAAGTGCTGAAATTTCAGTTTCAGTACCACAAAATAACAAAAAAGTACCAAAAAATCACTTTTTCAGTGTAAAATCAGCAATTTTCAAATGTAATTTTCTCTACTCCTAGGAGGTTTTAGAACTCGAAACTTTTTGTGTTATACTTGAAAAAAAAAGAAATTTTTTATTTCAATGTTTTTCAAAAAAAATTTCAAAACTGGAAACTTGGGCACACACAAAGTGTACGCAAATTTTGAAACGGTACAAAACTTTTCTGAAAAAAACACAAAAAGTTTCGAGTTCGAAAACTTCCTAGGACTAAAGAAAATTACATTTGAAAATTGCTCATTTTACACTGAAAAAGTGATTTTTTGGTACTTTATTGTTATTTTGTGGTACTGAAACTGAAATTTCAGCACTTTAGAGGTTTCTTAAGCAGATTATGAAAACGGATTTATAGGTTTTTAAGAACGTTCTTTCATCCTGTGAAGTTAGTTTTTGCAAATTAGAAGGTCAACTTAAAAGGTTCCCTTGTAAGAATTGGGGTTTTTCTTAATAAATCATTTGTTAATCACAGTGCTGAGCAATGAATCATCTTGCAATGGTATAAGTTACTGGAGTTCTCCCTGGATGATATCATTTGTAGCTGTTGTAAATGAGAAAAGGAATCATAACAATAATATTAACTCACCACTGAATATGATCTGCCTTGACAGATATTCAATATTAGTGTTTTGTTGATTGATGCTTCAAAAATAGAAGAAACAGAGAACACAACAGCTACGATAAAACCTGTAATAGAAGGGCTCCCAAGCTTTAAACTTTGAGGTATTCTTCCTCAGTCCTTGCCAAAGATATAAAAAAGTTTTCAATTAATAATTTGTTTATCATAATATATCCGAAGTATTTTTTCAATCAACACACTTTTGATATCTTTCACAGAAACCGAGATAAACTAGCTCAAACTCGCTAGGTATTCAGAATCAAAACGAAACATCTTTTACAGTAACCCTGAATGGAGGATCATACTAATTAAAAATCAGAAAAATATTAGACTTCTGTAAAATTACACCTGCTCTAAGATGAATTACAAAAAAGTGAGTGTCTTGAAATTGAAGTTTGGTCCCGTTTCTCAATTCGAAATGTTAAGTTTTTATAAAATTCCTGGTTTTGGATGCCCAGACGAGAAAATGCCACTTAACGATACTTCATTCATAAGTCCAAGAAAATTCGAAATAACAAGTCGAAGAATTACGGGATTATGTCATTGATAGTCACTTTTTGCCAGTTTTCTGTCTCTCAAATTTGAACTTAGGATCTCTGGATTTTCCACTGCAACATTGATTTTAGCAGACTGTTTGCCGCGCCCCCCGGCGCTTCAAACACCTTCATTTATTTATTAAAAAAATGATGGCTCAAAAACCATCAGACCAGTACGATCAGAATGCTCATCGAAACCTGATTTTCCGGTACATTTGCCGTTCAAAAAACAATCTTTTCAAAACAAAAAAAACAACTTTTTCTACAAGACCAACACATCTCTTCCCGCTTCATTTCATGTCTGTCTGATTCAAAATTGAGTATGAGTGAACTCATTTTTTTTTTAATTTCAGACTTTCTCTTCTGCTTTACCTGTTTTTCACTTCTTATGAATCACTAAACATCTGATTTCGATACTAATACAATCCCACTTAAAGCTACAATTCAGCCTTCTCCATTCCCCTCCTCCGGAAACCGAAACGCCTCCAATTCTGAGGTATAAAGTAAAAAAGTAACACTCGCAGTTTTCCAGTCCCATCAGAATAACATGATGTATCAAATTCTGCACTGTATTCAATTTGTTAGCTTCATTGTGTCCCAGTTTACAAATGGTTTATTGTTATATCTGATTTGGACGAAGGCTCGGAAGGTTTTGGGAGCTTACAGTTACCTGATGGCCACGTTTTCAATGTATGCAATCATGTATAACTATGTGGATGTGATTACACAGCCATTGGTAGTGATTGAGAAGCAAATGTATGTGGTTGTGAACCATGGACCGATTCGACATGTTCCTGTTGTTGGATTTATTTTCACTTGTGAGTTTAGACAAGTCAATCAGGCGTTTTGAATAACAATCTTCAGGCCTCTTCGGATCCTCATTTGGTCTTTGCATATCCCTTCTATCCACTCAATTCTTCTACAGATATCTTGCTGTTTGCAGGTTCATTTTTTCTTAGATTATACTTAAACCTCTGATAGAAGGGCACCCTTATTTTTAACTTTGAGCCAATTTTTCTCGGTTCCTGAAAAAGATTTGGAAAACTTGTCAGCGGATAAATTGTCTTAATTAACATCGCAAACCATTTATTAGTTGGCACATTTTTGTTATGTCTCATAGGATCTGAGTTAAACTCAAAGTTGACAGAGTGTGGAGGCTCTTCTATTACAGGTTTTCGAGTATCTAACATTGGTAATTTTCAGACCCAAATCTCTATCCTATTTGGAAGGTCGTCAGTTTCTTCTCATCTTCGTTCCAGCCCTATTTGTCTCTGTTACCTGGTTCTTTTTCTGTTATTTTGGTCTTGATATCACACCTGAAAAACAAGAAATGCTGAAAGGCCCATTCATGGACTACTATGGAGAAGATTCCAAAACAATGTCATTTGTAAGTGGACTCTTCTGGAGCGAAGACAAGAATGGAATGGCCCATTGGAATGTGAAGGATTGTGTTGGATCGCTTGGATTAGCAGGATTGATGGTAAATATTTTTCTTCTTCTATTTTTCGTCTTCTATTTAAATGACTAACTTCTTGGTATATCCTCTATTTTTCAGATAATTTGCTGCTCCACAATTGTGGTCTGCGCGGTGAAGACGTACAAAAAAATGAATGACGCCGGTAATTTGTTGAGTGATCGAACGAAAGAGCTCAATAGACAATTGTTTATCACACTCAGTCTCCAGGTAAACTACAAAATTCTCAGAACTTTCTGATTATGTCTATTTTCAGACTCTTCTCCCATTCATGCTAATGTATGGTCCAGTTGGACTCTTGTTTTTGTTTCCATTATTTCAAATCAACATCGATCTCCTGTCAAGCTCGGCTGCCGCATCAACTGCCATCTATCCAGCCGTCGAACCTTTGATCGCCATTTTTTGCATCAAAACCTTCCGAAAATCATTGTTCTGTTACAAAGGTAGAGGAAAAATCTCAAGTGCAGCTGCGTCGACAATCAGGAGCGCATGAAAATTGGTTTTTAAAGTACAATATTTTGAATTTATATTAAAAAATACTATTAGACAAATGTTATTGGTTTGTTTCGTATCGTGAAAATAGGTGAAATGGAAAAAGGTCGATTTCGGCTGTCCGAAGCTGGAAGGATATCTTTCGGAAATCGTTCATTTAACATACTTTCACCACAGGGACCAAGTTGATTCTACTTTTTCTATGTTATTGTTTTGATTTAAATCAAACGGCGTTAACAGTTTTTCGATATTTTTTTTTCGTTCTCAAGTTATGATGAAAAACAAAAGGTGTCCCATCATCAGGTTCAAACAAAAGTTTAGCTGTTTCCATCAAGTTTATCTACAGATGTGCCCTGTCACATGTTACGCTTCACCAAAAATAGGGGTCAGGCTCGGAAAATCGTAAATATTTTTGATTTTAGGGCCAAAATAGAAATTCTGTTCAAGCCGTTGATAAGATTACGTTTTTCTGATTATGTTAAAAAAATAGTTTGGCCGTTTCTATCAAGTTTAACTATAGATGTGCCCTGTCACATGTCAAAATTTTGCTTTTTACAAGATGATGATTTTAACAAATGGTACAGCATTTGAAAAATTGACTTTGTATGTCGCAGGATTCTATTTCAAACACTCTAGGCAAACGATACGCAAGTAAAAATCACAAAAACAAGTATGCCCCTCACCATACCGACCGCAGAAGACAACGAATTCAAAGAAGCCAAGTACCAAAAATCGATATTTTTCAGCATAACTTGTGTGAGCATGATTTCTCCCAGAGTATTGATATGTTTCTATAATAAATCAAATGTGTTAAATTCAATGGTCATAATGAAAAAAAAAGTTAACCTAGGATTTTTGAGATATTGAAAATTTTTTTGATTTTTTCGAAAAATCAATAATCCAATCAATAGGAAAAAAATCAAAAAATTTTATTCTCTAATGTTCAATTAAATGTCTATCTACTGCTTTTCAAGTTTCAACAAACGGACATAAACTGACAAAGTTATGATTTTTTGAAAATTTAGGCATTTTTTGGTACTTTTTGGACCATAACTCCCAAAAAAATTTTTTACCAACTATTCCGTTTGGAATCTAAAATAACTTTTTACGCTCTATCCAACCATATAGGTCTCGATTTTTTTCGAGGGTAACACTTGGGAGTCATTCCATGTAAAACTCTTAACCTCAGATCTTTTCCCAGCTGACAATTTTGCAAGACTAGTTTCACATAAAATATATATATACCTATCTTCCCCCACAACAAGAATCACATCGTCAAATACTATCTTGTCTGGTCTAATCTTTGTATTTTTGATGCTATCAAACGCCTGTTGTTGATTTTATCTTTGCAAAACCCCTTCACGTCTTCATCATGTGAAGTGGCGTCACTTTTATCACTTCCAAACTGGTTGAAGTTTTCAACGCCACCATCATAACAAAAGAAAAAAAATTATAAGAAAAAAATCCGTTTATTATGCCTAGTTCTACAAAAACAAATCAACAATAAAGCATTTGAATATGTACATGAGACCGTTGAGTTCACCATTTGACCATTTGCACCAGGGGGTTCTTTGGATAGTTGCGGATTCCAAATTTGCGGAACTCGTTGAACACCCAGATCCAGATTCCGACAATGACTGGGACGAGCCAGCACTGAAAAAAAACATATAATTTAGAGTATGATCACAAGTTCCTGGATTACTTACCTCCCATGGTGGTGGTGCGGATCCGAACACATATTGAACTCCAGGTACGAATGTGAAGAGGCAGATGAGAAGAAGGTCAATGATGACAGCGAGGATAGCGACGATGTTGGCCATTCCGTGGACGAAGATCGAGACACGACGAGTGAGACACATCCACAAGTGCCATGCTTGTCCGACAACCACAGCGATGTGGAATGCAGCTGCTGCCTGAGCAGCCATGTGAACTTGCTGCTCGGCATCCAGAACGATTCCACTTCCAGTTGTGAAGTTCGATGCTCCGACCTTGAAATGATCGTTGGCAGAGAAGGCAAGCTCCCATGGACGAATCCCATTGAGGTAATACGAGAGAAGATAGGCAACAACTCCTCCGACCGAGATGAAAATGGACATGAAGAGGTATGTGTAGGTGATGAGTCCTTTGGTAACCAAGTGAGTCTCCTTCTTTCTTGGTGGTTGCAACATGATATCGGCTTCTGGTCCTTCGTAAGCCAATGAGACAGCTGGTGGAATATCAGTGATCAAGTCAATAGAGAGAATTTGAACCGGGGTCAAACCGAGAGGAAATCCGAAGAAGAAGTTGAGCATTACTGGGACAAGTTCTGGCCACATGTGGGTCATGGTGTAGGCGATAGTCTTGCGGAGATTATCGAATAGAAGACGTCCTTCTTCAATTCCAGCAACAATGGAGGAGAAGTTGTCGTCGAGGAGGATGATGTCAGCTGCTTGTTTTGCCACATCACTTCCAGCAAGTCCCATTGCCACTCCCACATCCGCTTTTTTAAGAGCTGGAGCATCATTGACACCATCACCAGTCACAGTTACACATTCTCCTCTCTTTTGACTCTCCGTCACAATCAGAAGCTTATGTTCTGGAGTTGTTCTGGCGAAGACGATGTAGCGATGTTCTAAAAGTGCATCCCATTGTTTTTCAGTGAGTCCTGGAAGTTCTGGCCCAGTGATGACTGCCCAGTCTGACGAATTGGTTCGTCTGATGACCTGACGATGATGATCCAAATTGGTAACCTCTTCAGAATCAATCATTCCAATCTGACGGGCGATAGCAGTGGCAGTTGATTTGTGATCTCCGGTGACCATGTAAACTTTGATTCCAGCTTCCTTGCATGCTTTGATGGCTCTTGGAGTGTCATCTCTTGGTGGATCCATAATTGCACTCATTCCCAAGAAATCCCATCCATCCATTGGAACAGTGTTCGACTTCATGGAGAAGGTCGAGCTGGCTGGTGCACGGAACTTCTTACAAGCGAATCCAATGACACGACATCCTTCATCTCCGAATGTCTCGTAGGCTTCGTTGAAATCTTCCATTCTCTTTTCATTCAGTTCCATAGCTTCTCCGTCGATATTCAATGTTGAGCAACTCTTGATGAGAACTTCAGGAGCTCCTTTGATCATCAAAATAAACTCAACATCGGCGTTCATCTTTCTCCTGTCATCCATCTCGTTCCATGTGTTGGCTGTTGTGGCAAGAATCAGATGGTACTTTCTGACCGAGTTGAATGGAACTTCAAACACCACATGGAAGTTATCACGGACCTCCTTGGCATCCAACATTCCGGAAGCATATCTGAGAAGAGCAACTTCCGATGGATTTCCGGAAATCAACATCTCCTTGACTGGTTGACATCGGTAAACTGTCAGGTCCAATTCAGAATCACTAAAAAACAGTTTTATTGCGTTTTTAATAGTTTTTTGAAAACAACAACTTACACTCGTGGTGGACGAACTTTTGTCGTTAAGTTACTTTCGATTCTGGCCTTGTTACAGACACAAATAACACTTAGGATGTCTGAAAGTGGAGCGTCGTACCATCCGAGAGTGTTCATGGCATTGAGATTCCTCTTCTTTGTAGTACGTCCAGTGTTTTCAGGACGAGCACTGTTGTATGAGTTGTTGTACCACAAATCAGTGACAGTCATGCAGTTCTTGGTCAAGGTTCCGGTTTTATCCGAAGCGATAACAGTTGTGGCTCCAACACTATCAATTTTTTCAAGCTTCTTCAAAAACACGTTTTTCTTGGCCATTCTTCTCGCAATGATGGTCAGTTCGGTGGTAACTGTGGTTGGCAATCCTTGTGGAACATTTGCAATGATAACCATCAAAAAACCAGTAACAAATAGACGAATGACATCATTTCCTCCGTTGACGATGAGACCAATGGTGAAGATGATGGTGGCCATGGTGATAGCCATAACAGTGATGAATTGAACGAATCGCTCGATTTCAGTCTCAAATTTACATTTCTTGTCTTTTTGTCCGAGAGTCAAAGAAGCAATTTGCCCAATGACAGTGTTTTCTCCAGTGCGAATTACGATTCCATATCCTTCTCCATCCACACAGAATGATCCATTGAATGCGATATTGTAGGATTCAAAGATGGAAGTCTTCTCGTCGGCAGTTTTTGCGTTGAACTCCAATGGCTCAGCTTCTCCAGTAATCGAACTAGTTTCCAGGAAGAAATCCGTACATCCAATAATTCTCATATCAGCTGGAACCTTGCATCCGGAACGGACAACAACGATGTCACCAACAACAAGTTCCTCGGGGTTTATCATTATCTAGACGATATAATCATAGGATGGGTTAATGAACTTAAAACTCACTTCTTTCCCTTCTCTTATCACTTGGCAAGATGTTGGCATGAGGGTCTGGAAGGCACGGACCACCTCAACTCCTTTTTTCTCTTCAAAGAATGAAACGACACACATGAGGAAGACAATTGCAACAATGAAGATTCCGACGTAGAGATTCAAAGCATCGCTAGAATAAGAATAGAATTAGGAAATTATTTTATGACGAATTTTATAATATTCAAGACTTACGATGGATCATAGATGTAGGTCAAGAAGCAGAGAGCAGCGGCTCCAAACATGAGCAACCAGAGGAGATTTCTAAAAAATGATTCTAGAAAATACGATGTTTAAAGCTAACTTACTTGAACTGCCTGATGAACAATTGCATGTTACTGATGGTTTTTGGAGGTGAAAGCGCATTTCTTCCCTCAGTTTTCAGTTTGTGAGCAGCTTCTTGCCGGCTCAATCCTTTGGATTTCTTTGGTTCAACAATATCCACTTTGGATTGGTAGAACCTTTCAGAAAGTTGAGCAATGTGCAGTTGATGCTCGACGAAGGATCTGGAATGGTATATTCCGATGATAAGATGCTTTGATTCGAATATACTCACGCTGAAAGATCCTTGTGAGTGTTCTCCTTCATGCTGGCATTTTCAGAGTCTGCTCGGTTTGCTCCGCGACGATTGCGAAGCATACGAATCACCCCAAGAAGGAATCCTAGAAACGATTTCATTTGAAATAAAAAATACAAAGCTTAAATATTAACTCTTACCCATTTTGATTCAGACGAAAAACTAGAGAAAATCTGTTGTAGAACAAAAATGAAACTCGAAGTTTTCGACAAAATTTTCACACCGTCGAGTCGGAATATATACACAGACACGACGCCTCCTACCGTAGTTTTTCTTCTGACATCACTTTGAAGGCATTCCGAAGACGTCGGGGGGCGCCCCGCCTACACTGTGTTTTAGGTTTGACTATTTGGAAAGACCAAGAAAGAACAACTGGAGGAGAGAAGAAGATGAATATGAAGAAGAGGAGGAAAGAGATAGTGTGTGTGGTGGAAAAAGTTATCATTTGTGGAATGAAGTCGGACGAATGTTTGATTTTTCAAAAAGAGTTCCTTTGAACGTCTGGACTTGAATTTTTGAAATTATTTAAGGAGGACCGAATACCGTATTTGCTCTAATACATAGAAGTTCACCCAAACTGTCAATTTTGAGATGAATTATCTCGATTCCTGTGAAAGTTATCAAAATTTCATTAACTGATAAAATATTACAGATATTATCATCGACTAGTTTACCAGTTGACGAATTTTTTATATCTTTCACAGTAATCGAGATAATTGAGCTCAAAGTTGACTGTTTGAGTTGGCGTAACTCTGTGAAAAAATGAAAAGACAACTAATTGTAAACTTTTCCCCATGGGGAATCATGAGAACTTTGATAACCGACTTATATCTATTCTTACTATCAGTCTAATTAACCAACCAACTCACATATCAATTATATTCTATGTGTTCGAAAAGTTTGTAGATCACAGCTCCGGTTTTCAAGCTTACTGTAAAGCCTGTATTTCAAGGGCCCTCAAGTTTGAGCTCAATTATCTCAATTCCTCTGCAAGATATCAAAAATGTTTTAACTGACAAAACACTTCTGATTTTATGATTAATATTCTATCAGTTGACAACTTTTTCATATTCTTAACAGGAAACGAAAATCGGCTCAAAGTGAAACATTAGTGGGTCGTTCTATCCCAAGTCTTTAGGTACTTTGTTTTAAGAGGTGCATTGTTTAACGAAGTGTGCTCTAGTATCAGCATGAGAAGTTTCATTTATATTTTTAGTTTTTTTTTTACGAAACATCATTAGTCTTCGTTTTCATAATCTTCTGAAGTGTACTCTACCTGCACCCATCTGCACCCTCAGCCATCACATCTGCCTCTGACCTGTTTTCAAAATTACACAGCTGGTCTCAATTTCCTCACAAACATAATGTTTTGTTGATTAAGCCAAAGAAAACCTTGAATACTTTCATTCTTTGTTTGGCAAGAATCTATTAAGAGGATTACGGTATTTTCTCGCCGTTTTAACCTCTTTGTTTAGAAAGTTAGAGTCAACAACACAAAAAGAAATGGTACGTGTGGTTTTCAGGTTTTGATTCAAGATTGAGAAGGCAGAAAATAATCATAATTGATATACACAAACTATGATAAAATTAGATTGTCTGGGTGCCATGCTATTGAGGTGCCTATGTATTACCGTATTTTTCTCTAATTGAAGCCAGCCTAAGCCGTCAGCTTTGAACTCAATTATCTCGATTCCTGTAAGAGGTACCAAAATTTTGCCAACTGATAAAGCATTGGTGATATTATGATAAATAAATTATCAGATGACTAACTTTCGATATCTTTCCCAGGAATCGAGATAGTTGAGCTCATCGAGCACGTATTGGGTGGGCTTCTATTAGTGAAAATATGGTACTTAAAATTGGGTTAAACACTACAATAACTGTGAAAGTTGAAAAAAATTTGGAGTTTTTTCAAAACTGTGTGAAACGTTACTCTCAAAAATCTAAAAAAAAAACTTTTGGCCTCCTAACTTATCTCATGGAATCTCGGGACCGACGTCATCCGTCAGTGGACCTCATCAAAATTCGAAAAAAAACATTAAATGCATATTTTTCTGTATTTATAGTGCAAACAACCAGATGTTTAGACTCGCAACGCAATCGATCATCTACGAGAAATCCGAATTCAAATGATGTCAAGCTAAAAGAATCTACCAAGATCATACAATTGCTTCTGGCTATCTCGAATGTTTGATTTCCATTTTCTTGCAACTGTACACGTCATCAGACCAAAAAGAAGGCTATTGCTATTTGCATCCAGAGTTCAAACTGTGAGACCTTCTTTGTCTCCTAATCACATCATATTTTGGAAGGTGTTTCCTAGAATCTTCTCCTTCTTTTTTTCTTCTTTTAGTTTTCGATCTATTAACGTTGTCGCAGGGGTGTCAAAAAATGTCCTCACACCTGATCGAGAAGACAAGGGAAAGTATTGAGAAGACTTTATTACGAAATGATATCATCCTCTCCCCTCTTCTTGTTCTTTTTCGTTCCAAGTGTGAAGATTAGAGAACCAAAAAAAGGGACACAGTGATTTCTACGTCATCAGATTGATATGATATCACCGAAATGTTTTGTTAAGGATGACAGATAGAAGGCGTCAAGAAAGTCAGAGTTCATATCGGAAGTTGGTAGGAAGAATTGTATTCCTTGTTCACTTGTAAAAATTTCAGTTTTCTTTATTTTTACGACTTATGTGGGGCGAATACAGACATGTTTTTCTTTAATTCAGTTGATCAGGTGGTGGATTCATTACTGAAATTATGATTCTCAACTTTCTATACTATCCGGGAGGACTTCCTTGACGAAATTGAGTATACACTTTGGTTACAAAACTTTGAAATCTAAACAATTCAAATTCCCATTTTCACACCCATATCGTTCGAGTTTGGAATCAGCACTTAAATACCGTAAAACCTGTACTAAAAGGGCCGACCCCTCAATTGTTCCAAGGTACCTCTGGAAAGCCCTTCTTTTAGAGGGACCCTTTTAATACAGGTTTTACGGTATCATTAAGATAGTTTTAGTTTTCTTTGTTGAATTTCAATAGACTTACAATTAAAAACTTTGTTTTTATATTTTGACAGCAGTAACCGTAACACCTGCAATACAAGGCCCCACTATCTGAGCATCATTTGTCTCGGTTCCTGTCAAAGACATTCAAAAAGTGTTCACTGACTAGCGTCCTCGGCCTACGGCCGACTCCGCTAGGCCGACTCCGCTAGGCCGACTCCGCTAGGCCGACTCCGCATCTAGGTGGAATCGATGTTATGATAAACTCTCCAAGACAAAAGTTAGGGAGGCCCTTCTATTTAATTTTTTTTTAAATTTATTTATTTCAACGAAGGGGAGAAAACCACTAACACGTAAAATGTCTATGAATCTAGGAGATATAACAGGGAATTACAAGTTTTACGGTAATTTTATTTGTCTAATTTCAATAGGATTCAAAGTTTAGCTATTATATGAAGAATGCAATTAGCCTATATTTTTGGAAATTTGTTAAACCTTTCACAGGATTTTACTTATTTGCTCTGAAACTTTCTCTATCCTCCAACTCCAGCTATATTTCTGCTGAACGCTATACATTTCCAAAATCATCATTTTCCCACGAATTTTGATACTCTCCCACGTTTCCCTCTTCACCTATGTCCCATTTCCATGGTTGTTTCTCATTGTCACGGTCCCCTTCTCCCCCTCTTCCGTTACAGTTGCGGTGTCAATGTGGTTGTATTCGTATGAGAACCCAATAAAAACATAACCATGTGGAGGAGGACAGGTGGTGCGACGAGTGTGGGAAACGGAAGTTTTTTAGGAACAAGTGTGGGAAAGGGGCGTGGCAAGTGTGATTCCGAGTTTTTGAGTCTTGGTTAGATTCATTCGCTCATTCGATTCATTCATCCGACATGTTCGGTTAGGAATCGGTCGTATTTTTTTCTTGCTCTCGTTTCCTATCCACTTTTGCATCATTGATTTTTCTTCTTAATTAAGCTTGCTTACATCTCAAAGTCTTCTTCTTTTCCATCAACCCTTTCTTAACCCATTCATACTATGAAAATTATTACAGATCTCTCTCCTACCTCAAAATGAAGTTCGTTTCTACTCTCCTCAAGAAATTCAAGAAGTCTTCTTCCTCCTCGTGTCCACCAAAAACCTCCACTTCAACCTCTGAGCCCCAGAACAAAGTTTGGATTCACGACGGACCATCGTCTTCCACTGAAAACCAAAATGAAGTCATCGAAGAATCCCAATTCACTCAACGTCCACTTCGTCGTCAAAACCGCTTCGTTGGATTCAACGCCATGATGGGTCAAAAAGTTCGCGCCTCCCAACGATATGCTATGAGAATGGAGAAACGAGAGATGTCCGTCAAGTTGAACGAATCCATCAGAAGCCGTCTTCGCAAGCAGAAGAGAGCCAGACACTACAGAAAGCTCGCCGAGATCCAGAAGCAGCCAAAGTTCGAGATTTGAATTTTTCTACATCTTAATAACCTCCTGATCCTCCTCATGATCTTCTTTCCTACGGTTTTTTCTTCTATCTTGGTTTCTCTTGTGCTCTTTTTCTCCCCCTCTGTTTTTTGTTCTTTTTTTGCAAAACAAAAATTCAAAATCAAAAAAAAATAAATATAATTTTTTAACTAATGTGTTGATTTTGTTCAAAAATCAAACTTATACCCAAACAGTTGAGAAGAAAACCTTGTCAGAAAACACTCATCACATTTCTGAGCTTATCTTATCAGGCTAATCAGAAGAGCCTAATTGATGTCTGATTATCCCGATCAGATTTCGTTGCTTCTCTTTGAAATCCCGCATGCCATAAAGCCTGTAATAGAAGGGCCCCAGCAGTATCAAGGTTGAGTCAATTTTTCGCGGTTACTGTCAAAGATGTGAAGCATTTACCTACTAACAAAACGCTTCTTATATTATGATGAACATTTTGTCATTCAGTATTATTTTTCTAAGTTATATGTTTATCTGATGATCAAAATGAGACACTAAAATTCAAAGGAAATACTAACGCTTAGCTAAGGATTACTCACAAGATTAGTCACATATTCCTTTGACCCAAAAAACAATAAAACCGAGTGATGTTTTAAATCATGGAACACCGTCATCAACAATAATTTCTATGGTTACTCTATTTTCGACACTAACTCTCCTCCCCCATCAATCTTTATAAGGACCGACCATTTGTGTTTTGAAGCCAATATTCCAGAATGCATTTGTCTCTGAAGTTATGTCTCCATATTGCTCAATATGGTGGATTTATCGTTGGACAACTTACAAACTCTTGCCTTCTGTTTCTGATACTCACTAGAGCCGAAAGGTTGTTCGGAAGCTATCGGCATGTTATGTCTGTGTTTGCTTTTTATTCACTTTTGTATACATGGATTGAGTTCATTGCGCAACCGGTGAGTTTTGGGGTTCTATAATAAATCTTCTATAATAGCTCATTCAAAGTAATTTTAATATAATAAAATCTGCTTTTGAACTGTTTGCTGAAACAACCAACCGGATACGAAAATGTCCGCTCCCCCTAACAAGGTTAAACTTGGTGCTAATTTAGCTCGGTCCCTGTGATAGATATCCAAAAGTGATAATCTGGATTTTTTTTTTGATATTATGATGAACATTTTGTCAGTTTATCACTTTTTGCTAACTTCTACAGAAAATGGACTATATGAACTCAAAGTTGACGGGGGAGAGGGCATTCTTTAGAGGTGCTGACGCTAAACCAAAGTGACCTTTCAGGTCATGCACATCAAAGGTTCCATGTTCATCGTTATGTTGGATGGCCCATTTCAATTTTCCATTTCGTCTGGAAATGATATAACCTGTCTCTACTGTGCCTGCTTCGCTCTTTGTATCTCTCTTCTCGCCGCTCAATTCTACTACCGATACATTGCGGTGTGCAAGTATGTATGTGTTACTAATCTCTCGTTCCTAAATCTCTATAATTTGTAGACCTGATAGCCTTGAAAGCATAAGAGGCTGGAAGCTGAGCCTGATCTTTGTTCCATGCTTAATATGTTTTGTGGCTTGGTTTGCTTGTGTTTATTATGGAATGCATAACACTGTGGAAAAACAACAATTCATGAGGTAAGCGGGTACGTCTTGTGGTGATCCTTAATTTATGATCATTCTAGAGAGGTGATGTTTGAGAACTATGAAGTAGATATAACACAAGAATCTTTCATTGGCTCATATTATTGGGGATATGATGAGGATGGAAACAGGATTTGGAGGTTCAGAGATATCATTGGATCTTCAGGATGCACATGTCTTTTGGTAAATTTGTTTAGATAATTTCTTTTTAAACGTACATTTTTTAGATTATCTGTTTCTCAACTATCCTATTCTGCGCATTCAATATTTATTTCAAACTGAAGAGTGCCCAGGCAATCATGAGTGCTAAAACAAGAGAACTCAATCGTCAACTATTTATTACTCTCACATTTCAAGTATTATAAACTTTTTGAAGAAATATCTGAGATCTGAAATTTTACAGACTCTCCTCCCGTTCTTCATGATGTACTGTCCAGTTGGCACATTCATCACACTTCCATTTTTTGAAATGGAAGTTGGTCAACTGGGAAATTATGTCGGAGCGGCTGCGGGAACATATCCAGCCATTGAACCATTGATTGCGATATTCTGTATCAAAGATTTTAGAAGAACTGTTCTTTGTGAGTCACCTAAGCATATTCGAAAACTGTGAATCTAAAATTTAGGTCAACGAAGAAAACGTCGCACGGACGTCAAATTCAATCCATCTCGAAGTTCTGGAACTCGTACCAGTTCAGAGATCCCGACAAGTTCATTTCATTGATAATTTGGGCTTTAGTTATTGTGTAAATAAAGATGATTATATATTTTTCGGTCGTTAAAGGCGGGGGGACATGAAAAAATAATGTTCTCGAAATTCCGTTCAAAGATGCCCCTCGAGGAGTTGAACTTGTGAGGGCGATGATTGAGGGTGCGGCGCCGCTACCGACTGAACCACGCGAGCAAAGAGAAAGCGCACGCCCGATTTCATTCATAAAGGCGAGGACGACAGCTGTACGCAGAGTGACATTAAGCGTTGTACACCGTGACGGTAGAATGCATACTCTAGCTCCAAAAAAACTACGAAAAATCTCCTGTCCCCCCACCTTTAAGTCAAAAATGGCCTGATACTCACCCGATGTGTTTTCTAGGCAATTTTAGCATGGTGGCCTAACTTTTGGAAGTTGAGTTTTCTAGGCAACGATGGTAAATGATCTAGAAAAAACACCAGGTGAATATCAGACCATTACTAGATCATTTACCATTGTGACCTAGAAAACTCAACATGCAAAAGTTTGGACCCCCCTCCATGAAGCGATTAAAGATCCAATTAATGTGTCATCAACTCGTAACGCTCATCATCAGTCTCCCATTGTTGACTCAAGAATCCTGACGTAGTTCATTATCCCAATGGAGCCGTTCTCAGTGTTTACAGTCTGAAGAAACATCTGAATATCTACCTAATTAGTGATAACATCTGTCAGAAAACATAGGTGTTCGTATTCGGAAACATCTCATCCTCTGTGATAAACTCTATTACTCTCTTATCCCTCCTTCATTTAATTCTTCCGAAATGGAGATCACTGCAAAAATCTTCCTCCACCTCATCCAGTTCGCTGGTTTTCTGTTCGGCCAAATTACAAACGCCACGTTGCTATTCCTGGTGCTCACCCGAGCTGAAAAACTCTTCGGGAGCTATCGAAATGTGATGGCTGCGTTCGCATCGTACTCTTTGGGTTACACGTGGATTGAAGTTCTGGCTCAGCCGGTGAGCAACATTCTAGGATATTCGAAAAAGTTGGTTTTTAGGTAATGCATATCAAGGGGGCCATGTTTATAGTAATGATGGATGGTCCAATAAAAATGGAAGCTTGGATGGGAAACCTTCTTGGTTCACTGTATTGTGGATCCACAGCTCTATGCATTTCACTTCTCACTGCTCAGTTTTACTACAGATATGTTGCTCTATGCAAGTGAGTGCCTATGGAGATTACCCATCTGAAAAATGTTTTTTCAGACCTGAAATCTTGCAAAAACTGAAAGGCTGGAAGTTGTTGCTACTTTTTGTTCCGTGTTTTCTTTGTTTCATTTTCTGGTTTTCTCTTGTTCATTACGGAATGCATAACACCCACGAAAAGCAACATTTCATGTGGTAATGGGAAAAAAGACCAAGAATACAGAGTACGGTATTTCGTTCAGGGAAGTTATGGCTGAAAACTATGGAGTGGATCTTTTCAATGAGTCTTTCATTGGACCAATGTACTACACATACGACGAAAATGGTGCCCGAATATTGAGATGGGTAGACATTATGGCCTCTGTGGGATGTTCTTGTATGATGGTAATTTTAACCCGAAAAGACAAAAGATATCCTTTTTTGTATTTCAGGGTACTGGTCTTTCCTTAATTGCATTCTGTATCTTCAACATTTATTCTAAACTTAAAAACGCTGGAATTACAATGAGCCCAAAAACAAAAGAGCTGAATCGTCAGCTGTTCGTTACCTTGTCACTCCAGGTTACGATATTTCCTTGATCAGGCTTCGAACTTCTGAAATTTTTAGACGATGCTTCCACTTGTGATGTTGTACATTCCAATTGGTACATTCATCACTCTGCCGTTTTTTGAAATCGGATTGGGACGAGTTGGAAACTATTGCGGAGCTGCAGCTGGGGTGTATCCAGCTATTGAGCCACTCATTGCTATATTTTTCATTAAAGATTTCAGAGGGATTGTGTTATGTGAGAAAGACGAGTTTGAGGATTTTGGAAATTTAAATTTTTCAGGCAAAGGAAAACGAGCAGTTTATGTGCATCATTCGCAGACGAGGAGTTCGGATATATTTTCAAGCACTACATTTCAATAAAAAGGATTTCTGAATGTTAGATGTGTCAAAAATGGAATTAATTTTCAAATTATGTAATCGGATAATAAATTGTGAATTTCAATAAATTTTAAAATTTTTTAATTGTTGTTAGTTTGTTGGTATCCGAATCCACAGATGTACGTAACCTCCTTTCTTTTTTATGTATACAAGAGTACAGAGTGGCGCATAACTACCCTGTCTAAAGTTGGAACTAGCACATCTTTTGATTAAAGCGTTGTAGTGGTCTTAAATTGGAGTACAGAAAATGAAATAATTTATCAGTAAACTGGTCAATTATCAAATTGTTGTTCAACTTTGGGCTGAGTTGTAGTTTGTCCAAGTTGCTCCATCTCATGACAATCACAAGGAACATTACGCCGTTCATCTTTGGACAATCATAACAATACCTAGACTGAAGAAATCGCTTTGAAAATTTCAGTTGCTTTAAATCAAACATAAAATTATATTTCCACCAATTTTCGTGATTCCAAGATAATTATGTCTAAAGATATAGCCGTTTATCAGTCCGCGTAACAGTGCGCAGCTATACATTTACAAAACCTTCATTTTCCCACGAAATATGATGCTTTTCCACTCTCCCACGTTTCCGTCTTCACCTCTGTCCCATTCCCATGGTTGTTTTTTTTTATTGTCACGGTCCCCCCTTCTTCCGTTACTGTGTAATGAGAACCCAATTAAAGTATCAGCATGTAAAGTTTTGAATTAAGAAAATTCAAGGAATTTTTCTTATTTTTGAAGTCAAGGACTAAATTAACATCAATCATTTTCGATCACTTGTTTAATAAGACATCAAACAATTCGTTCGTACTACCGTATACCGTAGACTTGTGCCATTATCCCAATGGACCAACGTGTCTATGTTTTGGTTGTTTACAGTCTGAAAGTCTGACACAAAAATAATGAAAAATGAGTCTCCATGACGAAGATCCGCCTGATTAGTCACTTCGTCATGCTCTCGAGAAGGCGTTCGGTTTCTCATTCGTCATTCTAATCTCTCTCAACGGAATAGCTCACCTATTGAATGAATACTCTTTCAGGTGATCACCTTAAATCCTCATTTCCCTTATTCTGTGTTATTTGATCAGTATGGAAATCACTCTGAAACTATTCCTCCATCTCATCCAGTACGCTGGTTTTCTATTCGGTCAAATTACAAACGCCACGTTGCTATTCCTGGTGCTCACCCGAGCTGAAAAACTCTTTGGAAGCTATCGTAATGTGATGGCTGCGTTCGCATCCTACTCTTTGGGTAACACATGGATTGAAGTTCTGGCTCAGCCGGTAAGCAATATTCTAGGATCTAGAAATCAACTTTTATAAAAACATGTGATTTCAATAATGCATATCAAAGGATCCATGTTTATCGTGATGATGGATTGTCCTATAAAAATGGAAGTGTGGATGGGCAACATTCTGGCTCCACTTTACTGTGGATCTTCTGCCGTGTGCATTTCTCTTCTGACCATTCAATTCTACTACAGATATATTGCTCTTTGCAAGTGAGTTCCAATAAGGATCACCCATCTAAATCTTGTATTCCAGACCACAGATTTTGGAAAGACTAAGAGGCTGGAACCTTTCCTTACTCTTCGTTCCTTGTTTTATTTGCTTCGCCGCTTGGTTTTCTCTTGTTCATTATGGAATGCATAACACCTCTGAAAAAGAACATTTCATGAGGTAAAAATACCAGTGAATCGAAATAACGAAGTTTTGAAAACAGGAAAGCGATGGCTGAAATTTATGGAGTGGATCTTCATAATTCGTCTTTCATCGGTCCGATGTACTATTCTCACGATAATGATGGTTTATGTACGTGGAGATGGTTGGATATCATGGCTTCTGTAGCATGTACTTGTATTCTGGTATTTCAATAATTCAGATATTTGTAATTACTCGCTGTTTTATGTGGACTCTCTGTGATCGCCTTTTGTATCTGGCAAATTTACACGAAACTAAAAAGTGCTGAATTATCCTTGAGTGCCAAAACAAGAGACCTGAACAGCCAGCTATTCAAAACTCTGTCATTCCAGGTAGATCATGAATTCCGTAGAATATAAAAATTCCTGGAATTTTCAGACAATCGTGCCTCTTATCATGATGTATGGCCCAGTTGGAGCTTTCATAACACTTCCGTTTCTGGAAATCGAAGTCGGAACCCTTGGAAATTACGTCGGAGCATCAGCAGGAGCATATCCAGCCATCGAGCCACTGATTGCCATTTATTTCATTAAAGACTTCAGAAATGCAGTTTTATGTAAGACTGGAACTTTTTAAATTATTTGAGAAATCTCACTTTCCAGGCAGACAGAAACGAACTGGTGCAAAACTCAATTATATCAGCAACAACTCACAAACTCGTAACTCGGACATCTTCTCCAATTCGTTTCATTGAACTTTCAAGTCCTCCAAACCCAAAATTGTGTTACTCATAATAAAAGAATTCATCAGTTTTGATTACATAGCTTGATATTTTCCTCTGATTTCAGTCACTGGAGACGTTTCCCCTCAATTAAAGTCGTGATTCTAGTCAGAAGTGCCTGGCAACCAGACAAAATCTCTCATTCATTATACCTTTACTGCCATTACTATTCTTTTTTTTGAGAATAGTAATGCATAGCTTGCTTCACATCGTTCAGTATTCTGGTATCGGATTTGCTCAGGTGACGAATCTCGTCATGTTGATTTTAATCTATAACAAAGCTAAAGGATTGTTCGGAAGCTACCGATATCTCATGACAGTGTTCACAGCCTATTCTATCGTTTACACCTGGATCGAGATGATAGCACTTCCCGTAAGTTTCTTATAACATAGGATAGGAAGTTGGACTATCTCGGTTGTGGCCTGCAACTTTAGGGCGAAAACAGGGGTGGGTGCGGCTTTAGAGCGTTATTTGGGCGGCTTTTAACAGGAAGCTCCTAGATCTGTGGCAGCTGCACCGACCACCATCACCTTGGCGAATCTTGGGCGATGTTTGGGCGAATTTTAAAGGCGACGCGTGCCTCGCGTTGCGTGCATCAGAATTTCTTTTCGAAATCAAAGTTTATCCGTTTTTTCCTATTTTAGCGTAATTTATCTCATTTTCTTTGCCGTTTCTGTTCTAAAAATGAAAAACCTTTTAGGTAATAGTATCAAAAACTTGGTTTCGAATATAGGACGTTCAGAAATTGCTTTTGAAGTCAGGAATTCGAAATTAAAGTGAGGACATCTGAAAAAAAAAAGAAGATAAATGGATTTGTCAGAATGTCGAATTTCAGGTCGAAGAGACAACTTCGTAAAATACATAATTTTGTGAAAGTATTTATGATGATTTTCAGAAGGACGTTGGCAACACACATTCGGGCAGCAAAATTTGATACTGTAATCCAAAGTTTACAAAAAGGTAAAAACATAGGAACGTGATTCGAAAAATTGTGAAACTTGTAGATCGTAATACATCTGATTGTGAGTATCAACGAAGATGAAACAGCTCACGCCCGGAACGACAATGCTCGTCGCTGCGCCGAGAGACCGCTGTGCCGTTTTGTAACCGAGAATACTACGATATGACTCGTCACTACGGTGTCAAACAGAGCAATCTGATTGAGTGGTAAGTGGGAGGAGCTTTTTGTTCAAAGATCCTAAGGATCCCTAGATCCCTAGATCTTTGGATCTTTAAATCCCTAGATCGTTCGAAACCTAAACTCTAAATTCCAGTTTCGTCGTGATCAACGATCCACATGAGAAGGACTCTCCTTCGGCTCATCAATCCAATACGTATGCAAACCGGACAGCCTAAACGGCGCCGACGGCAAGTACATCGTCCACATCGACCCGATCGTTCTCGCTCGTCGTGGACTCATCTGTTCCATCTATCAAGAGCTTCAGTACATGTCATCTGAGGGATCGGTGATGTTCGAAAAGCAGATAGATGGTCGATATGCGTTGAACAAGAACATGCAGTTAGTTTTCTGTGCCAACTTCTCACCAGCGTGTCTTCTGTGATGATGTTCCGACTTTCATCTGACAGATCTCATTGGTAAGCGACAATATAATCAATACAATTATCTTCGTATTTTTTTCAGCGCACCCAAGTGACAACTACTGCCTACCATGCCCACATCATGATTCAACGCAAATCTAAGAGACAATTTTTTTTCTCTCTTTTTTGTTATTCTGTTTATTATTTTCCTTTCTTCTGTTAGATATTGGTTTATAAAAATAAATAAAGTTTATAAAATGATTTCGACAGAAGTTTCAGTTTTTTTAAAGCCTATGGTCAGATTTAGTATGAGCTACGCGAATCTTGAGCGTAGGCTTGGCGTCTTTAGAGCGGTCGCTGGGCGGCTTCTACAGAAAACAAAAGCGACATCCGCCCTGCCACAGCTTAGAAGCCGCTTAAATCGCGGGCAACAGCCGAGATTGCAGTAAAACATTATGATATTTTCCAATTTCTCTGACAATTTTTATTTTGGTATGTTATAAAATAGGAGTACCTAGTTTGTTGGATTGGAACAGTGAAACATTTTGATACTTTTGACAAGTATGCGATCGTTACGTTCGAATGACTCAATTCCGATAAAACGTAATTCGTTCTAGAAGACAAATAATTTTTTCAGCTCATGTACGTCCATGGATCCATGTTCATAATGCTCGTCGATAGTTTTCTTCGCTACGAGAAACTCATCGGCTTATACGTCCTCAGCCTCTATTGTGCCTCTTTCGCACTGTGCATATCTCTCCTAGCAACCCAATTCTACTATCGATACGTCGCAGTTTGTCAGTAAGTCTGAACTTAATGGTGATTTTCGAAAATGCCTGCAATTTTAAGGCCTCATAATCTTGGAAAATTGAATGGGTTTAGACTACGTCTTCTCTTCGTCCCTTGTATATTGTTTTTCATTGCTTGGTTTTGTCTAGTTTTCTTTGCAATGAAGGGTACCGAAGAAAAAGTTGAATATGCCAGGAAAATTATTCTGGAAGTTTACGAAGAAGACACTTCTAAAATAGCATTCATTGCTCTTCAATTCTGGGATACAGACTCGGATGGGAGCAAAACTTTCCGAGTGTCGGATTGGTTGAGCTACTCAGGATTCTTGTCGATAATTGTGAGTTGAACGGAACGTTTGGAATATTAAAAATTCTTGAATTAAGGGATCCTGTTTTTCCGCTATTTTGTTTTGCGCAATAAAAATATATTTCAAACTGCAGTGCTCCCAAAACGTTATGAGCTGGAAAACTCGGGAACTACACAGACAGCTACTCAAAACTTTGATTTTTCAGGTAGGCTTCAATATCCTTCAGGTGTCGAAGTTTACGATTTTCAGACCGCTCTTCCATTCTTCACAATGTACAGTGTTGTAGGTACTATCCTAAGTCTTCCCATTTTTGAAATTGATATTGGGTTGACAGCCAACTTTCCCGGATCTGCTGCATGTGTATATCCAGCACTGGAACCACTGATTGCCATGTATTTTGTGAAGGATTTCAAGAATGCTCTCAAATGTAATCGTGGAATTAGAAGAATTTTTCTGAAAGAATTAGTATTTCAGGTAAATCTAAAGTTGAAGTCGCAGTGGCCAACATCGAGATGCAAAAACCTCCATATAACTCTGTAAGAAGTTCGCTAGTGCTCATCAATAAAGTTTTGATTTGATTTCGTTTTACGATCTTCTCATTTTTTATCTCACCATCCCATTTTTTCAAAATAGTTCAACATTTTATGAAGTATCTGCTCTACGGCGATGTTCGTCTGATTACTCGGTAAAGCAAAAAATCACACCAACGCAAAATCATGTTATTAATCATAATAAATAATTCAATGTTCATCGTCTACGTAGCTTGATGTTTTTCTTTGTTTTCAGTCTCTGGAGAAGTTTCAGCACATTCGAGTTTTCGTTTCTGAGTAGGCGGAAGTGTCTGGAAATCTGACAGAATGTCTCATTCATAACAGCTTTATTGTCATTACTATTATTCAAGTGAGAAGAGTAATGAATATCTCGCTTCACATAATTCAGTTTTTTGGATTCGGACTTGCTCAGGTGACAAATCTCGTCATGCTGATTTTGATCCATAAAAAAGCGAAAGGACTCTTCGGAAACTACCGCCACGTTATGACAGTATTCACAGCCTATTCTATCGTTTACACCTGGATCGAGATGATATCACTTCCGGTAAGTTCATGAGAATTTAGAATAGATCGTTGGATTGATACAGTAAAACCTTTTGATACTTTCTCTGGTTACTTGTATTTTTGTCTGAACTGTCATCAAATCAGAGTAATTTTGATTGCTTGATGCCGATTTTTTTTCATCTCATGTATGACCACGGATCCATGTTCATCCTGATCATTGATAGCTGTCTTCGTTACGAGAAACTCTTCGGCCACTATGTCGCCTGCCTCTTCTGCGGCTCTTTCGCACTGTGCATCTCTCTCCTAGCAACACAATTCTACTATCGATACATTGCAGTTTGCCAGTAAGTCTGAACTTAATGCAGATGAATAAATCAATTTTAAATATGCATACTTTTTCAAGACCTAGTAAACTCGGAAAGTTGAATGGATGGAGATTATGTCTTCTATTCATCCCTTCCATATTTTTCTTCTTTTCTTGGTTCTTTCTTGTCTTTTTTGGAATGAAGAAAACCGAAGGAAAAGTAGAATATGCCAGGGAAATTATTCTGGAGGTTTACAAAGAAGACATCTCTGAAATAGCATTCATTGCTCTTCAATTCTGGGATACTGACTCGGATGGGAGCAAAACTTTCCGAGTGTCGGATTGGTTGAGCTACTTAGGATGTTTGTCGATAATTGTGAGTTGACCAGAACTTTTTTAATATTTCCAATTTTTGAATTCAGGGATCCTGTTTTTCCACTATTCTGTTTTGCGCTGTAAAAATATATTTCAAATTGAAATGCTCCCAAAATGTTATGAGCTCGAAAACTCAGGAACTGCACAGTCAGCTTCTCAAAACATTGATTTTTCAGGTAGGCCTCACAATTAGGCAAATGTAAAACTTCACGATTTTCAGACCGCTCTTCCATTCTTCACAATGTATAGTGTTGTAGGAACTATCCTAAGCCTTCCAATTTTTGAAATCGGAGTCGGATTGATAGCGAACTTGTGCGGATCTGGCGCGTGTGTATATCCAGCACTGGAACCACTGATTGCCATGTATTTTGTGAAGGATTTCAAAAATACGTTGAAATGTAGGATAAAATGAATTTACTTTCAATAAAAATTGATTTAGGTAAATCAAAAGTTGAAGTCGCAGTGGCCAACATCGAGATGCAAAAACCTCCATATAACTCTCTAAGAAGTTCGTTAGTGCTCATCAATAAATCTCTGACTTGATTTCGTTTTCCGGTCTTCTCATTTTTCAACTCTCCAATCCCTTCTCTTATTTTTATTTCTGCCATTCATCTCTAGATTCTCTCACTAGATTTTTATCGAATCACGAAATGTAGTCATACCCTTCTAAATCGCTATTTTTCATCTCCGCTTTCAAAAACTCCAGAATTCGTTCTGTTCCCTTTCATTCATTTTCGTGATTTTTCGCAGCGATGCCGTCCCAATACATTTTCCTATTCCGGAGGCATTTCTGGAAGCTTGTACTTTTGATTACTGTATTTACTTTCTGTGGATTACTTGTTTCCTTGTGGAGTCAGACACCACCTAGACGAAAACTTGAGAAATACAATATGGATGTTAGTGAGAAGGATCGTGAGTTTGAGCCTGAAAAATAAATAGTTTCTGATGAAAAGGATTCAGCTACGGAAGTGTACCTGGACATAGGTGGAGGAACGATCCAAATGGGTAGACTGCAAAAGGAGAACTTTACCTTTGTAGAAGAAGAGGATCCAAGTTTTGCAATGACATCGTAGGGAGCTTTATAAAATTGTCAGTAATAATGAGAGGGGTTCAGAGAAACTTGTCGAGTGGAGTCATGGAACAAACTGCATTCAGATCGGATTCCATCTCCATCGCTGCATGATTATTGGATCAAAAATGATACAAGTAGAAAAGTAAGGACCAAAACTGGGCTACAGATAAATGATTTTGTTTTAGGATTATCTTTACCACACATCTCCTAGTCCACTAGCCGCTTTTGTTCATCCAGAGCATATTACAGTAACCCTAACTGCTGAAAATATGTTTGGGTAATTTTTTTTTAATGTGACACCTAAACCGGGCCTTTGTGGGACCTGTGATAGTTTCTTTCTGATTTTTGAGCAACTAGTTCAGAACTGATAGAACTTGACAAGAGATACAAAATGGTATTATTTGGAAAACTGTATCTTGTCTATGAACAAAGTCGCAGACAAAACGAAAAGAAAAAGACGCGGAACGACCAGGATCGGCTGCTTTATGGCTTGTAACTTTGTTCATAGACAAGATGCAGTTTTTCAAATTGTATCCTTTTGTAGTACTCGTCAAGTTCTGTCGTAGCTATTTCAGTTGGTCCGAAAATCTTAATTCTGAAGAAAATGTGGCAGGGCCCGCGAAGGCCCGGCGAAGGCCCGAAGACCCGGTTTACAAGTAGAAAAGTTTCAATTCATTTTTTTCAGGAAAAAAGTGCACTGCCGATATTTTGACTGCAAACGAAAAGAGCTTGACAATGTTTTTGAATCAGTCGTGTTCCCGGAGTCTACTGTATATTGCGGAAGAAGAGTCGGAGCCAAGTACATTTCGATAACAGAGGGAAAATATGATATCCCGGAGACCCCGGTACCAATTCAGAGTCGAATTACAAATGGTAACGATCATGACAGGTCCATTATTTTATTTGAAAATTTCCAGGTCCTCAACACTATTTCACTGTTTGCATGTCTCCGTTGTATGGAGAAGAGCCGAAATTCGTCCAGATCGTCGATTTCATAGAATATCATAAACTTCAAGGAGCCACATTTTTCCACATCTACATTAGAAATGTGTCTGCTTACGACCGCATTTTGTTGGATGACTATGCAAGAACTGGAGAAATTGAAGTGATCGTTTTGAATGATCATTACTGGAGAGCAGATTATATGTGGCATATGGCACAAATCAATGTGAGCTTGTTTATTTAACAATTTTTATTTTGATACCCAAAGTTCTACAGGATTGTCATATGAGAAGTGTAAACTTTGCGAAATGGACAGCTCTTCTGGATATTGACGAGAGGATCGAGATGAAAAAAGATTGGAGGATCGTGGATTTTTTAGAGTGAGACTTTAATTTTACTGTTTCTGCTTTACCTTCTTCTTCAGCACCATTTCAAATCCCAACATCATCAATCTACAATTTAAAGTGCAGTGGGTTTTAAAAGATACCCTATCTCCTGCTAGGTTTGAGAATGATAAGCAGTTTTTGGATAATCTCGTCTTCCGAAAGTTCCATAACACATCCCGAGTGCAAGACTGGCTCCAACCAAAATCAATCATTAGGCCGGAAAGTGTGAGTTGTACAGTACAACTTTTCCTCTCATAAAAATAGATTTGTTCAGATCGCAGCAATGGAAATCCATAAGCCTACAGCAATTTACAAGGGTCTCGCAAAAATATACGTTAGTAGTATATTGGGAGTGATCCGACATTATAGGAATGTGGAGGGAGGAGCTTTGTTGAACAATAATAAGAGAGCACAAGAGGTTGGACCCTATTCAACAACCGAAATTGACCCGAATATGAAATTCAAATTGAGTGATGCTGTAAGTTCTAGTTTCTCGTGATTGAACAGTTACAGGGTGGCGCACAATTACCCGGATTGATAAAAACGAGCATATCTTGAGACATAAGTATCTTGAAAGCACGAAAGTTCGTAGGAATATAATTTTACGTTTGATCCGGGTCACCCGGACAGGGCCATCTGGATCCGGCTCACCCAGACCTAGGTCACCCGGATCCAGGTCACACGGATCCAAGTTACCCGATCAGGGTCACCCGAATCCAGGTCACCCTGTCAGGGTCACCCGGATTCAGGTCACCCGGTCAGGGTCACCTTCTCTGGAGCTCAGAGAAGGTGAGAACTGATTCTTCCTTTCATTTCCCTCTTCTTTTATATTATTTTCCCAGAGGTCAATTCTAAACCAATTCACGTAGTCGATTTTTTCTAGAAATTTAAATTTTTTTAGAAGCATTTTTTTTGTCACTGGGGATTTTTTAAAATTGTTTTTCATCACGTTCAAATAAACTGGAATTTTCACTTTTGAAATATGTGAAACTTTTTAAAAAGATTGTTCCTTTAAACCTAATTAAGTGTGACTGCTACGAGAACTGAGCTTAACCCTAAAAGATGACAGCCTGAAACCGGAACCAACAGACGTGCCGAGCCCTTTATATATAAAGGAGATTATTTGAGTTATTCCACTATAAATTTGAGACCAATACAACGCTTTACTAAAATGTTATGCTAGTACAAACTAGAGTCCGGGTAATTGTGCGTCACCCTGAAATGGCAGTTTTCCTAAAAAGTTCTGATTTGAAACTCCCGTTCCTTTTTCAGTGCATCCGTCGTGTGAAACAAGTCTACGACACTGTGACTTACCCTTGTGACAAAATGCAGGAAATGTATCATCACCACGGATTAAATCATCCCTGTACTCTTCAAAAATGAATTCGATCCCTGCTTCGTCCATTCCGATACCATCTTTCTCCAGATTTCCTGATTTTCATCGCTCCCACTTTTCTTTTTTGTCTCTTTTGTCTCTCTTGTCTTTACGGGTTTTTCTATTCTTATTTTTGGCTACATAAAAATCCATTGAACTTCTTTTTTCCCATGATAACTGTAACAAAAGAAAGACGGCGGAGTCACAAGAGTAAATCAGTACTAGTTCTATTCACAGTTCTATTTCTTACTATTCTACTCTGTTTCACATTCACTAGTAGGCTTTTGAAATTGACACTATCTTGGAAAAATTATATTTCAGTTCAGATTACCAATGACCTATCAGATGGTGATGATGATTCATTAGAACCAGTTGGTGATAAATTGTAAATCTATGAGGATAGTAAAAAATTCGAAAATTATTTTTTTTTGCAGTGCAGAATGTCCGATAGATGGCTGGAATGGTGTGGAAACCAACAAAGTTCCATTCGAAGATTTTGAAGTTATTCAGAAGTGGGATGATAGAAGGCAAAGAATGGTGAGATTTTTAATTTTAATTACATACCTGTAATACCTGTAATAGTATCTGAAGGGTCCCTAACTTTTTACTTTGAGAAAATTTATTTCGGTAACTGTTAGAGATATGATAATGTTGTTAACTGATAAAATGTTTATCATAATATCAGAAGTGTTTTTTTAGGTAAAACATTTTTGATATCTTTCCTTGGAATTAAAATAATTAAGCTCAAACTTGACAGCTTGCGGGGCCCTTCTATTGGCTCCGCGACACTTTGAAACCAGTAACTTCGAAACCGTGGAAATACAGGCGGAACGATAAACTTTCGACTACAATTTTATGATTTTTTAAACTCTTTTTTTTTGTTGATATAACACATTCGGAAACTCGACAAATCCAAAAAATATTTTTTGAAAAAAAATTAATTTTGGATCTTTTCTGACTTCAGGATGAGTTATGTAAGAAAAATCATGTTTGAAAATTCTAAAATAGTTTTTTAGTTTGAAATTTATCCATTCGCCAGTGATACCACGATTTCGAAATGGCTGGTTTCGAAGCGTCGCAGTTGCGAAGTGAGCCCTTCTATTAGAGGTTTTACGGAGACCTTCAAAAACATTATTTACTATTCGAAACTTTTCAGACAACATTCCGTCCCACAATCCTAAACGCTCTCCTTTTCGACGACTACCTCATGGTTCTAGTCGAGACAAAACAATCAGCCGGTCGTCACGTCGTCTGCCGATATTTTGATTGCCTTCGTCGCGAGATTCCCAGTCAATTCGAGTCGAAAGTCTATCCGGAATCCGTGGTTTATTGTCCGCGACGGATTGGTGTCCACTATATGTCAATCACTGGGAATGTTCTCCAAAAGCCACCCAGGCCAATTGCCATTCAGGATTCTTCGACAAAATATTTACAAAGTGCAAGAGAGATTGCATCAAGAGTAGGAAATATGAAAAAATAATAAATAATTTATTTATTTTTCTGAAAACTTTGTACAATAATAACCGTAATCAATGACTGTTGAACAGGAACAATTTCACTCTTACCGAATTTCCTATGAAAGAAACCTAACCATACCGTCAACTTTGACCTCAATTATCTCAATTCCTGTAAAAGAAATCAAAAAATTGTCAACTGATAAAATATTCATCACAATATCGAAAATTTTTTATCACTTGACTGGTTTTTGATATCTCTTACAGGAACCGAGATATATAAGCTCAAACTTAACAGTCTGGGTGCCCTTCTATTACAGGTTTTACGGTATTTCACATAATTAAAACTCAATTGAATTCCTGACAATGGATTTAATTTTCTTCTTTTCCAACTGAAAATCAGTTGATAAACTGATAAAGCCATCGTAGTTTTTGATGACTGGATTTATGAATTTAATGGTGTCCTGCAAAAGAGATCATGCATCAGAAAACGATTCCTCTAGCTTTACTCACTTGCAATGGAAAACGTGCCGCCTTTTCAACAGCCGCACTGAGTCTCGGAGCGATAAACGTCTTCGAAAGCGGCGAAAGCCTAGCAATAGATGTCTCATCGATTCCACGAACTGCCGAACGATGCAATCGTACGTTGAATCTGTTGAAAACGCTAAATTTTTCAACAGAATGTGGATCTGCCTTCTCACCTATTCAAATTCATTCGGGCATTTAGACTTTCGCTAGTGGGGGAGAACTTGATGTCAGCTTGACCATTTATTGAGAATACAAGAATTTGAGATCGATTTCTAGATTGAGCAGGGTCATCTGGGATGGCATAAGTCAGGATTCGATCTGGAATGAGAGAAAGGATGTCATTGAGATGCTTGAAAACTAACTTTTGATCTCCACTGCCATCCCATCTCTATTAAACATCACATATGGAAGGCCATGCGGTAGGATGGCAAATGATGTAGTTGAATCAGGATAGAGCTGAAATTGAGTTGATTTTCGGTCATTCTGGCCATTTTCAGGAGTCTGGAGCTCTATTTGCATTCACACTATTTGTTTAAAGTTCCTAGTTTTTCAGCTGTTTGCCGATTTCTGAAAGACACCCCTTTTTGGCCGGTTTTGTGCTGGAAACGTGATAAAATTGAGTGTCTTTCAGAAATCGGCAAAGAGCTGAAAAACCAGCCGAGCTCCAGACTCCTGAAAATTGAAAATCTGAACTTACCTTCCCAATTTCTGGAACCAAGTATCCCACACAAACAAAAGTCTGATGCCTCTTGGATGGGCACTGCGTAGACACAAAGCTCTTCATCTCCTTTGGCAGATTCGATTCATCGATTTTTAGAGCCAGTCTATTATCCTGATAAGCATAATAAAGCATGCTATTCAGGAGATGATCCGATACATAAAAATGGGCCATATGATCAGAAAGGGGCTCTCTGAACATTTGTTCCATGGGTCTGGGAAAGAATGGAGTTGGCCCGGATAGCGATTCGAATTGAATTTCTCCTGGAACCAAAAACTTAATTGAAGACGAAGATTGGACCGATCACTCACCTCACCTTGATGATTTGTTTCGATATAATCCATAGTTAGCAATGGCTGAGTTATCATTCGGTTATCCACATACATTCCTTTTGCCAAATGGGATATGAACCTGTATATGTTAATTTACCGGTTTATATGTAAAAGAATGGCTCACATATTCATCACATCCCTCTCCGACTTGTCCATTTTGGGGAAGTAATCCTCCAAATTGATTTTAGTGATAAATTCGAAAAGTTTCGATATATTCTTCTCGACTAAATTTTGTAAACGGCTACAGAAAATCTCTGGGATCCGCTGTCGTACCGAATCATTGATCATTGGCTAGAAGAATCAGAAATTAAGTTAAATTTTTGGAAAATCGCAAACCTCAAAAGTCTTCACAAATATTCCCATAGGTCCAGTGGGATTGATGGTGATGTGGCTGTTGGCAATAAGAGCGGAGCAGTTTCTGACCTGAAAGAAGAATTAGAACAATAGCGCTATACGTGTATTTGAGGCCAATTATCTCGGTTCCTATGAGAGATATCAAAAATCTGTCAACTGATAAAGTATCGTTGATGTTATGATAAACAATTTATCAGTTGAAAATTTTTTGATATCTTTTGAAGGAACCGAGATAATTGAGCTCAAAGTGTGCGTATAATCCTCAAATTTGAATTTCTCACCACTGCGTTCATTTTTCCTGTTACATCAGTCAATAGCTCTGTAGTCAATGCCACTGTCATACCACTTATCGTTCCCATCAGATTCCCTTCTACCACTATCGGTACTGCATTTGCTGTGAAATCCGATCCAAGTCTAAAAACGAAAAATCCCTGATGCCTGTCTCTTTGATCTTTGTGTTAACGTACCCAATATCCAGATTCTCCAGACCCAGAACGACATGTCGCGGCGGCAAAAAGTTCAGAACCGATACCTGCAAAAAAAAACAGTTGCGCGACGCAGTGATAAATCATAGCTTCTTATCAATTTTCGTGCGTAAAATCGTAGTTGATTTGTTTCGTTACGCAAGTGAGAAAAAAGTGAGAAAAAGATAAACGACCGGTTTCGGGAGGAAAGTACCTGAGGAGGTCTGTAGTTTTTAACGTGCAAGTTTTTGAGATTCACAATTCCGTTGATGCCAATTTGAGAGAATGGCATTGAGGTGGAGTAGCCCTGGAAAAAATATTGGGATCAGAAGTGACTTTGTACTGTAAACAATCCATAGAGAGGTTTACCCGGACTGATAAAAATAGTTATATCTTTAGGAAAAAGTGTCTTGGAAGCACGAAAGTTTGTAGAAATATACTGTAACGTTTGATTCAAAGCCACTGAAAATTTCAAAGCGATTCCTCAAGTCTAGGTATTGTTATGATTGTACGAAGATGAAATGTTTCTTGACTGCCGTTATTTTCATGAGATGAAACAGCTTTGACAAGCGACAAGTCATCTCAAAGTTGAGCAAATAATTTGAAATTTACCCAGTTCACTGGTGGATTACTGTACTTTTTGCATTTCAAATTTGAGCCTCATACAACGCTGTACTCAATTTTCAGCAAAAAAAAGCAAAAACTTAAGTCTGGGTAATTATGCTCAATTCAGTAAACTAACGCCCCTAACCGTCAACTTTGAGCCAATCTCGGTTCCTGTAAGAGATATCAGAAAGTGGTCAACTAACAAAATGTTTATGAAATTATCAAAAAAAATTTAATCAGTTGACCACTTTTTGATATCTTTTGCAGGAACCAAGATAAACTGTCTCAAAACTAACAGTTAGGTCCCTTACATTACAGATTTTATGGTATCTATTACTTTGTTGATTTTTTTTACAGTGTCTGTAATAACAAATAATGTTACTTAGCTTCTACAAAACTAGTTGACAAGCAGATCAGAGTAATAAAGTCTAATAAACTGTTATAAGAACATATTGTAAATAGAAAAGAAATAAATATTTTATTCTTTGATATTCTAAAAGCTTCGAAAACATCTTCAAGCCCTCAAGCAACGATAATTCAATTCACAAGAAATCCCAGCAAAGAATACTCACTTTCAGCTGTGAAATATAATCATTGAATATTTGAACACCAACTGTTTTTATATGATTTGCTCCTTTCTTTGTCAGCCGTATCCGCACTCCAGGATTCCCTGAACCTTTACAGTAATCCTATATCTGGAGACTCTTCTTACCTGGATACCTGTACCACTGTTTTTGAACATTCACCTGTCTGATAGAAACTACGAATTGTATCAATAGAATAATTAGGCACCAACGAAATAGTTGCATGATACGAAAAGAAACCAAATGGAATTGGGTCAGTACAAGGGAAAAGCCGTTGAATCACACATACACACTATAATTTCTTCTCCCTCATCTTACAATGTCTGCGTCTTATCACCGAAGATATCTCTCACTCATCAACTCGTTTGTTCTGTACAGAGGGAGGCATAAGATGCATACCTGAATCCACCTTTTCTTGACAGGTTAACATTTCAAATTGGCGCTCTCTTGTCCAATGACCATGGCATAAGAGAGGCAAAAAAGATGAATCATGCGAGACGATTTTATGATTGTGTCACAATCCAAAATGGTCGGATATGGTGTTCGCTGGAACACTAAACCAATAAGGATGGATTCAACAATGGAAGCATGGGATTTGAACGTTCGAGGTGCCTGGAAATTCTACTCTGATCAAGATGCTAAATTCAACCAAGCACTTCAGAGACGTTTTGGAAAAGTTACTACCGTAAAACCTGCAATAGAAGCCCCTCAACTCTGAACTCAATTATCTCGATTCCAGGCAAAAATATCAAAAAATGGTCAACTGATAAATTGTTTATCACTATATCAAAAGTGTTTTGTCAGTTGTCACAATTTTGCGATCTTGCATTAGAATTGAGATAATTGGGATCATACTAGACAGGGTGGACGCCCTTCTATTAAAGGTAATACGATATTATAGAAGTTTCCAGGCGGCACGTATGTCGAGTTTGGAGTTTGTTGCTTATTAAATTTAGAGTGTAGTGTGAAAATGTTTAACACATCGTGCAAAACTTCAATTCCAACCAAGCGCATTTGCTTATTGGATTACTCCAGAACAAGATTACACTTCTAGAACTTTTTTGCTACACTTGACGTATTAAATTTCTCTGCTCACTTCCTGATTTATAAATCACTATAGAAAGTAGGTGCTGTAAGAAACCGAACTTGGAATCATGAACTGCTCGGACAGCCTGACTCTGAAGATCTTTTATCCCAGATACAGCGAACTTTTCAGTGGTCTATTATGCGATATTTCAACGTTAACAATGTGAGTTTTGTACTGAAGTATCTCTATTGTAACATTCGTTTTCAGATTTGCTTTGAGTTATCTCCAGCCCCTAGAACTATTAATCTACGCCATCCTAATGCTTCTGAGCCTGATCCATGTCATCATCCTACTTCAAAAACCAATACGATCTTCTTCAGTTGGTATCTTTCTCATTTTCATAGCTTTCTCCGTTATTGGTTCAGTCCTTTATACCACTAAAACTATCGTCGATTTTCGATTAGAACTAAAAACCTCATCACCAACGTTAGGCTATATTCAAGCCGAATTGATTCTCCCTATGATTCAGAAGTTTTCTAGTAGATCGGCTACATGGCTCACTATTGGAATGGGTGTTGGTCAATTTTTGGCTTCTAGAAACGACCAAAATTTGGAGTATTCTTCAGCTGTGTTTGGAATCAAAGTAATTTTTCTAATTTTAATCCCAAATATGCTTCTTTCGGTATTCGGATTCTTCGGAACTGAAATAGTTTCTATCAAAAACCCATTTGCGTTTATTACAAACTCATCGGAGACAATTTGGTCCATACAAGCGACACATTTATTTTCCAAGAATGATAACAGTATACAGAAAATGTACACCCAAATTGAGAATATTATGAACTATGTGAGTTTCGAAACTTTCAGATACGCTCCTCTCGGAACGCTCTTCTGTTAGAGGTTTTATTAAAAAGGTCCTTTTAATACAGGTTTTATGGTATGTCAATTTTAAGTTTTTAATTTCAGTGGCTACCAACTCTCCTCACTATAATTTTGTTTTTCGCTCTGAATGCTAGATATCGTGCCGGGGAAAAACGAAGAAAAAGAGATTCGATTTCTCATGCAGCAACCGTAATTGAAAATAACACTAAATTGGTATATAATTTGACGAAAACGTATTTCATCGTTGAATTTGAAATCTCCATAATCAATTTCATCCGTTCAGTTTCTGTTAATCCATCCTCGTTTGGGACGTTGTGAGCTAGCAAATCCGTTTCCAAGAAGTCAAGAAAATTTCAGCTTACTTCTGAACAATCTCCTTTTATTTTTCAACATCATTCAGGCGTGTGTGATGATTTCCAATATTTTCCTATGCGTTTTGATCTCTTCTCAATATCGCTTGTCAGTACGAAGACTATTATGTTGTGGGAATCAGAATTCAGTTGGATGAAAACACAAACATTTTTTAAAGAAGCAAAACAAAGCAAAAATTTTATTGATTGATAGACGGTTGAATAAAACAAGTCGATGTGAAGACTTTTCCATTCGGAGTGCTTTTGACGCATGGCTGAAGCTTGTTGTGGACCACCCAGCACCAAGTGACGTCTCCATCCTGGAAATTGGAAATTTCTAAAAAATGAAATTTAAGAAAATTCAATTACCGAATAAACTCTAGCAGTGTTCACAGTGTTTACATATCCAATCTGAAAGTATCAACATCTTGTAAATTTCAGATTTTGAGCAAGTTACCTGTTTAGAAATCTGTTTGGAGTCATGAACACTATAACGTTGTACACGCGACCGGACAATTGACTCCTGAAATTTTTGAAAAGAAACTTCAAAAGATTTTACTGGGCTCTCAAAATTAGGTTTTCATAAACGATGACTGTAGAGGGTGGCTATAATTACCCGGACTCAAGTTTGTGCTAGCATTAAACTTGAATAAAGCATTGTACTGAACTAAAATTCTGAGTGCAAAATTCAAATAATTCAGTAGTACGCTAACAAAGTTTCAACCTATTTCGCATCTCAAAGTTGATTCGTCCCATTACATCGGTGTGTAAGAAACATTTCATCTCTGGACCATCATAACAATACCTAGACTTGAGCAATTGTTTTGAAAATTCAGTAGTTTTGAAGGAAACTTAAAATATGTTTCTACGAATTTTCGTGCTTAAAAGATACTGGTGTCTAAAGATACCGTAAAACCTGTATTAGAAGGGTCCCTTCCATAGAAGAGCCGCTCTAATAGAAGAGCCCTCCGAGAGGGGTTTGGAAAAATAGAAGGGCCCCCTGTAATAGAAAGGCCCCCGTAATAGAATGTGTCTCGAATTTTAAAATTTCCGTACGTTTTCAGTGAAAAACATTCCGGGGGAAATGACCGGAAAAATAGAAGGGCCCCTCTAATTGAAGGGTCCCTGTAATAGAAGGGCCCTCCGGAGGTTCCGTGGAAAAATGGAAGGGCCGCCCCTTCTAATACAGGTTTTACGGTATACCCTTTTTATCAGTCCGGGAAATTATGCGCCACCCTGTCCACACTTTCAAAAAGACTTGCAGGCAAAAAATTTAAAACTTTGTGAGCTTCAAAAAAAGCGAATTAGCTTCATTATGGTCAGAAACGTTTCGAGAAACATCCGACAAAATTTTGTTAATTGGCAGCTCACCTGACTAGTTACAGCTGAACCTCTCTCATCTTTCGGCCAAAGTCTCTCCCACTGAAATATTTTCAAAAGACTCAAAAAATTTTTCAGTTATTACCTTGGTCCTCATTTCCGGCACCGGGAATACCAATCTAGAAGTAACAACCGTCACATCATCTGCTTTCTTCAAAACTTGTGACATTTTTCTTATTTGGGAAACTCTTTTCTTTCCCACTTCGGCTCTCTTTTATACATGTATGCGTCATTTTGAATATATGTTACATTTGTTTTTATTACGATTCTGCTATTGTTTTTTGTTGTCTTTTTCTCCTTTTTGTCTTCAGTCTTCTTCTTCTTCCTCTTCTTTTTGGCACTGATGACGTGGCATTCTTCATAAAGGAATGTGAAAAAGAGGGTTGAGAGAGAGAGACACCTAATGAGATTTGCTTGTGTTATTGTGATTCTGCTGCAAATGCCAAAAAGTCTTCCTCAGACCAGACTATCCGAATCGAGAAGTAGAAGATGTTGGACAACGACGACGACAGAGATAACGGGAAAATATAATTAGTGATATGTATCTGACCGTACGAAGGGGGATACCAGTTGATGAACTAGTTTTCCAGTGGAGGTACTGCTGGCTGCGCAAAAACGAACACGAAGGAGAGGAAAAAGAAAAATGATAGGTTTTGATAAAATTGATATGATAAGGAAGGAAGAGGAGAGAATGATTTACAAAATAAGCAAGCTGGAATTTTAGAGTTTCTAGTCTGGAAGTGTAATAGAGGAATATTCAAAATGAACCTAATGAAAAATTCGATAATCGAAAAATGGAGAAGTCCATGGCAGTGTAAATGCTCGAATGAACACTCAATACGTTCACTTTGAGCTTAATTATCTCAATTTCTATTAGAGATACCAAAAATTTGTCAACTGAAAAAATGTTTTGCATAATATCGTCGATATTTCATCAATTGACACGTTTTTTCTATCTTTCAAAGGAACCGAGATAACTGAGCTCAAACTTGACAGCGTGGGGCCCTTCTATTACAGGTTTTATGGTTAATGGAAACATGGTCCAAGTGCGAAGAATTATGTCAAAAATAGAAAATTCTCCATGAAGCCAGCTACGAATCTTTGTTTCAGAAAAATTATTTTTCAGATAGAAACGAATTTATTCACTTCAATAGAACGGATTTTGAATGTAACGTTCTACAAGCTCAACGAGTTGTTTAATTATCCAACAATGAAAATTCGAAACTCTTATCAGCACCTCGTATTTCATCCAGTCGTCCTGATTACCTACTCGTCTCTCTTCTACTCCACGACGCTTCTTTATCCATGTTTATTTCAAAAAAAAATCGGGTCATAGAGAGAAAGAGAGTGAATATGGAGAAGTAAGAGAGGCGAACGCCAATTGATGGAAAGTTGACAAAAACTGATGAAAGTGAATTGTTATCAAGAAAAGTTGTGACGGTTCTAGGAGGCGGTTGAGAGGGGGAGGCCGCCTTGCGCAGGGCTATACTAGTAATGCTGGGCGGTACACATGTTCAGAAGCATCCGAGTATAAAAGCGAACGGCTTCAGCTTCAAAACCATCATCACTTGATCCAATCCAGATCAGGGAACGATCCAAACAACGCATCATGGACTCTTCTGATGGCCGCACCAAGGCCTATAAATTTGTCGCCTATGCCGCAGTTTCATTCTCGATTGTGGCCGTTCTTTCGGTGGTGCTCACACTACCAATGGTCTACAACTATGTGTCCCATGTGCGTCAACAAATGAACCATGAGCTCTCCTTCTGCAAGGTACAGTTTTTTCCTTCTTTTTTCTTTCGTCTTTCTTCTATAGCTTCACCATATCAACTCACATTACCTTCTCATTTTCTAGGGCTCCGCCAAGGACATCTTTGCGGAAGTCAACTTCATGAAGACTCATTCCGGCCCAGCTGCTCCAGGAAACCGTACCGCCCGTCAATCCGGCTACGGACAGCCAGAAGTCAACCCATCAGCCAACCTCCAATGCGAGGGATGCTGCCTTCCAGGACCACCAGGACCAGCTGGACAACCAGGAAAGCCAGGAAAGCCAGGACGTCCAGGATCACCAGGACAGCCAGGAGTCCCAGGAAAACCACCAACTGCTCCATGCGAGCCAACCACCCCACCACCATGCAAGCCATGCCCACAAGGACCACCCGGACCACCAGGACCACCAGGAGCCCCAGGAGACCCAGGAGAGGCTGGAACCCCAGGACGCCCAGGAACCGACGCCACCTCAGGACTTCCAGGACCACGTGGACCACCAGGACCACCAGGAGAGGCCGGACAACCAGGACCACAAGGAGACCCAGGAGCACCAGCCCAATCCGAGCCACTTACCCCAGGAGCACCAGGAGAGGCAGGAGATGCTGGTAAGTTTCAAATTTATTCAACTCTTCTATTCAGTATCTCAATCTTCTTCTCTTTTCAGGACCAGCCGGACCACCAGGACCACCAGGAGCACCAGGAAACGACGGACCAGCTGGACCACCAGGACCAAAGGGATCTCCAGGACCAGACGGACCACCAGGAATCGACGGACAAGCCGGACCACCAGGACCACCAGGACAAGCCGGAACTCCAGGAGAGAAGGGAATCTGTCCAAAGTACTGCGCTCTCGACGGAGGAGTCTTCTTCGAGGACGGAACTCGCCGCTAAACGGTGTCTTTTTCTCATTAATTGTGCAATTCGCTTTTATTTATTTGTCTTTTCCCATGGTTTGGTTATTGAAAAAGGAATAAATTTTTCTACAAAACAATTTCCTGTTAATACCATTAATCAAAAACATCAAAACACTTTTTTTGGTTTCAAAAAGCCAGAATGCATTCCTAGCATGCTAAAAACGCGTTCGAGGAATACTCAGAAGAATACTTGATCAGTGGAATAGCTTCTAAGTATTCGCAAGAACTGGTAAGAACATTACGTTCACCACAATTCTGATAAAATTCCGTGTACATATGCCAGAAAACTTGATTGAAAGCATTTTAAGCTAGCCTATAGCTAAAGCCTCGATAACTGTATTATTTTTACTTGATTGCTGAACCATCGTAATTACTTTAGAAATATAAAAATTTTGATTCTTTAGATCATCATTTTCGATGTCTAGTTGAAATATTTTTCTTCTGGAATTTGAATGAACTGTTATGACCATCAAGCCTGTCCGAATTGAGATTACCTTCGTGGAAATTTTTCTAACTGATCCGATTTATAATGCCTCTTTGGTCCTGGTGGTCCAGATGATCCGACTGGTCCTGAAAAGTCAAAAAGATTGTGGGACTAAATAGAAATTTGAATTGATTCGAAGCTTGCCAGCATCTCCTGGTGCTCTTGGGGTGAGTGACTCGGATTGGGCTGGTGCTCCTGGGCCACCTGGTGGTCCTGGGGGTCCACATGCTTCTGGAAACCCTGGGGTAGCGTCGGCTTCTGGGTTTCCTGGGGTTCCAGCCTCTCTTAGGTCTCCTGGAGTTCCTGGTGGTCATGGTGGTCCATCTGGTCCTGAAAAGAGAAAAATATTATGAGACTGAATAGAAAATTTGAATTGGTTTAGGACTAACCAGCATCTACTGCTTCCCGTGGTTCTCCTGGTGTAAGTGGATCGGATTGGGCTTGTGCTCCTGCGTCTCTTTGTGGTCCTGGATGTCCAAACTTTTCTGATGATCCTGGTGGTCCACGTCCTGGAAGTCCTGTGGTAGCGTCGGTTCCTGGGGTTTCCAGCTTCTCCTGGGTCTCCTGGGGCTCCTGGTGGCCCTGGTGGTCCGGGTGGTCCTTTTGGGCATGGCTTGCATTGTGCTGGGGTGGTTGGCTCGAATGAAGCAGCTGTTTGTTTTCTTGGAATTCCTGTCTGTCCTGGTGATCCAGCTGGTTCTGGTGGTCCTAAAAGCTAGCATTCCACGAATTGTAGGTTGGATGATGGGTTGAATTCTGGCTGTCCGTAGCCGGATTGACGGGCGGTACGGTTTCCTGGAGCAGCTGGTCCGGAGTGAGCCATCATGAAGTTGAATTCCGCAAAGATGTCATTGGCAGATGGTAATTTTTCTGGAATTTTTATTTCTCAACTGGTACTGGTGGTCCTGAAAGCATAATTTTACAAGCCGAAATTTCCAAAATTGTCTAATATTTCAACTTTTTCTCATGTTGCCTTTCCCTCGATGCAAGCTTTTTTTTCAAATTCTATTCCCCAATCTCTATTTTTCTTTTTTCTCTCCCGCCAAATGTTTATCTGAAACCCTATGCTCTCTCGTTCCCTTCCTGCAAAACCAAACGAATTCCAATCAACCATCCATCTAAACAATTTTCAATTCTCACCCTGATTGAATTCCAATCCCCCGCATCATCCCATCGTTCGTTTTACTTCTTCTTCTTCCCCGTTATCCCATAACTATAATCTAAACAAAATCGACTCCGCGAGAGAAAAAGAAAAAGAAGAGGACCATTTCGCAATACTAGGTAAACGAAAGGGAGAGATGAGATAATATTTTACGGGTTGCGGAAGAAGAGGGATGGAGATTGAGATGGCTAAGAATAAGAAGACGTTTGTGTATCCCGAAAAGCGGCCATTCGGTCGGTTGCGCATACATAGAGAAGAGCGATTTTTATCGTTTCGCTCTCATCCCAAGGTTATGACCGCCTTTCTTGGCCTTCTCAATCTCTTTTCGGTATGTATGTGCTATGGATCCCCTCCGGCGGTATGAACGGGAAAAGGTGCCAAAACGGTTTGTCCATGTGAACAAATTGATGGAATATATATGGAAACGAAGAGAACTCAAGGACGAAGGAAAATCCCAAATTTTTAATGAATTGGGGTTCTTCGGCGGTTTGGAAATAAAGAGAAAGAAATCGAAAGTGATGGGCAACAAGGTTGTGCCTCTTTTTTGACTAATTGACTCAATTGGTTTTGTAACTTATGAAAAGGTTTGGTGGTTGCTTTGGTAGGATTTTTAGATTTTCGAAATAAAGAGAACTCGCTTGTTTCAAGCAAAGCAATTTTGAGTTTCTGAATTTCGAAAATTTCTGGAATTTCTCAATTTGAAAACTTTGAGGTCAGAAAAATTTAAATTGAAACATGTTGTGAACATTAAAAAACACATTTCAGAGCTTCGTATTTTTAACAATTACCGTCATACCTGTAATAGAAGGGCCCCTAACTGTTCCCTTTTAGCTCAGTTATCTCAGATTATGTGAATGCTATGAAAAATATGTTTACTGATAAATTGTTGATCGTGATATCTCAAACATTTCATCAGTTGACACATTTTTGATATTTCTAATACGGACCGAGATAATTGAGCTAAAACTTTTTTGGTTTGGGCGCCCTTCTTTTACAGGCTTTACTGCAATTTTTGTTTTCAGATCTTTTTTATTCTATATTCTTTTTATTCTACAAATTAATTTTGATACTGCTTCGGACAATCTTTGCAGAGTTTCAAAATTTTCTAAATGTTATTAGCTAAAAAATCAACATTTCAAATTTCAGAGCTCCCATTCGGGTTTCAGGAATTGAATGATTTTTTTTGACAATTTGTTTGAAGACTTCAGTGTTTTTGGAATTCAAAAAAATACCTAGTTCTTCTAAATTGTTTTCTTAACCATTCAGATAAAGTGCAGCAATTCCGACTTGTTCTAATTAACCTTTTTACTCTCAATTAGCTCATTTATTTACTAAATCCTGTTTTCAACATTAAAGTTGAAGAATACTATCTGTAATTGCAGTAGTTTTGTGACTGTTGAGAATCATCAATTAGACAAAGCCCTATTTTCAAGTGACCATCTGCAAAAACACGATTATTTATTTGTATTTTGCTGCCTCCAACGTCTTCCAGAATCTTCTCCCGATACGATTTTCCCGCATCGAAAACCGCTTCGGATCTAATCCTCTGGAACGAGGACATGTACTTCTCCATTCCCTCTGGAATGCACCTCCTATCCCTCCTGATTGTCATCTCAACAAAAACTTTTTCGATGAAGAGGAAAACATGCAGAAAACAGGCAAAAGGAGGACATTGCACTTTTCGATACCATCTTTTCTCTCTCCCGACAATTTTCTTGACGAAAGAGAGAGATAGATTCCCGTTTTTCTTGTCAATTCTGTCCGTTTTTTGCATTTTCCGCAATGTCAGTCAGTGACCGTGAAATGGGACAAAAAAAGAAAGAGATGGAGAGGGAAAGGATAGAATAGTGTAACAGTAAAGTTAAACTACTTCACATGTACTAACTCTCACTATATACTTTGACCGTTCAGAAGTTCCTTTCTCTGATACTTTTCAAATTTCCCGAATTCCTTCTGATTGTAATCGAACCTATAGAAGACTATTCGATGACCTTCTTGATTAGGTCCGTGAAAAGGATAGGGTACTCAAGTTGGAGAGAGAAACTAACGGGACATGACATTGTGGTCTAAATGGGGAGAAACCGATAAATCTTCGAAGATTACCATCTCGCTGTCAAAGTTGCAGGTTCGGGCACCGACCGACACGGAAATTTGGCTAGATTAGGATCTTTTCAGTTTTTTTTGTTGGACAATTTCAAATTTAAGTCTCTATCCCAAATTTGTTTTCGATTTTCGCCTAATTTGTCTCATCGAGCCACGTCATGGATGATCAGGAAGGGAAGTTCGGTGAGCGTATGTATTTTGGAATCGAATCTAGAAAGATGGTATCGTAGAGAGGGAGACTGTATTGAGTTTAAAGCAGACTGGAAGGGTAGAAGATTGAAAATGTAACTTCTAGAAATCACATTTTGACAGATACCGTATTACCATATAAAATAAAACTCAATTTCGATACCTAATTTCCAATAACAGAAGCATAGCTGTCTGTTTCAGTTCAGATATTATTATAAATAATTTATCAGTTGACAAACTTTTGATATCCCTTATAGGAATCGAGATGATTCAGCCCAGCGTTGAAGGTTCTAGTGGACTTCTATTAGAGCATACTATACTTCTAATCTGAACTCAATTATACAGTAATCCCAATTTGAGCTCAATTATCTCGGTTTCTATAAGAGACATTAAAAAAATTTCAACTAATAAAATATTGGCAATGTTCTGCTGAATAAATTATCAGTTATCAATTTGTTGATATTTCTTACAGGAATCGAGATAATTGAGCTTAATTTTTATTTGTCTTGCGCACTATTAGAGGAGGTATTTGAATTTTCGAGCTAGAAGTGATATGCCACAAAAAAATCTGGAAGATTTTGTTTCATACATGAACAGAGGTTCTTAATGTTTCCTAAAATGGTTTATCATCATACAAAAGAAAGTTCGTTCTGCAAAATTCCAGAATGCCATACTTTTTCTCTAAAAGAAGCATAGCGGAACCGTCAACTTTGAGCTTGGTTATCTCGATTCCTTTGAAAGATATCGATAATTTGTCAACTAATAAAATATTTATCATAATATCATCAATATTTTATCAGTTGTCTGATTTTTGATACCTTTCACAGGAATCGAAATAATTAAGCTGGTAGATGACTTGGTTTGGATGGGCTTCAACAGGTTTAACTCCATGAGGGGTCGTGGGATCAAAAACTGAAACTTTAGATTTAAACACGCTTGTCTCCACAGGGAAATCTAACGACTGATGTGATCGGAATGTCCCAAAGAACCCTACCATATGCTCTTCCTTTTTCGGCATTCCAAAATATAACTCATCATCATCTTTTCCTTTTTCTGAAGTGGTGTTCCATTGCACATACTCGACCTGGACAGTCATTACGGACTACCACCAAACAAACTACCTTTTCCTCTCTCTCCTCCCTTTTTCAATGCCGACTATTTGCGGTGGTGAGGGCTCAATAGGTCAGCGACAGTATACCACTTTCAATTGAAGGGTATGGTCTCTATTGTTGTTTTCCGGAGAGACGTAGCATATTTTTAATTACAAACCCTCCTCCCCCGAAACTTGGTTGTCTGAGGAAAGTGCGTTTTCCCGGTTTCTCCCGAAAATGAAACTGAACTATTATGTAGAGGATTTGGCGGAAAGGTTTTTTCGGGATCCCTACTCTGTTCTTCTTTCTGATCTCTTTGATTCTTCTATACCGTATTCTCCCATATCTCTTCGTTATCTTTTGCCCATAAATATTCCATAAAGATTCTGACACATAACGATTACAAAGGAATGATTTATAATAGTTTTCCCTCCTCTCTCGCCCATCTTTCTTTTCGAAATAGAACTGTGCAAATATTTGAAGAACCGCCGTACCTGTATACGGAACCAATATATGGATGCGGTCACTTCCGCCACTTACCAGGTCACTCGACTTTTTCCCTTTTTTCACTTTTACTATATACTTCTTTACTATCAACTTACCAACAAATTAGTTTCACCAATGCTTGCCAATTTGCCACAAAAAAAGAAACCGGTTCTCAAATTTGATGGAACGAAAAAAAGCTTTTTTGGAATGTATAGTTTTTGTAAGTCACCTGATGTGTTTTTTGTGAATTCCTAGAATTTCTACCGTATGTCGACATGCCTAAAAAGTTGTTCAGGAAATTAGACGTCCTATTAGTCGGAGAAAGAATTGGACAACAGGATAAAAGATAAGGAGGTCTAGACAGTGTGGAATGTTAGGATTTCAAGAAAAAGGGAAGAAAATTGCGAAAAAAATCATGAAACCATTCTAGTCATTTAGAACCTTATGGATTTCCGCTAAAAACAGGAGCTTTGAAATTCTTTGTTATTACTGTATTTCCTCTAATAGAAGACCACGAAAGCCGTCAATTTTGAGCTCAATTATCTCAGTTCCTATGAAAGATATCAAAAAGTTGTTTTAAGCCAAAACTGATAAAATATTGGTTGTAGTTTGGATTGGCTATTTAGAGGAAATACGGTATCTGAAGTTTTCAGAAAATTTCTCAGAAAATTCCTGCATCTTATTTTTCAGGATCCAAGATATTTCCAATTACAATCTCAAAAAACTTTCTATAAATCTTCCCATGAAGAAGTCACCAATAAAAATCAAGATATTTTTTCTTAAGTACCGGCTTTAATTAAAGACCATCCAAACCATCAACTTTGAGCTCAATTATCTCGGTTGCTATCAAAGATATCAAAAAATTGCTAACGGGTAAATTGTTCATCATAATATTATCAAGATTTTATCAGTTGACGAAGTTTTAATATCTTTTACAGGAATCGGAATAATTGAGCTCAAATGGAAGTACCGTATTTGACAGCTCGCGAAAGCCGTCAACTTTAAACTCAATTATCTCGGTTCCTATAAAAGGTATCAAAAATTTGTCAACTGATAAAATATTGGCAATATTATGATAAATATTTCATCAGTTGACTAAATTTTGATACCTTTCACAGGAATCGAGATAATTAAGCTCAAAGTTGACGGTTTGGGTGGGCTTCTATTAGAGCATTTACGATAAATTTTCGGTACACAGCTCAAAAAGTGATTCAAACCAACCTCCCTTCTAAGAACACCTTCCAGAAAACTATATAAAATTTTGAACTTTTGATCCGGAAATCCAAGAATCCTTTATCAGTCTGTGTCCCAATCCCAGATGACGTAGCCGCCTTCTTCATCTAACTTCAACTTTTCCCCCCAAATCTTTCATTTACTCGTCGTCTCATCTCGCGCCTGTCACACACTTTTCGTTTATAAATCCTATCTCTCTTCTTTTTCTTCGCCCGATCCGCAACACTTTTGTACTGTATTATCAATTTATCACAGATCACCGAATCTTTTTAGAAAGATCGGAATCTCTCCTTTCCTATCAATCCGTTTAAAAGTGCAACTGTGTTGTGTCCAAAGTTCAACTGCAAAACAACAAGAAAACATTATTTCTTTACTTTTCTCATCATCATCTTCTTCAGGATGAATCATGGGAGGTGTGTCTCTGGTGGGCGTGGCCTCAAGTACCAAGGACACCTCCTCCTCCTGCGACGGAATAAAGGAGAAGACCTCCGTCGTGTCCGGGCAGGCGTCATTCATTCCTCCGCTCGTCTCTCGATCGGAGGCGGTTGACCCAATCTTCTCTCCTCCCATAGATCTCAATTATTTTTCAATTCCACCACCTCGTTTTCGCGCATTCCTCTGTTCATTTTTCTCTTTTATTGTAACCGTTTTTTTTTCATTGTTCAAAGTTCATGTCTTACAGCTATCGGCTGAGGATGCTGGTTGCGTCGGAAATCTTGTGACTCCAACGGCAAGCGTCAGGGATCCCAAATGCCCGTGTGGATTACCTGGAAGGAGCCAGTGAAGTCATAATTTGACAATGGTGAGTGATGTGCTATATTTGTAGCTTATTATTAGCTTTAGCCTAGCTTCACTAGGTTACAGTCCATACGTCTCAAAGATTCTTTGATCCTTAGATCCATAGATTCTTAGGTCCCTAGGTCCCTGGATTTATAGGTCTTTAGATCCGTATGTCCCCCAGTCCATTGATTCTTAGATTCGTAGATCCTTGGATTTTCAGATTTTTGGATCCTCAGATTTTTAGATCCTTAGGTCCTTGGGTCCTTGGGGTCCTCTGGTCCTTAGGTCCTTTGGTCTCCAGATCCTTCGATCCATAGATTCTTAGATCCATAGATTCTTAGATCCGTAGGATCTTTATGTTCCTGGATTCGTAGGTTACTGGATCCGTAGGTCCCTGGATTTGTAGGCAATCCATAGATCCATAGATCCCTAGATTCCTAGATCCAAAGATCCCTAGATCCGTAGGTCCTTAGATCCATAGGTCCCCAGATCGGTAGGTCCCTAGATACTTAGGTTCAAAGATCCATAGATCCATAGATCCGTAAATCCCTAAGTCCTTAGGTCTCTCTTCCGCAGGTCCAACAGTAGGTCTCTAGATCCATAGGTCCCTAGATCCGCAGGTTCCTAGATCCGTAGGTCCCCAGACCCCTAGGTCCCTAGATCTGAAGGTCCCTAAAGTCTTAGGTCTCTAGATCCGTACGTCCCTAGATTCCTAGATCCTTAGCCAAACCTATTCAAATCTCTTTGACTTCCACCTCACCTTCCGATTCTTCCAGAACAACCTACCATCTCCGACGACGTCAACTCGATTGGGCCCTCGTCTTCGATCCGCATTCTGGATTCTGGAAATGCCCGTTCCAAAATTCTTTATCTCTTCGAATTCGAGTTTCGAGTTCTCATCTCGTCAACCCGATACGCCTCGGCTTGGAACTGATTCAAACCTGCGCGTCAGCAATTTCTGTGATAAGAGAACCTACACCATATATAACCCACACCCCCAGCATCCCCATATCAAAAGAGAGAGTTTATATTGCCTGATATTTTTATGATTCCGTTTTTTCCCTTTTTTTCAACAGCTTCTTGAAATTTCATTTTTTCACTAACACCCATTGAGAATACATTTTCACAACACACACTAAATTTTGATAACTTTTGAAAAACACTAACAATTTTGGTCCGCATAATACTTTTTGGAAAAAAAAAAGAAAGTTCTAGAAAAAACCCAAAAAAAACAGCTTGAAAGTCCCCCATTCACCACTTGTGCCTTATTGTGTTGAATATATTTTTCAGTCAATAAATTGATCATTATTCGAGATTTAAGACTAAACTTTGCATTGTTTAAAATGAAACCAAAAAAAGAAACAAGCAGGAAAGGAAGCAATAAAAACTATGAATAAATATAGAAAACATCTCATGGAATAAAGCGGCAGTTTTTGGGAGAAATCACAGGGTTCGAATTAATGTGCTGTTGCGTTTCAATGGGAAGGTGAAGTGGCAAAGTTTTAGGCATGTCAAAAAAAAATTGAAGCCCAAAATCAACTAAAAATTGCGAGTAATTTGAATTTCTAACGGCTTCAAATTTGCCACGTTGCTTTCTCAGTAAAGCGCAACATCATACCACAGTAGTTCGAACCTTGTGAAAATTGGAAAGCTGTCTAATGTACATAATCATACAAAGTTATTATTCGTAAAGCAACAACAAAAAATTATATAGATACAAAAAATCCATCCATCCTCAGAATCGATAGTTCTTATTCTTCAAAATCGCCGCCTTCTCCTTATAAACTATCGTCGGATACACCCATGGGAAGCTCTTCGAAGTCTTGATCTTGTACTCGTGGAACGCGTTGACAAAGAACAGCGGACGATGGTATTTCATAAACTTCGTCTCCACTTCCTCTCTTAGATTCGATCCATAGGTGCCGAGTGTGAGGAAGTCAAAGTGTTGAAGATCTTCGGGTTTCAAATTCTCCGTCTTGTTGAATCTGAAGAATTTAGGAGGATTAGACTGTGCTGTGGGACAACCATACTTAATTACTATTCACTTTTCTCGAGAATCACAACTCCTCAAGTAAGGAGAGGGGAGGGATTAAAGGAGTACAATAGGTTAAATGGGGGAAGACGGAAAAGGGCACCTTGAATGAATTACTGTGGGAATCCCAGTGCCCTCCCAGTACCGTCCCCATCCCTTCCCCCCCCTAAACTCCCGAAACTCACATCCATGCATCATGAAGATAGGCGAATCTGCTTACTC